GCTACTGATACGTGTTGAAGTCAACTTTTTTTCTTCAAAACCATTTACATAACGCAAAATTAGTTTACGAAATAAATTTTCAAACTATCACTTAAATGTGTACACTGATAATTGATCTTTCTGTTCATAATTCATCACATTATTTAAACTTTATATCTTTTCATATCCAACAATTATGAAATAAGAAATTGAGCTTACCAATATTTATATTTAAGTCATTACCTCGAAGAGTTTTTGAATGTATAGTAGATTTGTGTGGTATCGTCCAAAATTCAATGAATAATTGAAGCTTTTCTTGATGATTCGGGGCACATCTATAGTATTTTTGATTACCAAACTAAAAGAACAATTAAGTCTTGTTAAGGAGATCCAAATTATTCCTTGAAAAACGTTCAGATGTGCACTGAAAACACTTGTAAAACTTTTGTCCAGTCAGAGTTGAATAGAAGTTCCTCAGAAACATATGAGGGATAAAGATTAATGTGCCATATTTCTGATTGGATGATTACCTATCCTGCTACGATGTTTAGTATGGTTTCAGAACCTTCAAGAAGTACAAGACCATCTAAAATGTTATAAATACCCTAGATTTTCTGCACACCAACTAACCTACGAGTAAAGTATTCTTTTCGAATTTCTCATCTTTTCTCTCTTGTTTGTTTTGTTGTATACATTTAGCCTTGGGTTATTGGAAGAGCTTAAGAAGCTAAATCAAGAGTTCCGACAGAAGATTTATCAAGTATAATAAGCTTACCGAAGTTTTTGATGATAAAAGATAGTCATATATTTTCTTCTTGAACTTAAGGGAAAGAAATGCGAAGTCATATTCAGGATGATCGCAATAAGAGATCATATTTTTATTTTTTAATCAACGGTAACCACAGTTTAGCTATCTGTATCGTATATTATCTGTTCAGATTGCTCAGATTCCACCACATATATAAATATTGGATTTTTAATTTTTTTTAATATGTACCAAAACATTTCTAAATTGTTTTGTCAAGTTAAACTCAGTCTTATGTCCTATTTTTAACCAGTTTAGTGATATTGCTGATCTTTTCTCAAGTTTCCTGAGGTCATCCGAGAAACATACTTGAAATATTGTGTTTGTTTAGGATCATTCAAATCTCGCACTGTACAGGATGACTACAGTTTAACTTCAGTCTATCAGAATACATTACAATTTTCGTCTTATTTAACTACAGTTTAGCGTAGTGATTTCCTCTTATTTTAAACATGATTACATTTACTACCACTGTTTATTGTATATATAGTAACCATTACCTTTGATGAAACGGCATCAACAAAATTAGACATTATTTATCCCTGATAATTTTTTATTTTGATTACTTCGGTCGAGGCTTTCAGATTTAAATTCTATTTGGAACGATGGAATTAATAAATTCTCAAAGTTTTTTTTTTAACATCTAATGACTACTTTGTGGATGCCGTAAATGTTTCAAAAGTAGAAACGAACTACCTGTAAAATCGATCGTCTTCTCATCTGAAAATTTATTGCTTTATGCTATTAATTATTAGGACGTATAATTAACACTAGTTCCTAACCAAATCCATTTAAAAAAGTCAGATTGTCTTAGGCTGACCAATATACTTTCATGACGTCCATTCTCTAATAGACCATTTGATGTATATAATATTTAATCAATTTCTAGTGATCTAAGCTATTGACGTTAATGATAGTGATGCTTATCCAACCGATTCCATATGCTAAACAAGGAAGTCACAGCTTTCAGTCATTCTAAAACAATATTGGTATTGCGAGTTAGGTTTGTTAAAAAAAAGGGTTGAAAGAGTCACCCAAACTCTTGTAAGCAAATAAATATTCTTGATGTGAACAGAGAAACTAAGAAGCTATGAAAAACAATGGAAGCTATTTTAGGTGACGTCACTTCACTTAATCCAACGCTTGTAAAACATCCTAGTTTATTTTACAAACCATAATATTTCGTTTGATGTGTGGTTTAATAACATACTCCTTCTTGTTCCAAAGTTATTGTAATTTAAACAAAATCTTTGCTACTCTATTTTTCTACCCTAATCCCCAGTTTTGGATATAATTGTATTTTCCTAATTGTTCGTGCGTTGTAGTCACGTTAGTCATCAATTTATTCATTTATCTATTTACAGTAATCTGAATCGGAACCAGATCAGAGTGTGAATCAGAATTGGGAATAAACCGTGTAGTTTTCCAATTGACTCGTCTCCTCTCTCGCGAGCTTGTCAACCAATCAAGTGACAAAAGAGTTTTCGTCTCTCTTTCCAAGGCAGTTAGTCTCACTTCGAGCCCATGCAAGTTAAACTGGTTAGCCTATCCTTCAAGGACTTAATGTAGATCGCTACAAGTTATCTTCTGTATATTACCGGGTAAACATATCAAAAACGTAACAGTTCTGTGTGAAAACAAATGCGCATAACGTTTACGATAGTTTATGTCATACTGTTTTCATCAGACTGAAACTTTTGTGATATTTGTGTGTTGAACTTTGACCATTCACATTTTAGGATTATGTTGTAAAACTGGATATAAATTTACTTTTTTTATAAAATAAAGTGATGCACCAGAATGAATGTGGTTTACCTTAAAAAGAATAATTTACTGCTCTAGCATATTATCGTCATACCTTAAACTATCAAAAATACTATATCTTCAGTCAATAAATAATTACAGAAACAGTTCATTCAGCTAAATAAACATCTAATAACAATAAAAATTAGGCCCTTGTCAACTTGTTTATTTCAACGTCAGAGGTTTTAATTCTTAATATCTCAAGTCATATAAACATCAGAAGTCAGTCAATTTTATTATCATTTAAATGTAATATCAATTCATGAGTAATATGTTTCTATTTGTTCTCGCAGTTATTGACAAGTACTCTCTACAACATTTATTGAAAAGAAGTGATGCAATTTCATTTAACAGTTTTAATTTTTTCAATATGTTGACTATGAGATTTTTCTTATAGCTTATAAGACTTACTTGCTTACTTACGCCTGTTACCCCTCGTCGAGGAGCATAGGCCGCTCACCAGCATTCTCGATCCAACTCTGTACTGGACCTTCCTTTCCAGTTCTTTCCAGTTAACATTCATCCTTTTCATATCTGCTTCTATATCCTGGTGTAATGTGTTCTTTGGCCTTCTTCTTTTCCTCTTCCCTTCAAGATTCCAAGTTAGGGATTGCCTCGTGATGCGCATTGGTGTGTCCTATCCAACGGTTTTTCCTAATTTCCTCTTCAGATGGAAGCTGGTTTGTCCTCTCCCATAAAACGCTGTTGCTGATAGTATCTGACCAGTGAATGTTGAATATTTTGTGTAGAAAACTGTTTATAAATACTTGTACCTTCCTGACGATGGTCGTAGTAGTTCTCCACGTTTCAGCTCCGTACAGTAGGACTGTCTTGACGTTCGTATTGAAGATTCTTACTTTGAAGTTAGTTGAGAGTTGTTTTGAGTTCCATATGTTCTTCAATTGTAGAAATGCTGCCCTTGCTATGCCGATCCTCCTTGTTTATCAACGATGCTTCTCAGGTAGGTGAATGTTTCCACCTCTTTCAGAGTTTCGCCATCAAATGTGATTGAGATAGTTTATAAGAAGACGAAGATTATCAGAACTATGTGATGATATATTAGCGCAATACATTTCGAACAATCTGATCACACATATATTTGTTAAGAACATTTACATATAAAAATAAAAAGTCAACTAGACTGGAGATTGGGGTTAAGAGGAGACAAGGATAATAATAATAATAATAATAATAATAATAATAATAATAATAATAATGTGAAAACAATTTGAAACCTAATCACTCTGGATAATAAGCTAATGTTACCAGGGTAGGTTTAAGGTGAGAACTAACTATTTTTGAATACACAAAGGGGGTTTGAATTTTCATATGGCTAACGCCTCAATAAACCTAAGAATACGCCCTTTTGCATTTTTATGCAACACCACAAAAGCCCAGTTAAAATTTATCATATGTCCTGTTTCAATTATATGCTTGGTAATCGAGGATGATGAATGTTTATCCTCTATTCTTATCGGGTCTTTTGATTCTATTTGTTTCTGCAACCATTTTGGTACATGTTCATACACCCGAATTTACAGATCACGATTGTGTATGACCACACACACATTTAAATTGGTAAACGCAGTGGAATGTGATATAATCGTTTTCATGTCTTTTGGGTTTTGAATGAAGCACGGACCTAGTTCTTTCTTTGATAATGACCTTCGCTGCACAATACGTTTTGTTGATGACTGATTTAGGCCTTTGTTTCAATAAAAGGCTATTTGAATCACCTCTAAATGGAAAGGTGATGTAGACAGGCTATTTTTCCGCCAAGGCTATAGTAGGTCCCATTGTACCATGAACTTTCCATCTATTTATAAATTTAATTGGATAACCATTCCCCATTATTGTCTTGTTTAACAACTTAACATTATCATCATCAATAGCGTCGTTTGTGCAAATACGATCAAGCCTGTTAAATAGGCACCTTATCAAACCCCGTTTGCATTGCATAGGGCAATAACAATAGTAACTAGTCTAGTTGACCTTTTATTTTTATATATAAACGTTCTTAACAAGTATATGTGTGATCAGATTGTTCGAAATGTATTGCGCTAATATATCATCACATAGTTCTGATAATCTTCGTCTTCTTATTACGCTATCGAAATTTAATCAAAGGGACTAATTGTTTTATAGTTTATAGTTTCTAATTTAATTAATGATGAAGCGTTTAGTTACTATGGTTCAATTTGAACATTTATTTTAAAATGAAAGTATTTATTTATAATCAGAAACAAATTAATCACTATACAAACATGTAATAATATCGAACCAATTTTTACCCCGATTAGATTTCTACAAAATCATTTTGTTGGTAAAAAGTTATTTTTTTGTCTTTTATGAATAAAGTTTTTTTTTGAAATGTAGCTTAGATAAGACACTAATATAAATTTTGATTTGTATATTACATATTCTCTGAATTGTTTTCCATTTGACCAATATCTACACTGGTATTCGTTAATCCATATAAAAATCTATAAAAGGTTCATAGAAAAATAAACTTTTATTTTTCAAGATATTCATTGAAACCATGAAGACTTCATTGAAACTTGTAACTTAATTTTTCAAAAAATTGTAAGAAATAATTTAAATAATTGATTGATAAAGAAACTGAATAGTGGGTTAGTATGTTACTTGTATATCAACATCATGTATTAGAAAATTTAAAGGGTAACAATTTTTAACCAAACAATAAGTTCCCTTGCTTTATTAATTCCTGTTGATGATTTGCTCTAACAGGGACTCCAACTTTACTCATTCAATATTAAATTAAATCACTTTTGGTTTAAATCAATTACCAATAAATTCAAAATGTGATGTAAATAAGTATATCAATGTTACTAAGGTTACAGTATAACATTTATTCACAGTCATTGTAAATCTTTTATTTAGAAAAAATAATCATTATGTACAATGAATAATCGTACACTTAAGTATCATAACGACATTTTACAACATATTTATATATGAAATTACAATTATTATAAGATTGATTACTTACTTGTTCATACAAAATTTTAGAAAACCCTTTTTTACAGTAAGACTGTTTTGTTAGCATCAAAGTGAACAACAAAGAAAGAAGATTATTTCAATTACCAAAATGAAGCAGTACCACTCACCGACTAAGTTAACTAAGCAATTAATTATTTTTTAAACACATAAATATTGGTACAAGGGGTCACCAGATATATATGCACCACACAAAAAATTGTCATTTCATTTAATTGTGTGAGGGCTATGATACTGTCTAGGCAACCAGACCGAACTCGGTAGTTTTCTTAAGAGGCTACACCCGGAGCCTTCGATCTAAAAGTCTTATCCACAAGGCAGTGGAGCATCGTAAAGAGATGCAGTCCCATGGTAGCCGGTGATCGACGATCGGTTCGTACGCCATTTGTCCCCTCAGGATATTGGAACCCATGTGCACCACTGGTTTGGAATCAGGGTTTTCCACCTCCCCTAAGTGGACTTTCCGTGTCCACCAAACCGGTTAAAGCGCCGGACACTCGCTTTTCGTCCTCTCCATTTCGTAAACAACACCCGTGGCACGAGAAGGCAGTGAGTCGGACTTCCGGACAGAGTCTGTATAAGCATAGTCGTGTAAGAGCATTTCGAGAGAGAGGGCGGGTTCTCCCCATTCTCGGCCGTACCAGGGCAAGCCGTTTCGAAGTGATTAACATAATGTTAGGGTAAACTAAAGAAACGATGTTCAGATCGTTGATCAAATGGTTAGAAGTTAACTAATTTAACTATGAAGCCTCAGATATTTAGTGAATTAAAAAACTAAATATTTCTATTGTTATTATTAATTATTAATATGATAACATTCATTGGACAAAATTCTTTACGGCTTCAACTATTCAACTGATTTTAAACTGTAGCTGTAAATAATTCCCCAAAATCAATAGCTTATTAAGTGTTCGACATTGGATGCTGACCACGTTGTTTAAGTGGATTTGTTTAGCTGAAGGCTTTCGGTAATGCATCCACACCAGATCACGTTTCAACTCGGCGTGGGACACTGCTCCTACGTTCATTAGCCAGCTTATAGTAAAGGTTCCTCGATATATTGGTAACGTATCAAATATATATTTCCTACCTCTCCTCGTCTGAATTCTGGTTTCTATTCGACTGGGAACGAACGATTATAGAAGATACTACTGGTTGCTAGTTGCAAAACTAGAATATCCGTGGTATCCTCAAAACGATTCCCACTATGCACGCAGTGTAGATTCATGAAATGCTATAAAATCAGCTATCATTTTCTGAATGCTTATGCTTTATAAGAAAATACCTCAGTGTTTATACATAATAAATAACTGTAGCAGAAAATGATTATATTATGATAAATGATATATTATTTCATAATCTTTCAAGCAAAATACTTTCTGTCATCTTTTATTTTTAGACCGTAATATCTTCCAATCCAAATTTAATAATAATATTAGGAATTCTGTTTATTGTTTCTATATCGGCAATGGTAGATTCACCATTTCTTACGGTATACTTAATGAGTGAACCATTCTGGTGGAATTCAAAGAAGCTCAAATTAAGCAAGTAACTTATTATTTGTTCGAATTGAATTTTTAATTGATCTGCAGTGATTTTGTTTTATGCTTCGCATTGAATTAAAAACAACGACGTGATTAAGAATGATAGCTTCATTTAAAATGAATAGAAAATGGCGGGATTATAATTTATGGACGAACCAATCACATATAAAGTAACAGCCCTCGGATTTTGACGCGAAATTCACTATCCATTGGGCTAAACAGAGTTTCGGCATTATTGTTGATCGTCATGAAAACCCTAATTCTAATTCCTAGCCTTAACCACCAACTGTAAATCCTAGTTCTAATTCCTCACGCAAGTTTATAACCTTTGTTTGGTTTTATTTATTAGGTGGACACTCTCAAGGTCAGTCTAATGTCGTCCATAAATTTTAGTCTCACCTAGAAAACATTTAATTCGGTAAAAACTCAATATCAACAGCTTTGATTAATTAAATTCGTCTCTGTTATTATTATTACTGTTCTTATTATTATTAGCTCTATTCAGTATCATATTTTTGGCACAATACAGAATTCTTAGCAAAAAGTATTTCAGCAAGTTTCCGTTTCCTACCTCTTGACCAATCCTAACGATATGCACCGTGTGATTGTCAGTTAGATTTTAGCAGTTCAGGAGTCGAAATCTGAATAATGTACAATCTTTTCCATTTATATTGCCAGGAATCACGTTGTCTCGGATTCGGCATTTTTGTAACTTTTACAGAAAAAAGTCGTAAACCTCTCAGAAATGCACCTGAAGGGGTTATGTGATTAACATACCTAACGATGTGTTATGACAAACAAAACAACAGAAAATTTGTTGAAACATTTAGGTGGCAAGAACAGCTAGCCAAGAAATTCAAGCAGATCGCCCGATGGATGGATATGACAGGTAGTCAAACGGATTGATGGACAGTTAGACTGATGTTTTTAGTTAGGCTTTGTATGAGTTGTAAAACAATCACTCATTTAAGTCCAATAAGTCTCGAACTCATTTCTCTGCAAACACCGGCTTAATGTTGTCAGAAAATGTCAGACTAAGCTTTAACTTCTCTTTGCTAAATAGGACTACACGTTTTCCTCACTTTATACTGATCAGGAAATCTCTGGACTAATAGTCAACATGCATTGCGCACATTTTAACATTTGATACCTTGACGAAGATGAGTACAAAATTTGTCAATTGTTATTTCAGATGTAACACAAACTGACTTTTTAAACTAACTAAACCACTATTTATAATCCAAAAAAACTGTTTCATGTTAACGTAGTTTCTTTTAGATAAGGTTTCTAACATGACCCTAGTTCGAAATCTTTTATTTGTGAACAGAAACACTTTTACCGTTTAAAACAATAGGAACTTTGACAAAGGAAATTATTAGTTTAATTTGCATAGTTATCAAATAATAAATAATTAAGGAGTCACATTAAACTAATATTAGTTCTCTTCAGATCGTTTGGATTTAAAGTGTCAACTTACATTTGCCGAAATTAATATAAACCTAAGCTTCTGTTCTCTAAATCAATAGCTTACTGGTTTTACCCTCGACGTGTTAGTGAAGGTATTTGATGTCAAACAACTAGTTCTGTAGTTTCTTGATGTGTGGGCGAGAATGACAGTGACTGGTTGTCTTGATGAGTCAGACATTAGATAGGATGACAGGTGTTATGTGTTATATATATATATTCCCCTATCCTTATTATGTATGGACTGTTCCTTGTTGATGGACACTTATTGATTGACTGTTCTTTGTGTCGGATTTTGGTGTGGAAATATATTGACGTTATAGTCAGGCTAATCTCGTGTTCTTGATCTGAGTTGTGTTGAAGTCCTGTTGAATAGACACTGGGTGGGAATCTAGTGTAGATATTCGTCCAAGGTAAATTAACGTCCCACATACGTGTAAGAAGTAAAAAGACTGTTATAACCAGAAACCCCTAAAGTTATAATCAGCATCTATTTTAAGTTTATAACATTTCTTTTTACAAAACTAAATGAAATATTTCTAAATGTTATCTGAAGAAAAAAGTAGGAAGCATATTTTGTTTGCAATAACTATGCTTATTCTCTTTTGTTCATGAAAATCAGACGATGGTAAAGTATTTCACACTGAAAACGTCATTTCGTTAGTTAGAAAAGTTGGTTGTAGTGTAAAATTCTAGTGTTAACATCTATTGTCTTTTCAGAAAAAATATTTTGTTTCTGTTACATTGATTTATTGACCACAGACAAGAAGATATGAATTTGTAAACAGTGGTTTTTAATTAGCAATGTTGAAAGCGTGAGTCAATTGAAGCTAGACCACCATGGAAAACCTGGAAACACTGGACGGTCGTTTCGTCCTATTATGGGACTCCTCAGCAGTGCGCATCCACGATGTTTAATTAGTTTGTGGACAGTTACGAAACGTGCTATATTTTTAATAAACAAGTAGGTTTTCAGTTGAAAATTAAGTAACTGGATCACTAAGAGACGACTCCTTATGAATAAATATTAAAAAACACTTTTTACAGTAAAATATTACGCTAAACTGCTTATTTTGCGTTTAAAAAATAACACAATAAACCTTAATACATTGTAATCAGAGTTGGATCGTGGTTAACAGTGGAATCCAGGACTTGCGTTTCGCCCGATGCGAGAGTCATCAGCCAGATTTACCTGTATCCTAGAGTTGATATGCACTCTGGGACTCGAACCCAGTACCATCGCCTAATCCACTCAGCTACTGAGTCCTGATAGTCACCTGCTTGTAAAATGGGATGAAATTTAATTTTATCCCTGCTTTTAATGCTTAAAACTAAGTTAAACATATGCTAATAAGAGACTGACCAGTTGCAGTTCTAAACGTCAATGTGAAGATTTAAACAACTAATACAAAAATGAATTACTGAAAACTTACGTTTATCGACTTTCTACTATTTACTGCTGACAGATTTATCAAAGTATAAGGTAAACGAAAATTTACAAAAATCTTAGCTCATATAAAATAACTCAATCAAAATTCTTTTCAATGAAACGATCAAGCTACCATATATAAACTGAAATTTTGGTATTTTCTAAATTATTATTATTACTGTTAAATAGTTGTGGTGCTTTGGCTTCGAAATTATACTTTAGCTTCGTTTATCAATCACCCTGATAACCGTTATTCTATAAACCCTGATACTGTATAAGTTCAGAAGACGATGGGAAGCAACAACTACAGTTTAGTATCGGATATTTCAGACAGCATAACTACAAGCCCATCAAGCGAATTCGAGTAGAAAATCTAATACGCGCAAGCAAGCGAATACAGAGGAGAATTCCGAGTCGAATATATATATGGAAAAGTGAATGATCCTTCGATCGATAACTAAGCAACTAAAATTAAGCTAGAGTTTCCAATAGTATTGCTTTATACTGAAACTTCTGGGTTCCGTTCTATGTTCCTTTAATTAAAGATACATTTTTCCATTTCAATCAAAAACACAAACAATAAATAGCATATTAAATAGATCAAATAACTACATGAATAAGCATTATGAAAACACTTATTGACTATAGTTTGATAACATTGAAAATCAAGATAAATCGATCAATTTTTTTGGTAGATCATAATTCATTATGTCGTCAGGTAGATATCCATTTGGAAAGATAAATAAAAGCCAATATAATTTGCCATACATTTTTTTAAAACTGTCGTGTAACATGTACCCAATGCTTGTTATATTTTTCAGTAAAGTACTTGCATGACTAGTGTTTATCGTACATTTAACTTGAATGGACGGTTTTGTAAAGTTTGCACGTTAAACAATGTGTTGAATGAGAAGTTTGTCTGTAGCAATGTAATAGATTCACTTTCCGTGCCCATATTAATAAGGATTACAGTAGATTCTACTACGCTCCTATGTAATTCTTTTAGTATTGATTTCAGTAATTTTACTGTTGGATACTATGAATAGATAAACTTCACAAGAATTGCGTGTAGAAAGATTTTTGTTCATCAAGTCGTTAACTACCGGTGAGGATCAAGCGCTCTACATGGTAGTAATGCTTTAAATATATAAATTATTCTCGATTTATAATCATTAATTCCAAAAATATCTAAATCTGAAATCTTGCTTAATCACTAAGTAAATTGTTAATTTTAATTAAAGCCTTTCTTGTTTACAGTAATGAATGAGGTTAATTATTATATCTTGTAAACTTTCGAACTTTAGTCCTATTTAGGATTTTATCGGTCCCCTTTGTTTATCAGTGTGTGATGCAATGAGATGATCATTGATTTTATTCCTAAAACAAACTTTATCCGGATGGATCAAACATTCTGACAATAATAAGTTATATTTACCTTCATCGACACTTCCATAGTTTGTACAACGATTTCACCCACCAAATTAAATATTAGAAATAAGTTGTAATCGTTCTTATTATCTGGATAAGGTGAATAACTACTGACAACAATTAGTAAGTAGTTATGTTCAGTTTGTTAAATTCGTTTTGCGTTATCTCCAGTGTTAATTAGATTGAACTGACAATTCTTAAACAATTTTATTACATGTAAAGTGTTCCCTGAGAACATTTAAATTTGTGAAGTATTTCCTCTGAGATTCTTTTATAATGCATTGGAAATGCCGAAAAAAGGATTGTTTTTAAAAAATATAAATCAGTAATTGGTTTCCATAGGATTAAATCAACATAAATAACATACCCAGCCGTTATCAATGCAATAAGTATTAAACTGGAACAGACCAAGAATACTGCACCAGGGAATAGATGAGTTGTTGAAGAATAGATTAAAATTAATATAGAAAAACAAATAAATACACCCAGTCGTGATACAAACGCCACAAATGAATGCATTATACCTGTTAAAATGAAGAAAAATGAGGTAATTGACTAATCGGACATCATAGTTATTTGACTTACGTAAATTTATTACGAAGATTGATGAAATATAGTCTTTCCAAATGAAAAACATAAAACACACTGGAAACTGTCCAAAAAATTGAAATATACAAACTACATCACGTTAGATATCTGACTTTTATATACTTACTTACCTACTTACTTACACCTGTTATCCCTCGTGGAGGAGCATAGGCCGCCCAACAACATTCTCCATTTAACCCTGTCCTGGGCAATCCTTTTCAGTTCTTTCTCGTTAACATTCATCCTTTAAATATCTGCTTCTATTTCCCGACGTAATGTGTCTTTTCACCTTTCTCTTTTCCACCTCCCTTCCAAATTCCAAGTTAGGGTTCGCCTTGTAATACACATAAGTGATTTCCTTAATGTATGTCCGATCCACTTCCAACGTCTTTTCCTAATTTCCTCTTCAGATGGAAGCTGGTTTGTCCTCTCCCATAAAACGCTGTTGCTGATAGTATCTGACCAGTGAATGTTGAATATTTTGTGTAGAAAACTGTTTATAAATACTTGTACCTTCTTGACGATGGATTTAGTAGTTCTCCACGTTTCAGCTCCGTACAGTAGGACTGTCTTGACGTTCGTATTAAAGATTCTCACTTTGAAGTTAGTTGAGAGTTGTTTTGAGTTCCATATGTTCTTCAATTGTAGAAATGCTTCCCTTGCTTTGCCAATCCTCGCCTTTACATCTGCATCCGATCCTCCTTGTTTATCAATGATGCTTCTCAGGTAGGTGAATGTTTCCACGTCTTCCAGAGTTTCGCCATCAAGTGTGATTGGGTTGGTGTTCTCCATCATGTATTTGACTTTTATATACTTGACTTTTATATACTTTGTAATAACTACGTTTAATCGAATGTATTTATAATAAATTCCGTAAACTTTATAAAAATTATTTAGATTATCAGTTTTAAAGTCTTTATATATAAAGTACTTCAATATTTTATGAAACAAGACAAGAATGTATAGACTATAAAAACGAAAATACCATAGTGCTATCAAGTTTGTTAGCCGTTTGTACACATAAATCATAGTGATAGATATTAAACTTAATACGTTTTTGTACATTTGTCAACGTAAACGACAGTAGATCCATTTATTTATCTGCATAATCAATTTATCATTTCTATATTAAGAATATTTTATCTTTCATATATCCACCAAAATTATAGTACAAAAAATGGATTCACTTAACGAGAGTTAGCTATCCCTCTCGAAATGCTCTCACACGGCCACGCATATACAACTACTGTCATGAAAGTCATACTCACTGCCTTCTCATGGCGTGGGTGTTGTTTACGAAATGGAGAGGACGAAAAGCGAATGTCCGGCGCTTTAACTGGGTTGATGGACATAGAGAGTCTACATAGAAGAGTTGAAAAACTTTATTACCAAACCAATAAATCGCAAGAGCTCATGAATCCTAAAGGAATAAATGGCGTATGAACCAATCGTTGGACACTGGCTACCATGGGACTGCATCTTCTTACGTTGTTCCATTACCTTGTGGATTAGACCTTTAAGTCAAAGGCTCTGAGTGTGGTCCCGCAAGAAAACCATCCGCTTCAGTCTAGACAACCGGGCAGTATCGTAACCCACACACAAATCAAATGACTTGTGTAGCGCATGTGTATTCGGTGCCATTTTGTACCAATATTTATGTGTTCAAATAAAATAAAAAATAAATTTAAAGATTCATAAATGTTTGATATGAACAGTACAGTGTGTGATGCTTGCAAACTTCATAATTTCCTTAATATATAACTTTAAAAATGTCATCTCAAACAATAAAATAATTTATAGTTTTTACGACATGCCTTCATGATCTCAATCTAAGCTTAACGATCTCCACAATCGTTTACTGATAAATGGTACTTGTATATATCTGACGATTATGGTTAATCCAATAAATCCTTAAAACTGGCTTACCTGTACTATATATACATATATATAACATAAAGAAACTGGATCAATCTAAATGTCTTTTACTAATCTGAGTGGTTTTTATTTATACATGAAAGTGTAGATCCAAACCATTTCTTAAATTAGATCAGGCCAAAAACGTTCCCAGATTTAGATACATGTATTGGTTAAATCATATTCCCTTAAAGCTAAATGCTAACAGTTTTATCGAATCAATTTTATTCAATACAATAAACTTCATCTAAAGCAATAATTATAAATCGTTTGCATCAAATTATGTTATAATATTTGTATCATCAACCACTTACCCTGCTTTGATTGATCAGTCCACATGGATATAAGAGTTCTTAATATTGGATTATTTAACCCTTTAGCAAATCTAGGTATGGTAGCTGAATAAAACAAGGTAAGAAGAATTAAACTGGATGTAAAAAGGTTTTGTACAAAGACAAAAATATTAGGAACACCTTATATTCATCATCTGCATTTCGCCTTGTGTCAGAAGAAAACATAAGAATATTGGGTAAAAGTACAATATACTGATAGTCTTGAGTTAAATAATCAGAATTAGGAAGACATCTCATATATTTTCTTGTGAAATTGAAAGTAGAGTGATATATAACTTGTATATTATTACTAACGAAGTTAAGATAGATAATGATTTATTCTTAAATTGCTTAGAATTAATGAAAATGTTTGTTACACAGCTGGGAGTGAATTTGAGATGGTACTTAAGCTAAATTACAAAAAATGCCTGCTCCCAAGCCAGATTGTGTGTTAAAGTAATTGATGATACGCAATACATAGTCGAGTGTTTAGTGAAGCTTTAAAAATATTCACTCTTTCTAACTCTTGCTCTAAGTCTCAACCTTAATTTTATTCAGTTTGTATACAGAAGGGTGTCAAATCATTTGAATATAGCTGATGTCATTTCGTAACAAAAACTATAACCCTAATTTGTAAGCACAACTCAAGACTACAGACTGAATCTCAATTCTTATCCTTTACATTTTTATCATGATAGATGATGTCAGCTGGTGGTGCAAACTATATGGGGGGAAAACCGTCAAAGGCACTAACTCACAGCCCTTCCTTGACTCTTTATATATGAACCTAACTTTTCCCCTCTAATAAAGTAAATAATTCAACATCCAAGGAGGCTCCGATTATTTAATGGTTTACGTTTTTAATAGAATAGAAGTGAGTAGCGTTCCATTGGCGAATCCGTAACCTTACATTTTAGTTGTAACTAAGCAACTGTCATCCAATATCAAATTCACAGTTACGTCACTTTAGTTGAATACTTTATTTTTGCTAGAATTATTATTAGTTATTAATGTCACGCATTGTTAAACAGATTTACGTTTAAAAATATATTGTTACTAACAGTTAAATAAGTAGTTATTTATCACGATGTCAGGGGATTATATCAGTGAAACATAAAGTGGAAATTTGAGAATCTTAGATATTACACACATATATACATTATTCTTACAATTTTCAGTGGTAAACAAACATTTACTTGTACTGATCCAACGATGTTGAGCAACCGTTCACCAATTGTCTTCAGTGAGTTGATAACTCACAACAGACGTGGTTTGAACTCCACTGGTCACTGCTTCTCACTGGAACTCCTGGATTTACCTCTCGAAGTCAACTTCGTGGATCAGTTGAAGTTAGACATTAACACCGTTGGATGATGGCTCAGTGGTCTATCGGTTAAGTGCTCTGGCGCAAGACTGGTAGGTTCTGGGTTCGAGTCTCGCGAGTGGTGGATCATTGATGCGCACTGCTGAGGAGTCTCATGATAGGACGAAACGGTCGTCCAGTGCTTCAAGGTTTTCCATGGTGGTTTGGCTTCAATTGACACAGGCTTTCAACTATGAAAATACTAAATCTTCACAAAACCCCTTTTGAAAATATTTACTCGTACTTCAAACATATACACCTCTATTATCATATCAACTTACTAATAATAAATTGAACTCAGTAATATAAAATAAATCACATAAACTAAAGTATTAGCTGTATATGTATTAAATAGATGTGATATACCAAGTATAGTTCTGTTTATAAACATCATGGAAATACTGAAAATGAATATTTTTAAAAGTAAATTAACAGATTGACATTTAACTTTATTCAATTGTTTATTATCAGGATTTGTATCAAATATATTTTGAGCGATGGAATCACTTGATTTCGATACTGGCCTATGTATGAGACGAGCCATTAAAAGTGTAAAAATGATTGCAATGATTGCGGAAATTATATCAGTTACACCACTGAAAATAATAATTATAATACATTTGAATGAAAATACACTTGTTAAATAAATAAATATAATTGAGTAGTATGATACGTGATTAAAAAGATTCACATAGTTGTATTGTATACTCTGTAATAAATTGAATTACATTGTCACATTGAATGAATTTATTTCATGTTCTGATTAACTAACTTATATATGAATTGACAGTGAAGTAAAACACTATATTAGTTGAGTAATGGTTGAAAATGGAACGAATATTTTCACAACTATCGTGTAATCATGTCATTATAGTATTCTCCATCTACGTAACTTCCTAGCGTATTTAGTGCTATTATGAGTGAAATACTCATTATGTAGAGGTAATATTGATAGACAAAATATTACTTAGATTGTCTGTATATAAAATGTTCTCAGATTTTACTAAGATCTGTAATTTTGTATTCAATTACATTCAATTGCCCTCATTTATTTTCTCGTTCACTACACCATTATCAAAAATATTATCTTCGATCATACACTATCGATTGATTCTTGAAGTTTGAATCCATGATATTTTCCTTCTTAAACAGAAATAATGAAGTGAAAATTCCCATTTTGACATTTGATAAATAAAAAGGAACGAATCGAGCGAAGAAATTTCAATTAGTTTTTCATCATGGCTCTACAATAATATATATATATATATATATATATATATATATATATATTATTGGCAATAATTAAATAACTTAATTTCCGTATCCATAAAAGATAAGTTTCCGCGTTTGGTCGCCTCTATGTGCATCTACCAGTTCACCTGCTCTTGTGGAGCAAGGTACATCGGCCGTAGCCAGCGCTCGCCTTCAACTCGGATACGAGAACATATACCAGTTTGGTTCTACAATGGTGGAAAGAATGCAGTTCGTAGTTCTATACTTGAACACCTAATCGACTGTAATCATTCTACGGATCCACAGTCTGATTTTAAGGTTGTTTATTTGGTTCATTCAAATCTACCCAGATTTCTTAGAATCAAACTCTTAAGAATAGCCGAAGCTCTTACCATCCATGAGCTCAAACCAGAACTATGCGTACAAAAGAAGTACGTTTTATCATTATCGTTACCATGGCCTTAATATTATTATTATTATCATTCTATTATTATTATTATTATTACTCCATTCCCCTTTACTTATGTCTTATATTCTCATTATTTTATTCATGAATACTCATCATATCACCTTATTTATTTATTTTACACTTCTATGACCTTTAATGACCTTTAGTTATTGTAACCAAAACATTTTATTCGTCTTATTATATTCACTAAATCTATTGTTATTATTCATATTACGTAATCCAGCATTATAATCTTGGTTATTAGTGTTCACATTTCCTCACGGAATTAGTACTTTAACAAAACATTTTCATACATATACGATTGTACAGCTTGATAATAAATTCGTTGAAAAGAGATCCCTTCGCTGAACTTCGTGTTTAAATGGGAATTATATACCAATTAAATAACACTCATGGAGTAGATACGTTACGTAATAATTATATAATGACATCGGTTACAAACTAACATTAATTGGAAGAGAAGGATTAATACTAATCAAAGTTATTATTCGAAAATCAAGCGGTTGCTACGTTGCATAATATATAAAAAAGAGAAGAAAGAACTAACGAACTATTTTGATGAATGGTCAGTAATATAGTAAGAATATATGTGAAAATCAAGACACGAATGCAGAGAATAAGTAAAATACAAAAATGGAAGGAATAAGGAAATTGTTTACCGAAATTCTGTTACAAACTCCGCTATACCGATGGCCAAGGTAGCGAGAGTGGTTGTACAAACTTCTTTTGGATATAAAGGTTCGGTTTGTGAATATGAATTGCGATGGCTTCAGCTATATGCAATAGACGAGCTCGTAAACTATGTGGCAAATTTGATGGAATATGGTAGATAACCTTAAAAGCTTTATTCAGTTCAACCTGATAACCTGTGTCCACCAAGTGAGCGAGAATAGAACTCTTAATCACTTTTACCTATCCTTTGCTGATAATGAAGTATAAACTTTTGACAATTAAGTAATTGAAAGTCCAAATATACACAATGAACAGAATTTACATTGTAATATAAGTGATAAGATTACATTTATGTCACCATCAAGTGTTCTTTGGATATCAGTCAATGAATATTTCATAACTAAATGTCAACATGTTGTAAACCATTGAAGTGTTATTTTGATTAGAGTTCCTAGTATTTTACTATTTAGACACCATAAAATCCTTCTACTTAAGACTCGGCCTCGAATTTTTGGTCCTCTTAATTAAAATACAATGAAAATTTCCATGATACTTTTATCTAGTTGATCGTTTATTTTACTTCAAATATAAACTTACGAATAAATTCCAACATCCTGTGAATTCCATAAAAATGGATATCCCATTAGATATATGTATATAATATGTAAATCAGTTGATGTAACAATAGACAACAATAATACGATAAATCCAATTAGGACATGTTGTTTATATTTTTCATTAATGATCTAAAGTGTTTATTATTCGATGTGAAATAACAAAAAGAAAATTACAGAAATGTTTTTTACTGTATATGTCATAGTCCAATATTCTAATGAAGTTTGTCATAATCAGTCGTTATATGGAATTCTTGAATTTTTCTAACTGACTTTATTCTAATGAAATCTAAACTGTTTCTATATTATTGTAGTGAACAAAACACCTGTTAGGGACAATCGAATGTATTGAAGCAGAAATTACAAACTATCTTACTAAGAATTCATTTAGTATTGTTTGTTTGAATCTTCCCATCGATGTGTTAGGAATGCAACTGGTCAGTCTCTTATTGGCATATGTGCATACTGTGCGTATTGCCTCGATATAGCCTTAATTCACAAGAATGGTAAGCAGAGATGGATAGTGGCTAGCAGTGGAATCCAGGACGCGCGTTTCGTCCTATTTGGGACTCGTCCATCTCTGCTTATCTTACTAAGATCTGATAACCATAGAGCAAACAGTTAATTTGCAAAATAACAATCAATTGTCTCAATCTTCACTATTCCTTCTGTAAATATTAGTTTATCATCTCTAATTTCATTGCTCATGCATTTTCCAAACGATTGCGCTTCATTTCAGTTCTTTCCTTATCGGTCTTCTGACAAAATACATTCTATGTCTGACCATCACCATATACTACTTATGAGGATATAAGTAGACCACACTATATATATATATATATATCCTTTACATTCAATTATGTCAATTGTTCCACACTATTTATTATCTCAATGCTAAGATCCTAATACATATTTGATTGTAAGTAGCTGATAAGAAACCACCAAGCATAATGAATTCATATTATTCTGCATCAATATTTGTTTTGGTTTTATTTAAATTCATAAACGGAATTAATAACATGAAATACTTATTAATTTACCTTAAACCTATTTTGGATACTTTGACAATTCACTTTCCAAAATGAAAAATTCTTATTGGGTACAAATATAATCTCTATATCATTATCTTTATTTTTATAATCTTGATCATGATATAAAGTATCTAAATTTGAATAGTTCGATTGAAATATCATCATAGATTCGGGCAGAAAAAATATAATCAATAAACTAATTCCAATTAATATGTTACAGACGATAATTGGGAGTCGAAAACCATCTCGATAAAGAATTATACCTTTTAAAAAAAAATGAAATAAAAAAAATTCATTGTGGATTCAATTTGAAGTGTTTTATTTTTCAAGGTGTTTAAGAAAAAACGATAATGGGTCAATTTACGATTGAAGAATAACTAAGTCTTTATATATTCAAATAACTAAGCATTATGTTATTAATACACTAAGTATCAAAGCGGAAACTATAATTGAGTCCAGTCCTAAGCATACATAGTATTTGTTCCACCCTAATATATACTTTGAATCAAAGTATATTATATCCAAGCTGATCAAGCGAACAGAAAATTCTCAAGACATTGTTTTTAAACAGATAAAATGTAATATATCTCATTGGTCTCATTGGTCGCCTACGTGAATTGCTTCTTCATGGGGTATTTGATTGTTTACGGTCATCACGCAAGCTAAGATAATGTGTAAGTGTATGACATAATTCTGTAATGTAATTTTGGGTCGTTTGAGATTTTCATTTTACTGAATAATATATCACTACACTCGTAATCTGAATATGTATTTTATCATTCACATTAACTCACTGAAGATGTATAATAATATCCGTCAACATTAAAACGAAAAGCTTGACAAAAGTTGAGCGCCGGGTATAGAGAATTATATTTGAATTATATTTGAAATAATCTCAGGGATTGAAATTTAAATATATCCAACATTTTGTCCAGCTAACTTATCTAGACAAGTTATAATTTTCACATACAATGACTTCATTGAAGATTATTTTATTAGTTGTCTTAGCAATACTTACAGAAATCAATAAATTAATTATCGTCATACTACTGTGTAGGGTGCTACTGATGTCGATAGACATAAGTAGTATGTATCATCAATTGATTGTGAAATGTCTAGAAGCAGAGGGTTAAGAAGATCGAAGAGAACAGAGAATGATTGATGTGAAAAACAATCAATGAAATCTGTGACGCCTGATTGACAATTTGCAAATGAAGTATTTACTGTATGGTCCTCAGATTTTACTAAGATATTCTGTAATTTTGTATTCAAATACATTTGATTGTCTTCACTTGTATTCTCGTTCATTACACTTTCGTCATATTATCTTAAAATAAAATGTCTTTAAAAAGATAGTTTTAGTTCATGTGAATATGATTATGCACAATACTCGTGAAAAAAATTGTATAACTAAACTGGTTCTAAACTTCATCTATTTTTTATACCAAAGTTGTGATCACAACTGGTTTGCTTACCTCCTATAGGATTTGAAAGTGATAAACTAATTAATTCAAGTCCATCAAACCAAGTGAATAAAGTCCACAAATTATTTTGATTAGTAACTTGACTATTTGCAACATCATTACTATCTACTGATTCTTTACTCACTAAATCGGTTAATGATGCTGAAACTTGTGCTTGGATCGATAACAAGCCACCTCCTATAATTCCATCGAATAAACCAGGGATAATTGTCAACCATGGATTGGCTTGAAGTAGAACAATCACACCAATTAATCAGTAATATGTATATAAATTAATAAAACTTATAAAAATACACTTTTATTTAATCAAGTCTATGTAAAAAATATTTTTTTTAAATAAGTAGTATATGCAGATATGTAGTAGAAATTTGATGATACCTAAGGATTTTTATGAATTTTGTGTGACACCAATTAACGTTATTAAATATATGCAACTTATTTCTCAGAAACGATATTTTAGTAAACTAATAAATAAAAACCATATAGGTAATAATACAGTTTATGTTTAAGAAATGTGAGTAATTCACAGTGAACTAAATATTATTTTATAATTTACACAAAGTGTAGATCTGTTTTCGATAATCAATGGTAGCCCCTAGATTAGAGGGCTGTGACCTGATGGTTTGCATATTTAACTTCAACCTATTCTTAATATCCCATAACCAACTTACATTATACTTTATAACTGACTAAATCACACTCGATATAACTAAACTTCACTACTCATTGATTTTAACTAAAACTCTGTTTTATTTGTTTGGATGAAATCCAGAGCACTTTATAGAGTTGAGTTGTTAAATAAAAATTTTTTTCATTTTCTCAGCAGAAAGCGTTGATGAAAAACTGTAAAAGTGACTAGTGAGGAAACATTCAATTTTCTTTTGGAATTCAATTTTAGAAGGCCATGCATCCAAAGTATCAAAATCATATCAAGTAATATTTTTACAGATGAAAGCCAGTGAGCTTATGTTAATTTTTCTCAATGGACAGTTTATTATTTAGTCAAGCAGAATGGTTACATCTTATACAAGGTTACGGCATGCCTTGAAAAAATACCTACTCAGTGTGATTATTTGTAATGCTTCTCCGATGATCATGATACCTAACGACAAACGACGGCCAAAACGGTCAGATATATAGCCAATTATCATTGTGGTCAGTAAACCTAACAATAATCTCACTGAATGATTACATGAACCAATCCAAGCAGCTCTACGTTGCCCTTCTTTAAGTAAAAGTTTATCTGATTCGTTGCTAAAAGAGAAAAATAGTGAGAAATCAAATTTTATTGCTATATTCATCATTGAAACATATATTAAAATAATAACAAAAACGTTTCAACCACAAAGAAAGGCATGGGTGTACTAATTAGTAATATAAATAAGTGATATACATTATTACCGCGAATATCTGTATCCTGAGCTAGATATTTTAAAGCAATTAGTCCCTTTGATAAATTTCGATAGTGTAATAAGAAGATGAAGATTATCAAAACAATGTGATATATTGGCGCTTACCAATTTAAATGTTTATGTGGTCACACATACATGCAGAGGAGCAATCGCGATCTGAAAATTAGGGTGTGTGAACAAGTACCAAAATGGCTGCAGAAACAAATAGAATCAAACGAGTAGAGGATAAACATCCATCATCTTCCATTGTCAAACACATAATCGAAACAGGTCATAAAATTGATCTTAACTCGGCTTTTCTTGTGTTGTATAAAAGTGTAAAAGGGCGTATACTAGGGTTTATTGAGGCCATAGTCATATGAAAATTCAAACCCCTTTTGTGTATTCAAGAACAGTTTGTTCTCACCTTAAAACGACCCCGGTAACATTGGCTTATTATCCACAGTGATTAGGTTTCAAATTGTTTTCACATTAATTTCTTTATTATCCTTGTCTATTCTTACCCCATTTCTAGTCTAGTTGGCCTTTTATTTTTATATATAAATGTTCTTAACAAGTATATATATGTGATCAGATTGTTCGAAATGTATTACGCTAATATATCACATAGTTCTGATAATCTTCGTCTTCTTATTACACTAAATATTTTAATCAGCCTGCCGTGCGTATCATAACAACATATCTAGAAAAGACTAATAAATCAGATATTTTACACAGGTATGCATATGTCAGAAATGTGATCACTCAAATAATTGAGCTGAACTTGTATAATTTAAATATTTCTAGATGAAAGCTATTGTTTTTTTTCGTCGCTATCTAACCGGAGATATCTACAATATCCAAACCGAAGCTTAGTCTTATTTGTTAAAAGCGTCGATAAACTTTGATATTTTCAAAGAACTCACTTTGCGATCAACTCGAATTTCCCATCTTTTGTATCATATGACAAACCCTCGTCAATCGCGCATCTAAATATTAATAGAAATTGCCAATTGATAAACTGTAAAATATGAGATAACGTTCTGTTGTTCATTAGAATAAATGAATACCTTAAAATTTTGAACAAATTTTAATTGTAAATTCACTCAATATTGTTTGTTTGAATCTTCTCATTTATGTTTAGGACTACAACTGGTCAGTCTCTTATCGGCATATGCGCATACTGTGCGTATAGCCTCGATATTGCCTTAATTCACAAGAATGGTAAGCAGAGATGGATAGTGGCTAGCAGTGAAATCCAGGACGCGCGTTTCGTCCATTTTGGGACTCGTCAGCTGGATGTGAGTATCAACTCTGAGATGCAGGTGCATCCAGCTGACGAGTCCCAAATATGACGAACCGCGCTTCCTGGATTCACTGCTAGCCACTATCCATCTTTGCTTCAATTCTTATTGTATTTTCCATTTGGAAATTTTATAATATAGAATATATTTTAGTGAAGTATCTGTTAATAAGTCTAGTTTGTATATTATCACTTTTGCACAAATGTTTTGATGGTACTGTTGTTTGTTTATTCAAAGCAAATCCAATTATTCTATTCATATTGGGAGCTCTAAATTTATAAATACATTAAGAAAATAGGACTTACAAAACAAAATAGACTAAAACAATGCCACAAGCTTTCTACTCATTTAAACTGAAACAGACATTTTACATTTAGATTTTCTATCGGAGTTTTTTTCAAAACAAATAATTTGTTTACTGGGTTAAAAAGAGTTTAGGACGTCACAAATTAGGTGATCATCGAATGAACTTGTATAGGTTAAGTTTGAGATCTAATTGCATTGTTTCTTGTTAATTCTATGATATAGACATTATTGTGAATTCAATGGACCGTCAGAAGCAACAATTAACCAGATGAGTAGTAAAGGAGAAAAAATAATACTACGAAAATCCAATCATGGGAGAAACGGTATAAACTATCATTTGAAGTTGGAGCATATGATTCAAGCGTGACATTTGTCACAGTATTCAGAGTATATGTAGTCAAATTATTTATTCATGTAGCCAAAGTATAAAATTTACTGAGTACCACAGAATTTGTTTAATACATAAGTGATAATTTTACGACAGGTTAAAGGCTCAGGTGTAATCTCAATGAATACAGCTGATTATATCACTAATATGAAGTCAATTCTAGACGACCAATTTAGATTTAAGGTAGATAAATCCAAATAAGATTCAACTGTTTCGAGAGAAAAATGAATAACAGGTATGCTTATAGAACTCCTAAAAAGGAAAATGATTGCTAATCCTACTAACAATGTTCTAAGACCACGTGGCTCACATCTACCTCATATGTATGGTTTACCAAAGGTTAACAAGCATAATGTTCTCCTTGGACCTAACCTATCAATGATCAACTCACCGTATCACGCTGGCTAGCAGAAAAACTAGAGCCGGTCCGTCGGAGATTGGCAAAATATACGTTAAGAGATTCATTTCAGTTTGCTGATAGACTAAATTGCATGAATGTTGCCGATAAGTTCATGATTTCTTTTGTTATAACATGCTTGATCATCAAGATACCACTTTTTGAAATTATTGATATAATTTGTCAGAATTATGATCGCCTCTCTTTACCAGCCCCAGAATTCAAAACAAACACTACTGTGGTGTGAGTTGTTTACATTCACACAAGTAGTATATGAGAATGTATTTCAGTAGAAGATCGATAAAGAAAGAACGGGAACGAAACGCAATAGATATGAAACTGCATAAACAATAATAATCGGAGATTATGGACTGATATTTGCAGAAGGAATGGTCAAGAATTAGATAATTGATTGATAGTTTCAAAACTAACTGTCTACTGTATGGTTAACAGATTTTAGTGAGATATTCTGTAATTTTCGTGTCAAATACATTTGATTGTTCCCGCTCGTCTTCTTGTCCACTACACTACTAATGTGCACGACAGATATTCAATTCTAGTTTAATAACACCATATATCGTCAAATCGATGGCGACTTAATGGAAAGTCCATTAGGTCCAATTATGGCAGATATTCTTATGGGTTACCTTGAAAACACGGTGCTTAAACAGGTGATTAGCGAAACGACGGAATACTCCAGATATGTTGATGACACGTTTATCGTCTGTAATAATAAACAACAAGCAATCCGCTTGTTAAAACTCTTGAATAATGCTCATTCTAACACGCAATTTATAATGGAACACGAAAAGAATGACACGTTCCAATTTCTTGATGTTGCCGTAAAACGTAGGGGAGATGGGACAGTTCAACCTTCGGTTTATCGAAAAGTATTTGGAATGGCTTTTACCTGAATATTAATAGTTATTGTCCAATCAGTTACAAGAAGGCATTGGTTAAAACACTATTTTATAGTGTATAAAGGATATGTACCACCGACAATCAGGAAGAAGAATTGATGAACGTAGAAAAATGCCTAAGAGACAACTGTTACCAAAACACACAAGTGTAAAAAACCGAAAGAAAACAAGGTAGATGTAATTATGGTCAATAAAAAACAAATATCTATAAATCTTAACTTCAAAGGTGATGATGTCGCAAACACAATCAGCAGGCAACTGAACACTGCGCTAGCCAGAACTTATCAGACATCCAAGCTTTTAATTCTGTATAAAACAGCCTTTTTAATAACCAAATCAAAGGTTGGCAGGCACCTCTTCCATGTTACCTAGAACTGTGTTTATAAATTTACGTGTACCCGCCAAAGCAGCTACATTAGCCATACAGAAAGGAGGGCATATCTTAGATTTTTTGGACATTTTCCTCAAAGCTTCAGAAGAAGAGAAAAAAAGACTCTAAATAGTGCAATTACCAAACATCTCCTTGATACAGGACATCAAGTCAATACTTTAAAATATTTTTAGGTGATTAGTAAACAGCCAAACTCCAGTTTTCTGGAGTTTACTGAAGCCGTTGCTATCAGGTGACCAAAATCTGACTTATATGTTCAAAATGAGATGATTACTAATCTTTTCTTGCCTTGGTGAAAAATATTCCTTCCCTGCATCTTAAACTTTTATTTAACTCTCCCTTGCATTTATAACATCGCTGGGTTTTTATTTCCACTATCTTCCAGATTAGTGATCTTATTTTATTAACTCAGCTTTGCTCATTTTATTCCTGTCAACGTTTACTCATTTTGTAATCACTTATTTCTGGCCTTTTGGACTGTTGTCACAGCCAATTTTGTAGAATGTTCTTTCACATTAGGTATATATTTACATTATTCTGTCTGTTAAATTTATTTACACCCTTGTTATACCATACTAATATATCTTCCAATCAAACCCTTTCATATAAGTAATTTAAACTCATTATGTAATTATGATTTTAAATCTTACAGGTTGTAAACATCTGACGAGAGCCAACGTAATAACATAAATTCACGCTATCTTGCTAGAATCTTTGTTCTTCCTATTTTCATAATACATAAGCATTCAATATCTGACAGTGTTAGGGTGGTCGGAAATGTAAATATATCCATAGAATAAGTCAAAGATATGAAACACTGGGGTAATGAGAAGTTAACTATTAATAATAATTGATAGTAGTTAAGAATTAAATCCAGTAGATAGTTTCCGTCATCTCTTAAATGAACTAAGAACACAATCGCTTTTTCAACGTATTGTTAAACTGGTATTATGATTCATCATGTTTGTCGTAGGTTTATTATGGAATCTTGAAGCAACTGATGTCCTTTGATTCTTCAACATCTCTGTGAGATTAATATTACACTAGTAGGTAGATAGATGAAGGAAGAATATGCTTTGCAATAAGTTACCACCATGTTATGTTATTATAAATCCAAACTAATGTTCCAGAAAAAATAGCCAGTTATAAAACAAACATGTATTTTTAAGATTACATCCAACTTATCTCTAGACAGTGTTCTAAAACGGCACATGCACCTTAGTAAATAAATTATGTACCTGAATTAAAATTGTTTCCCAGTATAGAAATTTAAAGACAAGAATTAACAAGATAGTTGTTACTTTGAGTGTTTCGGTTATTATTTTATTTGATATGGAAGCGTGTGTATCAAATGACATCTTCATTTAAGACGATATCAGAAGGGGTTTTTGTGGATATTATAGTAATTTTAATAGTTGACATTATGAGTCGATTGAAGTTAGACCACTATGGAAAACAGAAAAACTGGACGGTAGTTTCGTCCTATTATGGGACTTTTCATCAGTGCACATCCACGATCCCGCCTCGCGAGATTTTTTATTCGTTAAGTAAACTTTGACTATTAATGAAAATTACCTAATTGACTTACCTAGAAAACACATATTGATCAGAAATAAAAAAACACAATTCCAATGCTATATACAAAGGTATAAGTAACATAGCTAATAATGTTAGAAATTTATTTTTCAGATTCCAAATATTATCACATTTCAGCATGTTGATAGAAAAAGAACTTGGAAGTGTTGTACAAAATGTTCAAAGTTGAATAATTAAATATTTTCTGACTATTATTGTCTGTCTATTGTCTGTTAGATATTGTGTGAAGGTAAACAATGTAATTTTGAAGTTTGGATATTTTCGATAATAAGTAACAATGCATAGATACATATATTTGACAAACATTATAAATCACGTGAGATTATTCATATGAATTCAATAATTCATGTTATAATAAATAAATCAACGTGTATACTACAATATTAGTAGATGAGTGGCGGATTGAACAAAGATTAGGAATCTCAGTAATTTTGTAAGCGTTTATATAACATATGTAATTTTTGAATTAGAAATATATGAATATCCAAACTGAGGTTATAGAAATAAACAAAAGCGCTAATCGTTCCGATGTTTTTTTAATTAAATGAAACTGAATCATGTAAGTGTAAAATGTGAACTATAAGAAATTGAATGATTCACTGAAATAACTTTACAAAACATTCATTTTTATCGTGATAGATTTCACTACTCGCTCACTTACGCCTGTTATCCCTTATGGAGGAGCATAGGGTGCTCAACAGCATTGCCCATCTGATTCTGTTCCAAGTAATCATTTACAATCATTTCCAATTGATATTCATCCTTTTCATGTTTGCTTCCGATTCCAAAGTCAATGTGTTATTTGGTCTTCCTCATTCCTGTTTCCATTCACTATTTCAAGTTAGCGTTTACCTCATGGTGCGGTTTGGTGATTTTCGTAATCTGTATCCTATCTTCCTCCAACATCTTTTCCGAATTTCCTCTTCAGCTAGAAACTGGTTTGTTCTCTCTCTTAGTAGATTGTTGCTGATGGTGTCCGGACAACGCACAATGGATATCTTGAGTAGAAATTGTTTATAAATACTTGATTGTTTTTGATGATTGTTGTAGTAGTTCTCGAAGTTTCAATTCAATTAGTGGAACTGTCTTGACGTTGGTATTGAAGATTCTGAATTTGGTGTTTGTTGACAGACAGTTGTTTGTAGTTCTATATATTCTTCAATTGCAAGGATGCTATACTTGCTTTGCAAATTCCCATCTTTACATCTGCATCGGACCCTCCTTGGTATATGATTATACTGCCATGGTACGTGAAAGATTCCACATCTCCTAGAGTTTCTCCATCAAGTGCGATTGTGTTGATGTTCTCCGTGTTGTTTTTGAGGAACTTGCTTTTTGCGTTGTGTATGTTGAGACCAACTGCCTCAGAGACTGCTGCAACACTAGTTGTCTTCAACTGCATTTGTTCGTGTGTATGCGATAGAAGGGCAAGGTCAATTGCGAAGTCCAAATCCTCTAATCGATTCTTAGTTGTCCATTGTATCCCGTGTTTCGTCTCAAATGTCGAGGTCTTCATAATCCATTTGACCACCAGAAGAAAGAGTAGACAGCCTTGTCTGACTCAGATCCTCACTTGTAATGTGTCTGTCAGCTGTCCTCCATGCACCACTTTGCACTATAGTCCGTCGTATGAGTTCCCGATAATGTTGACAATCTTCTCAGGAACTCCGTGGTGTCGAAGAAGTTCCCATGTAGTTCTCCTATCCACACTGTCGAAAGCCTTCTTATAGTCGATGAAATTGATGTATAGTGACGAGTTCCATTCAAGTGATTGTTCAACGATTATTCGTAGTGTCGCGATTTAATTTGTGCAAGACCGATGCTCATGGAATCCGACCTGTTGATTTTGAAGTTAGGCACCCTGAGTCATCCAACTGGCTTGGCAACACTGTTTAAAACGTTTGCTGGTACTGACAGTAGTGTGATGCCTCTGTAGTTCTCACATTAACTCAGATCATTTTTTCCTCGGTATCTTGATAAGATATTCTTCTTTCCAGTCTGTCAGTGGCACTAGTTCCGCCTCTCAAATCTTCCTCAACAGAACGTGGAGCATGTTTGTTGTTAATTCTATGTTTGACTTCAGTATTTCGGCTAAGATATTGTCAATTCCTACTACTTTCCCTCTATTGATTTGTTTGACAGACATGATGATCTCTTTGATCGTTGGTGGATCAACATCTGAAGGTAGGTCTGTGTCTGATGCTTCTTTATCCGATGGATTCAATACAGCTGGTCTATTCAAGAGTTCCTCTAAGTGTTTCACCCATGTGTTCTTTTGTTCTTGAATTTCAGTGATTGGCTTCCCCTTCTTTCTATTTTCTCAAAATAACTTTTTTCTTAGGTACATGTAAGCGTATACACAGTTGGAGATAATTTGAACGGTAAATCAGTCAACATTTATTTAACTCGATGAAGATGTTCTGTACTCGATAGTTAGTTGAATCTAGAATAAGCCTTTATTCATGTAATTTTTAGTCCTTTATTAAATGACCTTTCTAATTTACAAACAACACAATTCTGAAGTATATATGTCGTAATAGATGCAAACGTTCACCATTTTTAACATATAACATTGTCAAATTAATTAATACATGCCTCATTTTGGACTTTGTAAAATAGTATAATTATGGACTTATAACTGTAGAGCCTGATGATGAAGTTATTGAAAACAATTGTTCGCTCAAGTATTGTTCATTTTTGAATTATCTATGGGGATTTTTAAACTACTAATTTTTAGTCTTCAGTTGATATACGTTACAACACTAATGCCTTCAAATTATAGTACAGTAGTTTCTTTAGGCTCTTTCTCTTTAGTTCTCCTGTATTTAACAGTAAATTTTTGTGAATACACGTGGTTCTGTAGATACCTTTTAGAATTTAACCTGTTCCTTTCCTGTTGTATTGATGTCATAAATTCTTTATATTCTATAAGAGGATGTTTTAATTAGTAATTTATTCCAACTTAATGTACAAAAACTGATAAGATTGAAACACATCGAACATTAAGTTATTTAATCCTCCATCTTTTGCACTGGTATCTCAAAAGAAGTGGAATTTATCATTCTCTTTTTTTTATAATAACATGTATATGAGCCATATTGGAAATCTTTACCAGGTGTTTTTGATGTTTCTGATTATTATATACGGTAAGCGCGTTGTCAAGATACCTCGAATAATGTACCGTTTCATCGGTTGCTCCTTTGGACTTGTTCTTCAAAAGATTAGCTTTAAAAAATTACTAAGTAGAACAAGATCTAAGGGACTTATCGTTGCTGCGCCATCAGTTTCACGATTTCTGACAAATATCTAATTGATACTGTACATTATTCGTGTACATAATTGGCAGTTGTTTAAAATATGATATTTAGGAATACAGACAAATTGTGGCTGTGGTTTTAATATATGATATTTTGTTAATCAAGGGTTTAATACCAAACGAGATTATGAAATTATCATAGATGTCGATACGATTTAGTCAGTCAGTAAACTGGAATAAATGTTTTAATATCTATGCAGCCAATCATTAACGAACTGGTTATAACTTTCCCGTTAACAGCATCCAACTTCATGAAAAGCTGAACTGATATACAGATATATAACTATATCTAATTGTAACAATATGTTTGCGCATCTGCTGTAGATCAAATAAGTAACCTGAACGAGACCTTCATATCCTTAGTTCATCATAAGTAGAGTTACCATTCATTTTGATTTCTAAGAATTTCATGAACATATTTACGAATTTGTTTTCCAGTGAATCAACGAAACTCTTCTAACATTTATCAATCTTATATATCAATTGATAGTTTAAGGTTTATTGTATGACCTCGAACATTTGTCAAATTAACCAAGGAAAAAAGTATAACTTAAGATCTTAATCATAAAATTTATGTTTAGTCATTTTTAAGATATTCTACAGTGCACTACCACCAAGTAAGCAAGATAAATAACTTTGGCTACTGAAGGATAGAGTAAAATAGAAATATGTTACTTAAATGGAAAAAACCTAGTTAGCTGAATGATGAGACTTGATATTACTGTTAAATTTATGAATAAAATATTTGTAAATGTTTAGTTTAACAGTCAGGAGTGTAAACACAACTTTCCTGTTAACTTTATTATAAGGATAAAAAGTAATTTTTTCTCATAAACTTAGATTAATGAACAGAATCTGCCTATTGTCACCACCAGGAATTACCAAACACCATATATTTTCTGTTACTATATGAATGTATCCAAAAAAAATTCCCTATTTCTATCTATTTCTAATTTATGTACTGTAACGCAATCAATTTGTGCAATTTGAGAAAAAAATTTGGAATCACACTTACTAAGTTATAGTTTTAAAGTCATTCTAATATGAAGTATTATTGAAGTATATTACATTTAGATTTGTTAATCAATATAAATAGATAGTTTTCGGATCACTCAAATAAAATGTTATATACTTCATTACGTTGTCTGGTGTAGGTACCGTTGGTGACTACTTTTGTGAACAAATTTAATCTCGAAAACAAATATATGTTTAGTTCAGAATATTAACCTACCTCACATAATGCAATATGATTATTTTTGACGTGTTTGTTGTTGTATCTTGAATAAACTTTACTTTTATGGCAAAAACATGATTCGTCTTGATAATTCAGGAAACAGCTTTTTCCCTTAAATTAGCAGACTTAGAAATTAGTAGACATTTTAAATTTGATATTGACTTGATGATAGTAGTATTGTGGTGTATGCTACATATATTTGGAGATATAAGTAGTCTGTAACACCAATCGGAAGTGGGATGTCTGTGGGCAGAAGATTGAGAATATTGTAATGAAGAGCAGAGAAAAGGAAACTGAAAGCAATCAAGACAACAACAGAACTGAAGGTACAATGAAGCTTGTAAGAGACAATTCAAATAAGATTTGAAATTGATGTATTTGATGTGCGATTTTCATATTTTACTAAACCACTGTGTGACTGAACATTATCCACACCTGAGTGTTCGTTCACTATAGTATTAGTTGACTATTTTTTGATAAATAAATAATATTAAAAATAACCGTACATAATTCCACCTTCATAAATTTCAAATGTACTTTGGGGTATTTAAGATTGGTAAAAATTCATTATAAATTCACTTGTAAGATAGTGCCTTTTATATATATCATCAAAAACTTGTTCACATTAACCTGTAGTAAAAAAGTAGATGAGATTATTGTGATCACTATCATCAAATAACAGATCAGAAACGGTTAGCTTTAATATTTAAACAAGCTACTAACTGTAAATTTATCAGCGACTGATAATCAAGTGAAAACTTGTACATTCAAAAGTAGGACTTTGATTTTGACGGTTAAAGAAATTTTTTATGCTAGAAGTATAAATGCAGTTTACCAAGTATCTAGTCACAGGCATATCAATACTATAAAGGCTAACGTCGATAAACTCTATTAAGACGTCTATATATGTTTGTTACTTTGTAAAATGGGTCTTGAAAACATAAACTGGAATAAAGAATATTTTAAATAACTGTTTCGTAATCTCCCAAAAATGTGGTTAAATTACTGAAACTCAACTGAGATACGAAAACATGCAGAGTTCATTCACATCAAGAATGAAGCATTTATCCACCAGTGGCAATGAACAACCTTATGCTACATCGTAAATTGATTGAAGTGAGAAATAGGACCTACTAGAATCAGAAGATAATGTGCTAATCACAATGTGTGAATATTCTTAATATAAACATTGACAACACAGTGGATAAAGACAAATTAATTGTATTACGCTATACAGTTTCCTATGGATTGTCCAAATGAAAATAATCATTCAAAAAAATCAACTGTAACCTTATCTTATGGTTGAAGTTACGTCTCCTGAACTTGATTACTTCGTAAATGTGTCGTGTGTGTTAATAATATCGATAGATATAAGTAAGTTAAGAAGATCGAAGAAAAGAGAACATGAACAGAGATTAATTGGTGTGGAAACGAAAGAACAATAGAGTCCGAGGTGATTGACTGATATTTTCCAAATGAAGTATTTACTGTATGGTTCTCACATTTTACTAAGATGTTCTGTAACTTTTTGTTCAAATACACTCGATTGTTCCCACTTGCATTCTCGTTCACTACAAAGGTAATATATTTACAAGAAAAAACAATTACAATTTAATCAAGTGTCTTTGAGTTTTCTTAACTAAGCGCTGATAATAGTGCCCAGGATGACAATGAAAGTTTTTCACTTAAATCACCTCTTTTAAAGAATTAAACAAAATCAGAATATATCAACTTGCGTTGTAAATCTCTATCGTTACAATATCTAAATTATTTCAGGCTCTTCATTTCTATAACACAAATTACCATTCTGAATAATTATTTGTAGCCTTTGTGCACTGTTCATGAATAACGTGATAATATCGCCAATTAGAGAGCAGTGTTTTATCAATCGGACTAATGATGCATGAAACTCGTGTGAGCATTCCAGAGTACTTATCGGTCCTGCTTTCTGCCTAACCCAGCCAGTTATGTCCAGAACACCAATAACAGCCTCTGACGTATGAATCATTTATTTCAAACATATTAAGTTTAAATACCAACAAGACAGACCACATCGTTTCATAAATTAGGAAACAACATTTGTACAAGCCAAATGTGGCTGTGAATAAGGTAGATAGTAATTGGTAGACAGGTCATAACTCAAGAATAGTAAATCGTATAATAATAGTTTATAGGTCAAAATAAAGCTCATGATAAGACGGACATGAACATGAATAGTTTAGTTATTTAGCAGATATCGAGATATAACATTATTATTTTATTAATAATATTAAAAAAATCTAAGTAAAAATCAATAAAATCGAATAAAACATCTATCAAGAATGCATCTTTTTAAAAATACTACTCATTTACATTTTAGTAGCAAGAAACAAAGAGTATTGCAATATCATCATTAAGGATCATGTTATTTATTTATTTATTAGAAAAAGAAATTTAGTTTTTTTTCCTCCCCAAAACAATTTTCGGTTTGTCTTTTTTTATTAAAAAGAAAATGCTTTAAGTCACTTGAATTAAAAATTTAATTTAATAAAATCATTTCTTTTTGTATTCTTGTTAATCGTATTGGTAATAATCTATTATAAAAATTAAAAAAGAAAAAAAACGAGTGCAAAGAAAAAAAATTATGTAATACCGTTTATTGATCAGGGTTTTTTGCTTAAATTTGATTTTGAAAATGTAACTGTTTTTGTTTTGTTTTATTTTGTTAAAATTGTTTTCAGAAGGGGTTTTGTGGAGATTCCAGTATTTTCATAGTTGAAATCATGAGTTAATTGGAGCTAGACCACCAAGGGAAACCTGAAAGAACTGGACACCCGTTTCATCTTACTATGGAACTCCTCAGCAGTGTGCATCCACGATCCCGCACTCGCGATATTCGAACCCAAGACCTACCAGTCTCGCGGCAGAGCACTTAACCCATAGACCAATGAGCTGTCATCCTATGGTGTTTATCTCCAACTCCAACCAATCCACGAAAATGAGCAACCATTCATCAATTGTCTTCAGTGAGTTCCTATCTCACAACAGACGTGATTGAAATCCACTGGTCACTGCTTCCCGCTAGAACTCCAGGAAATATCTCTTGAAGTCAGTCACTAGTGAGCATATGATTATAATCAGAAGGGGTTTTTGGAGATTTCAGCATTTTCATGGTTGGAATTATTAGTCAATTGAAGCTACGCCACCATGGAAAACTTGGAAGCACTATCGGATGCCAGCTCAGTGGCCTAGTGGTTAAGCGATCTGGCGCTAAACTGGTAGGTCCTGGGTTCGGATCTCGCGAGGCAGGATCGTGGATATACATTGCTGAGGAGTCCCACAGTAATTCGTAACGGCCGTCCAGTGCTTCCAGGTTTTCCATGGTGGTCTAGCTTTAATTGACTCATGAATTCAACTATAAAATTATTGTATTTATAAAAAGTCAATTCAATTATCTCACTCATTTACTAATAATACATTTGTGATAAAATATTTTATATAAAGATTAATATAAGTATGAATTCAAATTGTTCAAACCATGATACTTGGATTCCTATTTACAGTATATTGGTATATCTGGACGAAGAATAATGAGTGATAACTGTTAGAATTTATGTATGAACTGTTATTATATCTTAAATAAATTATATATTTGTGATATCCCGATGAGTAGAAAAATTAGATTTTCTGACGTTTCGTGACTCAGTGTAAGCCACTTCTTCGGATAATAAATAACCAAATTAACATTAATCCAAGTTTAAATAGTACAACGGAACAATCAAAGAATATTAGGTGATCAATCAAAAACAGGTCTGAATAAATCACTGTCACGTCATTTCATTTCGGTCAAGGTGATTCATAAGCGACATGGATGTAATTTTGTGTGTATGTATGCACTGTTAATAATGAAAACTGTGTGACCTTTATAATTACAAAGGATAGAATTTGATTTGTAATGTAATGGTGTGAAATTGTATATAATATCAGACTGAGTGACTAGGATAGATGGTCCAAGTAGGCTGTATGGTAAGGCCTTCCTTTCTATTGAGAGCTGTGGGATTAAGCATTACATAGAAAGCTTCAGCTACTCTTCTTTCTTTGTAGTTGGTAAAACTTTTCTGTAGTATTTTGATATTTTCGAAATCAATTTGATGACTGTTGAAAATGGCGTGAACTGCTATTGTCGATTTATTCTGAAGTCCACTTAATTCTACAGGATTATTAGGAGGTTTCTTTGTGTACCTGATATGTTCTTTGGCACGAGTTAAGATTTCGCGAGATGACTCTTCAATATAGAAGGCATCACAATCGACACAACCTAATTTGTAGACCCAGTTCTGTGTAGACATGAATGGTATGATGATTGTTCCGGTGTACTATTTAAACTTGGATTAATGTTAATTGGGTTATTTATTCTCTGAAGAAGTGGCTTACACTGAGTCACGAAACGTCAGAAAATCTAATTTTTCTACTCATTGGGATATTACAAATATATAATTTATTTAAAACAATCTACCCAATGCTCAATTTATTCAAAATGTTATTATATCTATTTTTATTGTATAACTATTAAGTAACTAGATTATATGTATATTCATATTCGTTTTATGATAAGCTTTAGTTTGATCGATTGACTACTATTATACGATTTACTGTTCTTAAGATATTTAACAGTCTCTCACAATCACAGCCACTATTTGACCTGATTTTATGTAATTATTATTTTCTATTTTATCGTATGATGAAGTCTGGTTTGTTTGTATATAAATCCATTATGTTTGAAATACATGATTCGTATTGTGGAGGGTGATACTTATGTTCTGGCCTAAACCGGCTGGATAAGGAGAGAAGCTATTATCTCAAAGGACAAATAAGAACTCCAGTCTACTCGTACAGGTTTATGCGTTATTTTGGTCTTGTCGTATAAGTCCGTGTCTCTAATTGATGTTATTATCTCGTGATATATATTAACAGGCCACAAGTCATAACATGTATAACAACGATTCGAAATGTGATTTATGTTTAAGAGGCGATACTTCTACTTTTTAAATGAACTAAGTTGTTTGAATTTATTATTATCTGCTCTAATACCACAGACTTCATAAACACTAACAATAACGATACTTATTTGGCTTTTTGAGGAATTTGGTTTTTGGAAACCAAACAATAGACCTCAGTTCATATCGATTATCATCTTAGACTTCTGCTTAAAGAACACAATTACACATATTCGATCACTGCCTCACTATCCACAGTCAAATAGTCAAACTGAGAGTAATGTCAACGCTTTCAAGCGAGCTTTTATCAAGTCAAAACGAAAGGTTAAGACAAAAGAAGTTGTTCAGAAATTCCTGAGGATATACAGAGTAACCCGAAATCCCGTCCTGCTCGAGGGTGTCTTCTCAGCTGAATGAAAATTTGGAAGAAGAACTAAGATTTTATTTGGCGGCAATTATCCTCAAATCAAAATGTGAGATTGTCAACCCAAGATGATGTGAATTAAATTGCAGTTTCTTAATAGGTTACCAGTGCATGTAAGAAACTTTCGATAATGGCGGCCTTAGTGAATAGCATGTTTCATTGTAATATGAGTCGGTTATGTGATGTATAAAGTCGATGTTTGAAGAAAATGTCTGACGTGGCATGTAAACCAACCGAATTCGAATAAAGAACCCTTTAGTTCAAGTAACAAATTGATTGAGCGTTCACAGAACTTTCAGATTTCAATGATAGAATAAGACTTATTACGTTTGTTATGAAAACGTGAATTGTAATAAAACTATGATACATCGTATTACGGTATCATGCAATACACATGAATACTGGTTATTAGTGAAAACAGTGCAGAAATTTCTCTTTAACTACATGTTTCATTTCGAAACATCATGAATATGAAAATTGCTGATCAATTTATGATTTGATGCTTGTTTGATGAACTAAACAACTTAATACCTTGTCATAAAACGTATAAATTCAATTTTAAAAAAGATCCCATTAAACATATTCTTTAGAATACATATGTACTCATACATATTACTGAAGTATTGATGTAGTTTTAGTGCCGGTCTACTGTGTTTAGCCCATATATAACTTATTGTATCTTCTGGACAGGGCAACTTATTCATTCTTCTTGCGTCACGTTTTGACTTTTTTTAACTATTTACTTATTAATCCTGACTGTTATTATATGAGCTTATGTGTGTGTACATCTTATCCTACTCATCACATGTCTGTAGCTTATTGTTGTGTAACTATAAATATGGATCAACGTTTGATTATAAGGAGTCAGCTCACATGCTATCTCCATTGCACGTCACCTCTCTTCGCTCTCTCCTCTTCGTTCCTCTGATTGTCTCTCCAGATCAATGAGTGTACAGAATATACATATTCAAACATCCGTTCTTGTATTTGACTTATTTAATTCCATTATTCACTAACGCGAGTTAAGTTGATGATTATATACGAGGATTGGCAACATGTATATCTCAATAGTAGTGAGAAACGATCCAAATAGAGTCAGATATAGGGCCAAAAAAAGTATTCGAAAAAGAAAAATATTTTCACACTAGTAGGATTTTTATTATTTAAAAGTTCAAAATGATTCTGTATCAGTTATTTTATAAAATGGTTCAAAATATTTCAGGTTGTTGAAGTAGTAAAAGTTACTGTGTGTTTAAATTGTAATCTACTTCTTATAGTAGTCTTTAATATAACAGTAAGTAATTTAAGATGATCTAGTTTCTGTGAAATAAATGTATTCAATTAAAAGCTCACCGAGAGAAGTCCGCAAACATTTTAAACCAGATATTCGTATCCAGTTTTAGTAAATATTGTAAATGGTGTGAAAATTGATTCCCTGTTATTCTCACCATGGTTGGTCAAAGTTATTATTTATAGGTGGAATAAACAATAGTTAATTAAATACTAAATGCATTAATTGTATACAGTAAATATTAACAGTACAAGATAAATGAAACCGAGAAATTATACCTGACTTACACTCCGAAACCGATAGTAATCGTTATGAGTATACCACACATAAAGAAAACAGCACCAGGAAATACGTGTACAGTTCCGGCATAAATAAGTGGGAAAACTGTTAGATTGAACAGAAATCCCACAAACGAAATAAATGCTCCAAGAGATAATATGAAACCTTTTTTTATAAATTAAATAACAATCCAACAAAAATTGCACTTAATTTCACAAATCCAATTTGTTTTGTAAAGTAGAAAATTGAGAGAAAAAAAAGACACAAATAAACAATCTGATATTATTCACTGAAGTGTTATAGTTTTATGTACAGCATAGAATGATATTAGATCGTAGTTTTCGGAAAATTCAAGCGTCGAATAAATTATAAATCACCAACTAATGACCCAGTGTATTTTTGTTATGCCAATGTTAAAATGAACCGGATCATATCATGTCTCTTAATTTATAGAATGATCATAAAAGGTTGCATCTCTACAACATGGTTGAATTTTGTCAGTCACAATATCCTGATAGAACTTAGGGAATTCCTTGATAAGAGTAGATAGACTGAAGTTAGAAATTGGAACTGCGAATTCTAACTTGGTGGTTTAATAGCTAAATACTCTCCAGCCTTTAGTTCGATCTCTGGTGGTGTCGTAATTGTTTACTGTAGGGTAGTTCCATACCTGCGATTAATTGTTCGGAACCTCTTGGTTTTCTACTTAATGCTTATCCATGACGAATATCACACATAAAACAAATTTTTTTCACAAAAATGTCGAATTTAATAAGGATCGACATGATAATTTTATGAACTTTCTTTATCTCTTGTTTTTTTGATAATGTGTGCATCTTATATACAACCAATTATACCTTAAATTTAAGCAGTAGAGATGAAGTAACACTTCATTTTACAATTAACCTACTGTCAGTGGTCCACGGTCTACTGAAACCGAGACAAAACGTTGTTCATTTCATTAGAGGTACTGCTATAGTGTCACAAAGCAATGTTTAGAAATATAAATAAAATCAGTCAACAATAACAAATTTTGTACGCAATTGCATTAAACTTTCTATCACATTACGGAGTCGAAAAACAACCACTCGGTCAACAGTTATCAGATTTTGAATCCTTTTGGTATATTTATAGATTCATATTTCATATCACAAAAAATACTGAAAAGTTTTATAGACGAGTAAAAATTCTCTAAAATAACAAAATAAGTTGAGCATATTTGGTTAAGTTACCCGCAAACAAAGCTAAATCATCACAGTACTTACTAGTTGCAGTTTGTTCAGATTTCTTTGATTATATCATTGTTTAACCACACAGAATGGGTTTTATTGTTTAAGAGTGTTTTTCTTACACAACCCTGATATTATTTTACATACCGAGTGATCTCCCAATCGACTGGTGTGTGATTGTCTACGAGTAACAGAATCAGCTAGGAAATTAGATTGAACATTCAATCAGAAGTATCGTTTTCATTCTACATTGATTTGTTGTATGCCACATGATATCTTGCATTGAAATACCATGATACGGTCGTGGATGGGGTGAGTCCGCTGACCCTCTTGAAACCCACTCATGTGGCGACGCGTATAAAGCTATTGTCAGGGAAGCCCTACTCACTGCCTTCTCGCAACAGGATGTGTTATAAACGAAAGTGCTAGGACAAGAAGGGAATTTCCGGTACTTAAGATGAGTTGTTAAATTCTCTGGACATGCCCAATGAAGTTGGGAAACTCGGATTCAAAACCAATGGTACTCATGGGCTTCAGGATCCTGACGGAACTTATTATAGGTAATGGAATACCATAGGACCGCATCTCCCAAAGTTTCTTCATTCCCTTGTGGATTAGACCTGAGGGTCAAAGACTCGGGGAGTGGCTTTTTAAGAAAATCACTTGTTTCGGTTTGGGCACCCTGGTAGTATCCCAGCCTAAAAACAAATAGAATGGCAACTACTTTATGTAGCGCATATATATTTTGATCTTTCTTGGTACCAATGTTTATATGCTTACATAAAAAATCCCAAATCGACTCAATACACTCACTTGAAAATTTCCACTATTGACATATACGTTTAGTATGGTATAAAATCGTGACCTTTTATCATCCCTTGATCATTATCAACAAAATAAAGAACATACGTTTTGGTAAATAGTATGCAACATTCTTGAATCATTTCATAGAGTAAAATACTCTTTCACCGTTTAATAATATTTTGACCTCCAATCTATTAATTGTACCAACGATCAACGGTAATCATGATTCATTTTAAAATATCGTTTGTGATAGTTAAAAAGATTGTACTAAGTATAGCTTATAACAAAAAATTTCGACATATTTATTAAAGTTAAACAGTAACTGGTCGAAATAAATTCCAAATGAGATAATCTAAATTAGTCATACCAGGAATTTCAAAATATTATTGTGCATGGTTTTAAAAGTGAAATAACAAATATTAAGCAAAGATGGATGTTTGTTAGCAGTGGAATCCAGGATGCACTTTTCGTTCTATTTTGAGACTTGCTGGCTAGATGAACCTGCATCCTAGTGTTAATGTTCCCTACAGGACTCGGACCTAGTATTGTTCACTTTAAATGCTATCGCGTTGTCTACTTAGCTTTTGCAATGGGGTGAAGTTTAATTTATCTCTACTTATAATGCCTGTAACTTAAAACAATATCAAGGCAATCCGCATTGAATGAACATATACCAATAAAAAACTGATCAATTTCGATCCTAAACATCATACAAACAATACATAAATTAATTGAAATTACAAATATTAATTACAACAAAATATACTTGATTAGTATAATAAATCATTTTTAAATCTCTTACAAACATTACAAACATACCTTGTTTATCATTTGGTGTTATTATAGAGATCATAGTTCGAATCGGTGCAATAAGTGTATTTTTCACCAATCTTACAGCTGATGCTTATGGAAAAATGAAAGAAAACCAGTAGTTCTTATTTAATTCTAGAGTTGAAGATTTTAGTAAACAGTTATTCAACAAATATATTCACCTTTAGTTAGTTTTAAATAATGAATTAATTCCTGAAATATCAAAACAATCAACTGTACAGTTATTGAGCCCCTAGTCCAAACCCATCACCACCTAAATTGTTGCGGAAATACAGATTAAATCATCACATGACTTAAATATGAATATATACGCATCTATATGGAGAAATATAACACACAAGTTGGACTTTCAGCATCTTTTGATGTATTATGCACAATACTCTATTTCAAAACTGAATCTTCTACCATGTTAGAACAACGGAAACCAAAATATTCCTCTAAACAAATATCATTATCAGAAGGGGTTTTTGTGGAGGTTTAGTATTTTCATAGTTGAAAGCGTGAGTCAATTGAAGCTAGACCACCATGGAAAACTTGGAAGCACTGGGAGGCCGTTTCGTCCTATTGTGTAAATTGTTGTTGTTTCATTACTACTAATAATTACACTAATCAATCTGATAGAAAACTATAATATCACTTTGTCTAAGACTATTTTGAAAATTCTTACCGAAAAATTAATGACATAACTGAATTAATTATCTTACCTCCGTAAACAATGTAATTAGCAGTAGGTAAAGTGAATAAGAAAGCAATACCCATCAATATTTTGTTGATTAACATAAATCCAAATCCTATAAATATCACAGTTGTAATCATAAATAATATTCGTATTTCTTTTGATGTAATTTCCATGGAATTATATTCTGCAACATATTCTTTTGTATCCCCCATGCTGCATAATTGTAATATACGAGTTTGTTCCCAATTGTAAATTGCCACAGTGAATGTGATAGACAAACATGCTGATAAAGCATCAGATACACCTCTGAAATGATTAAAGTTTGAACCAGAAAACCAGTTGCATGAACTATTTTGTTGACAATATAAGTGTAGATTAAGTAAGACTATGTTCTGTTTAATATCTGGACGATCACTAAAACTGACAAATCCTGATTTTCTTCATGTGGCAGTTTACGAAATACTACTGCGAATATTGAAGTAGTTTGTTACTTGTTTGGACGACCAATGATTTAGGGGTAGTCTTTCTGACAAATGCTAAATAGCACGAAACCTAGGCTCAAAGTTTCTTGTCTACTATCTTCAACCGCCATCTTATAGAAGTAATATTTTAGCATTATTTGCTATTAATTAATTAATAAATCATCAACAATATTCTATCTGGTTTAGTTATAAATATAAGTGGTCAATGTGTTTTTTTATAAATATGTCTGTGTAAATTTAGCCGTACGGATGAAAACTCTGTTCAGTGAACAACTTTGTATTATCATTACACACATATTCCTCCATTATATATATCCAAGGTTAGTAAAACAATGGTTGAACCGCGTGATCTATCAGGGTTGACATTAATAAAGAAAAACTGTACTGTGATTTTCATTGACATAGAAGTGAGTCATCCTATTTTCAGCCATGACAGTTAAATAATCTTCAGTAAAGTAACATTAAGCTATTCAGATCATTTTCAAAGGAATTATATTTACCATAGTGATTAACACTAAAATGGTTTTTTAGGAATGTATGACTCATTATAGCAACTTCGCAAATACCTATTAATTTAATGCTGCTATTACACAATGAAATTAAACTGACAAAAAGATGCTAGAGATTTACATAATCAAAATAAACAACTAAAAATATCTTTAAATAGGAATAATATATTTGTAAAATCTCAGCGAATGAATTTTTTAAATTAAATCCAATACACATCACATATATCTTAAACATTCCTAGTTTAGACTATTGTTAACGTTGATTGGATGACCTATTCAGTGTATAATGAACTCGGAGAACCATGTACCTATTTATATTCGATAATTTTGATGTTTGATTATAATTCCTTGAAAAAGCTTGGACCAGATTGCCAGGCGAAACGTTGGATTTAATTTTAAAAAATTCATTCGCTGAGATTTTACAAATATATTATTCCTATTTAATGTCTTACTTCAACTCGGCGCTCAAATACTGTGAAACTATTCGTTCTAATTTAGACGAGAGTTCTTATAAAAATATCTTTATAAAAACTTTTGTGGTATGGGTTGCTTATATCCACATAATAGTATATGGTGATAGGCAGGCATAGAATGTATTTCAATAGAAGATCAACAAGGAAAGAACGGGAACGAAGCGTAATTGGTGTGAAAATGCATCGAAAATAATAATCGGAGACGATGAACTGATATTTACAGAAGGGATGGTCAAGATTGAGTCAATTGATTGACGATTTGCAAGTTAATTATTCACTGTATGGTTATCAGATTTTACTAAGATAGTTTGTAATTTACGCTTAGATACATTCGATTGTCTCCACTCGTCTCATTGTTCACTACACATTGATTTATACTAAAACATAATATCACTGAATATCAATGAGAAAAAAAACATGTTACAATTCAACCATGTCTCTGAGTTTGATGCATTGACAGTGGAAGGTGAGCAAAACTTCTGGAAATAGCTATTCAGTGGCTATTGGTTTTCAATGGTTCTTCATCTGATATCAGCCTACTAAATAAAGTTCTTTAAAAAATTCTGAAATATTGAAGAAATCACTACTTATTATTAAGTACTAAATGAATGAGCATGTCATTTACCATCGATGCATATAATTTATACAGTTATAAGGTGTAGTTAATCATTATAAGTATTACTGTAATTTGCTATAAGTGGGAAGCACCGTTTGCCTGTTCGATTTTAGTAAGTAAAAAAAGAAAACGAATAATCAACTGTTGATTGCATATCATCAGTTAGTTTATATTGTACGCACGCATATAATCCGACTGTCTGTGCATTCCAAAAAAATGGACAACCCATTAAATATATGTAGATATACTGCAGATCTGCTAAAACTGTTACAGATACGGAAAAAAGCAATGTCATAACTATTCTTGATAAAGGACTAGAATGTTGAATCGCCTAAAAGAGAAGGAAGAAACGAAAAACGATTTTGAAATTAAATTAGCAAGTCAATTAATTAAGAGATTTTAAGGCTTAACTTTTAATGCATTTGATGTCAGTGTTTAATTAACTATTACCTTGATCAATTTCGTGCATAATCGTAGAATCATCCCGTTGGACAACTATATGTTTAAATTCGTATGCGAAATGTATTGAAAGCACAATTATTCTAACTTTATAAATCAGTAGACAAACCATGAAGAAGGTTAGTTCATGATGGAGTACAGATACCTATTCAGATAACTTAAAGGATGGCTTATTAAATGGATTTATTTTCAATTCAGAACAATTAATAAGATAAGTTATAAACAGACATTTACACACCCATTATGAAGAAAACGTTCACACACAATAGATTGGTAGCTAGACCTGAAAATACATTCTAACAAATATTTAGATTAGAACAACTTATTGTTTGTTCGAACACAGGATAGATTCTCATAGAGGCTTGTTAAAGTTAGCTTCCCCTTCTAATACTTACTTACGCCTGATACCCCTCGATCAAGAACATGGACCTCCCACCAGAATTACCTATTGAACTCTGTCCTCAATAACTTTTCAAGTTATTTCTAATCGCTATTCATTCATTTGATGTCTACTTCTGATTCTCGACTCAATGTGTTTCTTGTTTATCCACGTTTCCTCTTTTCTCCGAACTTCCAAGTTAGGAAAATAAACATAAGACGATTGCTGTAATAAAGTAAACTTTAATTGTACCTTTATATTTACATGAATATATACTTACTTACTTACGCCTGTTACCCCTCATGAAGGAGCATAGGCCGCCTACAAGCACTTTCCAAACAACCCTGTCCTAAGCAATCCTTTCCACTTCTTTCCAATTGCTATTCATTCTTTTCGTGACTGCTTCCCATTCCCAACTCAATGTGTTCTTCGGCCTTCCTCTTTTCCGTTTCCATTCACGCGTTTACCTCGTGATACAGTTTGGTGATTTCCTCAATGTGTCTCTTATCTTCTTTCAAAGTCTTTTCCGAATTTCCTCTTCAGATGGAAGTTGGCTTGTCCTCTCCCACAGTAGGTTGGTAATGATGGTATCCGGCCAACGCATATTGGGTATCTTGAGTAGACAATTGTTTATAAATCCTTGTATGCTTTTGATAATTGATGTAGTTGTTCTCGAAGTTTCATTTCCGTATAGTAGAACTGTCTTGACGTTGGTATTGAAGATTCTGAGTTTGGTGTTTGTTGACAGACAGTTGTTTGTAGTTCTATATGTTCCTCAGTCGTAGGAATGCTGTCCTTGCTTTGTCAATCCCTGCTTTTACGTCTGCATCACATCCTCCACGTTCATCAATGATGCTACCCAGATACATGGAACTTTCTACCTATTCCAGAGTTTCTCCATCAAATGTGATTGTGTTGGTGTTCTCCGTGTTGCGCCCGAGGGTGTTGCTTTTCTTATGTGTGTGTTAAGGTCTATTGATGCAGAGGCTGCTGCTACACTAGCTATCTTCATCTACATTTGTTCGTGTGTATGGAATAGAAGAGTTTGGTAATCTGTGAAGTCTAGATTGTCCATACGTTTCCAAGCTGTCCATCGCATTCCGCATTTTCCCTCAGATGTTGAGGTCTTCACAACCCTTTCAAATGTCAGAAGAAAGAGAAAGGGGGTGAGTAAGCAGTCTTGTCTGACTCCGGTCTTCACTTGTAATGCCTCTGTCAGATGTCCTCCATGAATGACATTTCAGTGTAGTCCCTCGTATGAATTCCATATGATGTTGACAATCTTCACAGGTGCTTAGTCCATAGTGTCAAAAAACGTATCCATAATGTTCTCCTGTCCACAAAGTCAAACGCCTCCTCATAGTCAATGAAGGTGATGTATGATGACAAGTTCCAATCAACTGATCGTTTAACGATGATTCGTAGTGTTGCGATTTGATTTCTGCACGACCAGTCATTATGGAACCCTACCTGTTGATCTCGAAGTTAGACGTCCATTGAGTCTTTCAAATAGTGTGATGCCTCTATAGTTCTCACATTTACTCAGATCTCTAATTTTTTTATCTTCATGTGATATCTTTCTTTCCAGTCTGTCAGTGGCACTTGTTCCTCTTCTTAAATCTTCCAGAATAGAACGTGAAGCATGTTTGCAGTTACTTTTATGTCCAACTTCAGTTGCTCGGCTAGTATATTGTCAAGTCCTACTACCTTCCCACTATTGATTTGTTTGACAGACATGCTGATTTCTTTGGTCGTTGGTGGAGTGACATCTATTGGAAGGTCTGCAGGTGCTGATTCGATGTGCGTGGGGTTCAGCGAGACTATTCTGTTCAAGAGTTCCTCAAAGTGTTCTACACATCATTCCCTCTGTTCTTGAGTTCCAGTGATTGTCTTGCCTTCTTTGTTCTTGATAGGTCTTTCTGGTTTACTATATTTCCCTACTAGTTTATTCGTTGTTTGATATAGTTGTTTCATATCTCCTCCTGTTGCAGCTTTTTCCTCTGTCGTTGCTAGCTCCCCCACGTATTTCTGCTTGTAGGCTCTAATGCTCTTCTTCACTTGTTTATTCACTTCTGTGTATTATCTATTCGGTTCTCTGTGATGTTCTCCAGTGAGATCCATGTAGCTTTGTGTATGCGTTTGTGTGGGAATACTTTAACGCTTATAATCATTTCGTTGAATGCTCATAGATTAGCAAATCTCTTGCCACTTTAGTTCCCTTCTCCCAGTCCATGTCGTCTCACAATATCTTTATATCCAGTGTTGTCCATTCCGACTCTGGCGTTTAGATCTCCCATCAGGATTATCAGGTCTTTTCCTGAACACTTCGCTATGAAAAATTGCAGCATCTCTCAGAACTGATCTTAATCTTCGTCGTCTCTACCACTAATGGGTCCATAACATTAGATAACATTCATTGTAATTTTCCACTTCATTGTTTTGATGATCGTATATCTATGAGATTTCCATCCTACAAGTTCATCTCGTGCTTGTTTGGACAACATCAGTGCAATTCCCTTAGTGTGTGTAGCGTTTTCTTCTTCGTGACCAGAGGACAACAGCATCTTTCCCAAATCTATTATTTTCTGTCCAGCTTAAGTTCAATGTGTTTCACTTATTCCGAGCACCGCTAAGTAGTATCTTTTCATTTTCTTAGCTAGTTGACTAGTCCTACCGTTCTCCCATACTGTTTGGACATTTTATGTACCTATATTAATTGTTGCTCTCGTTGTTAGACGAATCATGGGTCTCATGACTTCTCAAGAATCTCGGCTTTCACCATAAAGCGTCATAAGTCTTCTAAATGAAGTTACTTTTACTCAGAGGGCAGAGATATACGGTTTAATTTGTTTACTCTGGTTAACATTTTTCAGCAAGGTTGTTATCTACGAGATGGGGTTGCAGACCCAATATACAACCCTATTTCTTTACCCGGCCTTAGAACCGGTAGAAACCTTGGAAGAGCTACAAGCAGAGTTTTAGCTTTTCCCACATTTGGCCAAATATTGTACAAATGTTATTTTCTATTTTATGGTACTATGTGGTCAGTTTGTTTGGTATATATACCCAGTACGTTTGAGAATAATGATTCATATTGCAGAGGCTGTTATTGGTGTTCTGGACTTAACTGGCTGGGCTAGGCAGAAAGCAGGACTGATAAGTGGTCAAGGCTGCTCATACGGTTTTCATGTATCGTAGCTCTGATCGATAATTCACTCCTCTCTAATTGGCGGTCTTTTAAAGTCATATATATCAACTGGACACGCACGTACTCACTCACCCAATCGATATAACAAGTTACAAGTGATAGTTTTAGAGATTTTTATGATCTTCCTTAGAAATTTCTGAAAGGATTTCTGATGCCATTACTGGTCCTCAAAAATTGATTAAACTACTATACTTAGTTAACTCAATTACTTTAATTCAGTCAGTAGAAATATCGACCATTAATATAGATAAACTAATCTGTTGTGAAACACTATCTGTTCATTTTTTTAAAAAAAAACATAGTCTTTTTCTGGCATAAGAGATTTATTTGAAACTATTCAACTGAAAGACTTATGACTTTTTCTGTCTTCAAAATTTTTTAGCTCGGAAACTTGTTTGCTTATTTTTTTAAACAAACATTTAAATCATGTGAAATCAATGAATTCTTCTAGAAATACTGGGTTTTACAACACATTAGATTATAAAAGTGAAACTAAAAGGAACAAATTAGCATGTAACGAATTTTGAACTAAGTTACTCAACGATGTCAATCATTTTTTAGTAACAAAACTAGTTGTACATTATGTGTATCTTAGTATTTGTGAAGTTTGTGGTATGACGACGAGAAGCGTAAGGGATGGTCTGTAATGAACTATCTCTACTCTTAATATAGATAAACCCATGATTTCCTTTTATGACCCATTCGTATTCATATTCAGTCTTTGAAGAAACAAGTAAATATAAGACTTATGATTTTTAATATTTACAATTGATTAATCAGTGAGTAGTGACCAATGTTGTGTATTTCAAGTCTTTCTTAGTACTGATCGAATTCTATAGGTGAGTTTGCGATGTGATCATTAGTCTAAGTGACTTGATCTCGCGTTTACTTTACTATGAGGGAGAGTGGTATTTGGAAGTAATCGATAGGAATCTCTGGTCCTGGGTTCTATATTGTTTGCCACATGCCATCAAAACGTACCTGTGACCTTGAAGGGATTATCGCTCCCTGGAGAGTCCGATTCAGTGTCACGTAGCTTCACAGTCAAAGACGTTACTACACAGCTATTCTGGACACGACTGACTCCTGTCGACTAACTTAAACCCTGGCCTTTCATTTCAAATGATTTGGAATAATTATAAACAGGAAAAAACAATAATTATTTTAGGTTTGCCAACATGAACATCTTGAATGTGTCTACAAATGAAAATTCACTATTATTTCAGAGGGAAAACAAATTGAGATGAAGTGTTATATTACTGTATATAATAACCAGAAAATATCCAGCAGTCGATGTATGTTGAGTCACTTCAAAACTAGTCACACAGTGATCTCCAGTAGCGATCACAGTGCATATGGTTATTTTCTCAGATTTAATCCATGTAGTGATACTTACAAGTAAAAAAAAACTGGTGTTTCATCACGTAGAGTTTATTACTTGATGCATCCACATAAGAAACGTCCCATAAACAAAGGTCGATAGTAAGCTAATCGTCATTAAGTGATATCTACTGATGATCAAGGTGTTCACTTTCTTCATTTGTCTTATCGATTTGAATGTTTTAAAAGACCGCTAATTAATACGGATTTTCTAATAAGTCAAATAATTTCGAATACAAGATTCAAGTTCACTGGTTTGTTTATACGTATCAAAAAATGTTTTTATGAAAACTAGTTAATTGTTTGAACGTTATTGAGACTAAAATCACAGAGTTGATTTAGAGTTGATTAATCTGTTGCAGTTCAACAGGTATAACACTGAGTTACTAAAGCGTTCTTTTTCACTAGAATTATTATTTACATCTGAAGAAGCTATTCACTATTAACGTTCAGACAAGTTGTCCTACAAAGTACTCAATCAACTATGCTATAAAAGAAATGACAAACATAAGATGATGTCTTCCAAAAGCCATATAACTTTACCTAATATAAAATTAATACTAACCTTAAGCATTTTTATGAATATTTCCAGTATTTTAATGATAAATGTATTTTTTTTAATTTCTAAGTAGAGTAGACCATCTTCAGAATATCTAGATTCACTGTATTGACAGATAGCATTATTTTGTTGATTATGTCTTCTCTTTAATACATCCAGATTGGTTTCAGGAAGAATTGATAATCCGACTACTGAGGTAGTATATAATGCAAGACATATAATAATAGACACACCAAAACCCAAGCGGTGTACCACCATACCTACAAAATTAAATTATACATACAGGAGTAAAATATTTATTTCTTGAAATGGATGACGTTTCTCTATAATCATGGAATGCTCAAAGAGTTTATTTGTTTATAGTAAAAGTATATATTAATCCAATCCTACATACACAACGTGTCTCCGTATATGAACTTTGATAAGATTTTTATTTCTAAATTACAGTGTACTTATTAACTAAATTATTATTTATGTCAAAACACCTAAAAACGTGAACGAAGACCATTATATTCAGTTAAGTCACAACAGGCTTTATAGTTGACTACAAATTAATTATCGAGAAGAATAGATACCATAACTTTACATGTTCTCTCTTAAAATGAGAAATGAAAATCAAAAGGGTTGGACAATCATCATCCTTTTGTAGTTATCACTACAAATGATCTTAAGGAGCAAGTAGAACTTGCCAAAGTATTAAAAATGTACTTCAATAGATTAATGGTCACAATTATAATCAATATTACGTAAAGTTCAATACTAATTCAGCCATTCTAAACGTACTTTGAATAATTTGCTTTTAATTGAGATCATGCAGCGATTAGTGTTAGACCCCCATTGAAAACCTGGAAGCACTAGACGGCCATTTCGTTCTAGTATGGGACTCCTCAGTAGTGCATCTCCGCGATTCCGCGAGCAAGATTCGAACTCAGGGCCTTCAGTTTCACTGATTCATGGTCTCAGTCAAAAACTTAACAATCTTGAAAACCCCATAATGACAATTTGCTTTTAAAAATAATCTAGTGATTACTATAACTTGATGTGGTAAGTACCACAGTGGGGCTTCGGATGTTTTAATTTGCGAATACACTTCTAACTTGAATAGAGCATGTAGATCTATGCCGTTAAAGCAACTATCCTACAACCAATTTCGATTGTGGTTATTTTTGGTTAAGCCCTTTTAATAAATTACTTAACAGACATCGCCATTGGGATAGTAACAATTAACATATATTTTTGTACTGTTATGATCACCAGGGCACATGACAGACTCTAATCAAAACGTTGATTGCTTAAATATCATTCGATGATTCATCCTCCTCCCCATATATGTATGCTTTCCAATCCTATTATCAGCTTTTGCTTTGTTTTGATTCTCCCTTATACAATTCGACTATAAATTTGCCTATGTAATTGCTCGCGCTTGCTCACTGATACTTACTCATTTGCTCATAGCTTTGTGGCCTGAGTCATTTGATAACAAACTGTAGTTGCAGGTTTTCGTTGCCTTCTGATTTCATGCACCGTTGAGATTTATATTATAACGCTTATCGAGGTAAAAGATAAGCGAATCATTGCACTACATATTCATAAGAAATATGTTCAGATATATCCATTAAACTCTTCATTCTATACGTTTATCAAGAGATAATTTGAGTTAACGAAGTTACATATTCATCGCAAACTTGAATTTGATTTACAGTTTTCTCGTTCTACTTTTTTTTTCTCAGGATACTTATTTCTATAATAAGTATGTCACAATATGAATGAACATTCCATATAAACTAGCAATTGTGTCGTTGTACATTTCTTCTTAATTTACTTATACAGAATAATACTATTAATTTCACAGTTTTATTTCAAAATCATTTGGGTACGGTTAGTCATTACAATCAGTTTGTTTTAACATTGACAATATTCATCCCTGGCTTGCTAACGAAATGGAACAGTTTTCTTATTTTAATATTAGAATAAATTCCAAATTTGATTGAAAAAAAAATCATTAATTAATATAAACATTTGATAGATTATTTTAGATATTAGATTAGTTATTAGATCAATTATACTTGTTGATTGATTATATACGGAATTGAAAACGGTGCAATTATTTGGCAAATAGTACTGTGAATACGTAAATACATTATTGCTAATGATATTACCGTAAATTTTTAATAAATGCAGTCTATGAACTATACTCAAACTATTATATTTTTCACACGATTAACAGTATAACTTACTTAACTTACTTTCGCCTATTACTCCCAATGGAGCATAGGCCGCCGACAAGAACAGTATGACAAGCAATAGATATGTTATAAATTCTTTTAAAATGTGGGCATATTTTGTGTTGTATTTGCGCGTTATACCCATGTTGTCTAATCGTGCCATTTGGTATACTATATGAGTCAGCGTACTTTATCACTTTATTTAAATGAATAGCTAGTTAGGATGTTTGTTCTAGAACATTTCTCACAAATAAACTTGAATAGTAGCTAACAATGAAAAATAATACTCAAATTTCGTCCCATTTAGGATTTGCCAGATGAGTGTACCTATACCTGTACTGATTTCCACGCCGGGAATCAAACCTAATGCCTCTCACTTCAAAACCCAAGGCTTTTACCAATGAGCTACTAAGACTCTAGCTTGTGCAGTGTGAAGTGCATTTTATTGTTTATCTGTAGTATTTTTAATCTTTTCGTTGTGATTTAGTTGAGATATCAAGGTAGTTCGCGTGAGATCCATATATTCCAGAAGTTATTGATCAGAATCCAGTCCTTAAAACCAATAACTATAGGATTGTAGATAGACTTTAATCACCAAGTCATGAGATTGAAACCCTAACGTTGGATAACAAATGAAGGAAACAGGTTCCGTATTTCTAACATGATTAGTTTCTGTTTCCGACATAATCACTAAAATAAAAGACTTATACTTTATTATTGAAAATAGTGTTAATAGGCATTAAAAATAACGGTACTAGGTAGACAATATATTCAGTCTATTAATTTTATAGTTATCTCATTAATAAAGTGGAATTTTACATATGTCTTACCTCCAAATAGACTACCACAAGCATGACTTAAACTTGCCAAACTATCATACATCGTAAAGAATAACCATCTGTACTCTTTAGATGTATATTGTTGACTTAAACCTGATGTATTAGAATTTTCATTAAAATCTTCCGGTTGTACAGTGATATCAGCTAAACATGCAGATATTTGGGCAGTGAATGATATAAGACCACCACCAAAAAGTCCTTCAAATAAACCTGGAAAAACAACTGTCCATGGATTCAAATTTAAGTAGATGATAAAACCTATATAAATATTATAAAAAAGAATATAGTAAAAAAATTTGTAGAAACAATCGACTAGTCATGACTGAATTGCTACATTAGAAATAAATAAGCTGACAATGTAATAAATTCACTCTTTTTCTAGAATTTTATTTTTTGGTAAACATCGAAATACTAATAAAGCCCTTTACAGCAATCATTAATAATAAATAATATTTGTTTTCATCTAAATAAACAATAAAACTTTAATCAGAAGGGGTTTTGTGTAGATTTAGTATTTTCATAGTTGAAAGTGTTAGTCAATTGAAGCTAGATCACTATGGAAAACCTGGAAGCACTGGACGGCCGTTTCGACCTATTATGAGACTGCTCAGCAGTGCGCATCTACGACCTCATCTCGCGGGATTCGGACCTAGGATCTACCAGTTTCGCGCCAGAGCATCCGATGGTGACTCACGCTTTCAACTATGAAAATACTGAAATCTCCACAAAACCCCTTCTGATAATAATAATCATATGCTTACTAGTGACTGACTTCAAGAGATATTTCCTGGAGTTCTAGAAGGAAGCAGTGACCAGTGGAGTTCAAACCACCTCTTTTGTGAGATAGGAACTCACTGAAGGCAATTGGTGAACGGTTGCTTATTTTCGTGGATTGGTTAAGTGCTCTGGCGCAAGACTGGTAAGTCCTGGATTTGAATCTAGCGAGGCGAGTTCGTGGATGCGCACTGATGAGGAGTCCTACAATAGGACGAAATTAGCGTATAGTGCTTCCAGGTTTTCCATGGTCTAGCTTCAATTGACTCACGCTTTCAACGATGAAAATAAAACTAAAAAAGTAGATAAAACAATTTGCAAGAACGTTTTATATTAAAAAAATCTCACCTATTAGTCCGATATATAACGCTTCACCAAAAATCAATATACCTAAAGCAATTTTACGACCGTAATGATCTGATATATATCCAATAATAAGAACTGTTGCTAATCCAAAACTTAAACGTATAAGATTACTGACAGATTCTACCCAAGCAGCTTTGGCTTGAACTAACTTCAATTTTTTATCATCTTCATCAGATCTATACATCAGTTTATTTTTTTAAAAAGGGGGGGGAAGAAAAAGAAAAAAACCTAAAGTTATGGAAAACTTTCTGAGATAGAAAGATAAGTAAAAGAAAAATTAATGAAATTCTAAATAGCTATTATGAAATTAGACCACCAGGGAAAACCTGGAAACACTGGACGGCGCACTGCTGAGGTGTCCTACAGTAGGACGAAACGGCCGTCCAGTGCTTCCAGGTTTTCCATGATGGTCTAGCTTCAATTGACTCACGCTTTCAACTATGAAAATACTAAATCTCCACAAAAAACCCTTCTGATAATGTTATGAAATTGTCGATGAAATTACTTAAATGAGTATAGGAACATGCATCGCAGTTATGTTTTAATATGAAGTATTTAATGATCGTTAACTGGAATGCTCATGTTGTTTTATATTTACAGTATATTCTGCATTCATTATTATTGTTAGTTGAATTAAATAGAAAGAAGATTTAGTTTCATACCAGAATTCCAATATGAATGTGCTTTACATCTAGTTTTTTAATGGTTAAAATAACTCACATTTTAATGAATCAATAGCTTGCCAATTAAACTATCAAGTCTTGATCATACAAATGTAGTTTCTGTAAAATGTGAATAGATATTCGAGTATAAATATGATTATATTATTCTGAAAGATTGTGTACATGAAAGGTGAATTAAATGTATTTGTTAAATCTAGATATCATCAGAAGGGGTTTTGTGGAGATTTCAGTATTTTCATAGTTGAAATCGGTTAAGTGCTCTGTTTTGAGACTGGTAGGTCCTGGGTTCGAATCTCGCGAGGCGGGATCGTGGATGCGCACTGCTGCGAAGTCCCACAATAGGACGAAACGGTTGTCCAGTGCTTCCAGGTTTTCCTTGGTGGTCTAGCCTCAATTGACTCACGCTTTTAACTATGAAAATCTAGATATTTTATTTGTTTGTTTTTGGAATAAATTTTAAAGATAGTAAATAGTCAGTGAATAGTACTGGAATGAATGATGTTTCCTGATTTATATAACCCTGATATATGCAATGTTATTCAATTAATTACAGGTAACTAAACTCTATTTTTTAGCTAGTTCGTAACGGTTATTGAATCGTATCTCCAACCTTGATGAAAATGAACCAATATTTTCATTAAGAAATTCAGGCTGTAATCAACATTCTGTCAGGCCTAAATATTGACACAGATCGACTACTTTGAAATGAACAATATTATGTCTTCTTAGTCCTGAAGGATAACGTTTTTAATATCCTACTGATTGTTTCAAATTATCTGACATTAGATATTGTACTAGTTGTGTAGAGACACTACAACCGGTGGTCATAATGCAAAGTCATTTATTGGAATTGATTACCACTAGATACTATATAAGCACGACAATGATTACTTCCTAGTGATCAACCAGCGAGATTGTAATATACATTTTGAAGTTACTTTTTATACTAAAAGAATAAGATATGTAATCAGTCGTTCAATGAGAGAAGATAAAGCTTTCTTTCTTAAGATAGCAGACAACCAAAATCTCGATAAAACTAAATAATGTTTTATTGTTTTATACTTTACATTAACTTCTGTTTATTCACTTGAAGAATTGATGAACAGTTCCAGTCATGTTACATTAAAATCGAATTAAATCCAGTTACAAGTATTAGTTTAGTTTTTTTTTGTCTGACAACTTACAATCGTTTCTTTCTACTGTTATTAAGCAGATGGCCATAAGGTAGACCATGTTCCATTAAATATCTGTAAAATAATAAATACCAAGATAAGCATAAACGTAAATAATCGATAAGCCTAATTAATCCACGAAACAAAGAACTAAAATGTACGTATGAACTATTTTTAGATAAGGTAAACTTTTCAGTATATTTCGATTTGATATTCGACAGGACCTTTTAGACAATGAAAAAATGCTCAGCCATGATAACACATAAGACTAAATCAAATGGATGTAACACAGAGTAGAATATCTTCAAATTATACAAATTCTTAAATAAAAACGTTTTCAAGTATATTTTTGTAGAGTGAAATAGATTATTGCCGATTCTCATATAAGCTTTACGATGAAGTCAGTTATCGAACAGCTGAACATTAATTTATAGAAGCAGGTCTTTGAAGACTAAACAGAGATTTTCTAAATTGCATCAATGACCAGAAAAGATATTAAACATAATGAATTCTCAGCACATCCCTTGACAGACAATTGGTAAGAAATATGCATAGCCTGCTTAAGAATCTGGATTTTCCCAGACAAACTTATTCCATCGACATATGGAACTTTCAAAGGATTATTACTCAATCATATTCAGTGTATTAGCCACCTCTCAAGGAAGAGAGAATCAAACTTTCATGAAATGGTGTGACAGGATGATCAGAAAGGTAGAGACTTCGTACTTGGACTGCAGAAATAGGCTGAATTGTGCGATTTCGGAGGATAGTTGAAAATCCAATTTCGCGATCGGTTAACTACTGGGATACATATTCAGAATTTCGGAAGAGATCCAAAATTTTATTTCAAGAAATACAAACAGCATGTTCTTCGTACTCTCCCTTCTACTGTGCATTCTGCACTTATTAATGATGCATCATCTGTGGATATTGGTCCATTTTTTGGGCAGGAAGGTAGATAAGTAATCTGTTTTTCACGCAAACTTACCTTTACTGAACAAAGTTATTAGCAAACTCAGCGAGAAGCTAGCTGTGTTTTATGTTGTTAAACGACTTGAAATTTCTTTATCTGGAATGAAATTCATCATTGTTACAGATCATGTTTTCATTGATTATCTTTTAATCGGCTTGGGGTGTTTTCCACAACTTCACTGAATTCCTAATAAAGTGTTCATTCGGAAAAGGGTCCCTAGGGAACTAGTAACTGATAATAGCTTTCATTTTGTTGAAGAAGCAGTTATTATTCAGTTAAACATTGTACAGTGCAAATAATTGTTCACTGCTCCTAGACAACCTTATTCCAATGATCAGGCAGGAAATTTTGTCCGGATGTTGAAGACTGATATTGGTTCCATTACTTTTACAACATTCGATGAACTGAAGAGGATAGTAGACACATTTCCGATTCAATGTAGAAATGTGAAACATTCTGTTAGAGAAGAGAATACATCAAAGTTATTTAAAAGAAGGATTCCTCATACGAATGTTGGGGGCCTGGAATTAGCAGAAGTTACGTATTATCATGTGAACGATCTCTGACCATCCACAGGGATTGTAATGAGGAATATTGGAAAATCTATGGTTTGAATTCTAGGCACGAGTGATTTAAGTACATACAACCGACAAACTGATCAAATATAATTCCAGGACCAAGGTGAGTTTGTTCTGATTTTCGCTGTTAATCCTAGTTCTAACGAATATATTCTAAACAAAACTGAGTCTATACCCGATGCACAGTCTGACAGACACAGAATGGAGCTACGGTGGAAAAGTACAGTAGATTACAGAAATCCTGATTTCTATTTTAGCTGTAGTTGTTGTGGTATTTGTACCACTTGATGATTTCTTTCATGCGTGACTCCGAGGCTGGTTTTAATTCCAGATACGGTACTTTTCAGTTGTTCTCACTATATTCTCTATGACTTCGACACTGACATATGCAAAACTCTGTAGTATATAAAATTCCATTATGTCCTGTCATCACAGTAACCTAAATGACCATGATCTTGCTAATAACGTTTAAATCCATTCTAGTGAATGATATTCAGTGCAAATTACCGAATTTGCAATTTTTTGTTCTTGTGGCATTAAAGTTCACTTTTAAGCATAGTGGTTTTTTCAAATCTGCATTTACTGATGAATATTGGTGAACTGTAATAAAAAAATTCACTTTATACAAGTTCATACGATTACTACATCTATTGGTTCTTCAATTGATTAGGCTCATTATTTTAAATAATAATAGACGAAAGTAATCAATACGGATTGTGAAAGTTACAATTCTGAGACTTTATAATGAAAAAGAATGGAAAGGCATATTGATTTATCATGAGTAAACGCAAGAAAACGGTACGTGAAGAAGCGGTGGAACAATGTACCAAGTACTTGGTATTTTGACCATTTTCAAAAGGATAGCCAAGCACCGTCTAATTTCTAGCGAGAAATGTTTTAATATAAATTAAATAGATATATTTTAAGATCTATTTCAGGTAGATGAAGGAAAACCTTACGTCTTATTCAAATCAAGCAAACTGAGAATTTACAGGCCAATGTAATCAATCCAAATTAACTTATGTGTCAAACAGTGCACTACTTGTAACGTAATGAACGAGGACACAAGTGGTGACAATCGGACATTTCTGAATACAATTTTATATGGATTATTAATTTATGATTGTAGAACCTGATGAGAAATTATTGAAAAGAATATTCTTCGTTCATATAATTGTGTATTAAAAAAAGTCTCAATAAAATCTGACGACCATACAGTTAATAATTAATTTCCAAAATTCACTTAGTATTGTTTGTTTGAATCTTCCCATTGATGTTTGTGACTGCAACTGGTCAGTCCTAACTGACGAGTCCCAAATAGGACGAAACGCGTGTCCTGGATTCCACTGCTAGCCGCTATCCATCTTTGCTTATAATTTGCAAAAAGTTCATTAATTGTCCCTGACCTCATTGTTCCTGAATTCCTATACAAATTGCTCTCTGTTCCCGTTCTTTCCTCTTCAATCTTCTCGACCTTTTGCTACCAGACATTCTAACGCTGACTAGCGTTATATACTACTTATGTCAATATAAGTGGCACACACCAGAGTAGTAGTAAAATGAATGAAATTACTCATTTATTTTTAGTGTTTCCATTTTTATTTATCCGATAAATATTGACTCTCTTATGAAAAACGTACATGTAAACTGATAATTTTCAGTCAATAACTTTAAAATCGTCTCATGCAATCTTATCAGTTAAGTTATAATGCCTATTTCATTAAGTAGTTAGTTACCTAAATTTTTATGGATTGTTTTCGGACACTACATTAAGTAATAATTGGAGTTAGTTTTTGTGTTTTGAAGAATCAAATAATGTGAATAGAGACACGTGATTTTACATTGTATTGTGTTGATGCTTTCTTAAATCTCAAAATAAGTTACGAGTAGAAATTGCATTGTATTTACTCTAGAAGTTTGTAATTCATTTTTTTGAATTTTGTACAGATCTTTTAGTATTTTCTAGAACACTTTTTTGTTGTAAACTGCAATTTTACAGATGATTTTCATTGGTTTCTTTATCATTTGTTAATATAACAAAGCTAGACCAGCATGGAAAACCTGGAAGTACTGGATGGCCGTTTCGTCCTAGTGTGGGACTCCTCTGTAGTGCGCATCCAGAATCGCGTCTCGCAAGATTCGAAGCTAGGATCTATCGGTCTCACTCGCGAACGCTCAACCTCTAGACCACTGACCCGGTCGGCATCCAACGGTGTTAATATCTAACGTCAACCAATCCACGAAATTGCGCCACCGTCCATTATTGTCTTCACTGAGTTAATATCTCACATATTTGATTGATAATGTGTTCAATGAAATTGAACTTAATCAAAATGAAAACTGAATGGGGAATAACAACCACTGTTTTAAAGTGTTTTCATTTGAATTTCGAAAAATTACACTGAGTGAAATAAAATGTCAATGATCAGTAGAACTCATTCGTTAGCTAAACCAAACTAACCAAACAGGATGAAACAAGTGATTGATACGTTTCATATGATATTCATTAGAATTGTTTATCTGGCTAGATATAGATTCAGCTCAAACCATTTTAATCGCTTATTGAATTCAGCATTATGTAATAGATACTCTTTATATACATATATATATTTCAGTCTATTTTGTCGAGTGTTGGGGATGTCAAATCCCCAGAACTTACTTGGTAAATGACCTAATCTTGTAGTTTTATTTTGAAAATTTGAATTTAGCTGTTTTCGCGCCAAAAGCGCTCTTTTACCTTCACGTCATATTTCCCACCTGTAAACTATCTTAACCGCTATTGGTCCTTTGTTTCTTTATGTGTGCTATTTACTAATGGTGCTCAAGGACAATTTGTTACTGTATAAATGCGCTTGACTTTTTCCCTTATTGGATTGCTTGTACTCGGCTGCTTACGGAATACATATATATTCCCCTACTTGCCTTGGACTTCTTCATCTAGTTAGCGGGGCCTGGGACAACAGATTAGAATAGCTTATCGTGTCATTGTGTCATTGGCTTTCGTTCGTTACCGCGGAATCGATTTAGTTTCAGGCATAACAATTGGCGACGGGGACAAAAGTGAAAAATGACGCTCCCTTCTGACCGCTTACAGTTGCTCTTTGACCGACATTTGGAGTTCATGGTCAAACTACGTACACAGTTTCTGGATCATCAATGCTTCACATATGCGTCAGAAGTGGATGTATTAATCTCTGAATTGCACACAGAGCTAGCAAATGATCGCAGCCCCCATGATTCCTCAACAAGCCGCAACCTAGACGAAACTGCAGTATCACAAGACATGCCCGGTTGTCCATCACTATCCGTTTCAGCAACATGCCCGGTAGTGGATTCAAACTCCACTATCCTGGAATTAGCAGGTCCTATCAATGACGCTTTCAGCTCTCATCAACACGATGCTATGTTAAAAGCTCATGAAGTGGTCGCACCAATCACCTACGAAGTGCCAGACATCATATCGAGCAGCACACCGAGCGAATCGCATTCTGCAATAGAAATTTTTACCGAATCTAATGCCAAAGATTCCCAAGCTTGTCCAGGAAATTTGTTACATGTATCAAATCCGGAACCTAGCGCAGTTTTGCTGGACACTGTTTTTCATAGTGATCCACAACCTGCCAGTGATGTTTGCAATAAGTCTAATGACTACATTTCTGCAGAATCAAATTCTGACCTCACATCAAGTGTCGATCCTCACCATCCAGTCAATCTTAGCAGGTTCCCTATTGAATGCCAGAAACATGTTATAAATAGAATCGCATTAGTAGAAAATTGGGTATATGAGGATCCAACACTATTTCGTGGGGGAGGAGGAGCTCGGATTTCTTAAAAAGGGGAGGTGTTGGGGATGTCAAATCCCCAGAACTTACTTGGTAAATGACCTAATCTTGTAGTTTTATTTTGAAAATTTGAATTTAGCTGTTTTCGCGCCAAAAGCGCTCTTTTACCTTCACGTCATATTTCCCACCTGTAAACTATCTTAACCGCTATTGGTCCTTTGTTTCTTTATGTGTGCTATTTACTAATGGTGCTCAAGGACAATTTGTTACTGTATAAATGCGCTTGACTTTTTCCCTTATTGGATTGCTTGTACTCGGCTGCTTACGGAATACATATATATTCCCCTACTTGCCTTGGACTTCTTCATCTAGTTAGCGGGGCCTGGGACAACAGATTAGAATAGCTTATCGTGTCATTGTGTCATTGGCTTTCGTTCGTTACCGCGGAATCGATTTAGTTTCAGGCATAACAATTGGCGACGGGGACAAAAGTGAAAAATGACGCTCCCTTCTGACCGCTTACAGTTGCTCTTTGACCGACATTTGGAGTTCATGGTCAAACTACGTACACAGTTTCTGGATCATCAATGCTTCACATATGCGTCAGAAGTGGATGTATTAATCTCTGAATTGCACACAGAGCTAGCAAATGATCGCAGCCCCCATGATTCCTCAACAAGCCGCAACCTAGACGAAACTGCAGTATCACAAGACATGCCCGGTTGTCCATCACTATCCGTTTCAGCAACATGCCCGGTAGTGGATTCAAACTCCACTATCCTGGAATTAGCAGGTCCTATCAATGACGCTTTCAGCTCTCATCAACACGATGCTATGTTAAAAGCTCATGAAGTGGTCGCACCAATCACCTACGAAGTGCCAGACATCATATCGAGCAGCACACCGAGCGAATCGCATTCTGCAATAGAAATTTTTACCGAATCTAATGCCAAAGATTCCCAAGCTTGTCCAGGAAATTTGTTACATGTATCAAATCCGGAACCTAGCGCAGTTTTGCTGGACACTGTTTTTCATAGTGATCCACAACCTGCCAGTGATGTTTGCAATAAGTCTAATGACTACATTTCTGCAGAATCAAATTCTGACCTCACATCAAGTGTCGATCCTCACCATCCAGTCAATCTTAGCAGGTTCCCTATTGAATGCCAGAAACATGTTATAAATAGAATCGCATTAGTAGAAAATTGGGTATATGAGGATCCAACACTATTTCGTGGGGGAGGAGGAGCTCGGATTTCTTAAAAAGGGGAGGTGTTGGGGATGTCAAATCCCCAGAACTTACTTGGTAAATGACCTAATCTTGTAGTTTTATTTTGAAAATTTGAATTTAGCTGTTTTCGCGCCAAAAGCGCTCTTTTACCTTCACGTCATATTTCCCACCTGTAAACTATCTTAACCGCTATTGGTCCTTTGTTTCTTTATGTGTGCTATTTACTAATGGTGCTCAAGGACAATTTGTTACTGTATAAATGCGCTTGACTTTTTCCCTTATTGGATTGCTTGTACTCGGCTGCTTACGGAATACATATATATTCCCCTACTTGCCTTGGACTTCTTCATCTAGTTAGCGGGGCCTGGGACAACAGATTAGAATAGCTTATCGTGTCATTGTGTCATTGGCTTTCGTTCGTTACCGCGGAATCGATTTAGTTTCAGGCATAACATCGAGTAAATTTTTCACCCAAACAATGTTGATAAGATGTTTGACATTATCTAACACAACCTAAATTTATTATTTAAGAAATGAAACTTACATAATAAATTAGTCACAAATCCAAGCACATGATTATTATAATCAATTGGATGATTCTCATCGCTTTTAGTGAATGAAATATACAACTTAAGTAAAGGAAGACAATCACCCTCATTTCCATTTAGTCTGGTGAACAATACGTATTTCCAGTAGTAACGTTTCAATTACGGAAAAGACGTGACACTTTACAAAAGCCATTTATTATCTTCTTGGGTCCATATCTAAATTTTTGTATGGAATCGTCATTTTGTTACACCGTTCAGATTTTTTTACATTGTCAATAACGTAATGACACATTTATACTGTTTTCTTCCTTTATAAGACTGTTTCAAAAAAATTTTTACATTACTTTATGAAGAAACTACTTATCGAACAATCCGTTTACCTGATTTCACATCCGTTTATCGGTATTATTAATCTGTATGATACTCAGAAAAACAGCTGTCAACCAATTTTATTCAAAGTGAGAATCTTCAATACGAACGTCAAGACAGTTCCAATGTACGGAGCTGAAAATTCGAGAACTACTACATCCATCGTCAAGAAGGTAAAAATATTCATAAACAGTTGTCTGCGCAAAATACTTAACATTCACTGGCCGGATATTACCAGCAACAGCGTTTTATGAGAGAGGACAAACCAGCTTCCAAATGAAGAGGAAATTAGGAAACGTTGTTGGAAGTGGATCAGAAATATATTAAGGAAATCACCAATGTACATCACAATGAAAGCCCTCACTTGGAATCCTGAAGGGAAGTGTAAAAGATTAAGGTCAAAGAACACATTACCCCGGGAAATAAAAGTAGATATGAAAAGGATGAATGTTAACTTGAAAGAACTGGAAAGGATTGTTCGGGACAGAGTTGGATGAAGAAAACTGGTATGCGGTCTATGCTCGTCCACGAGGGGTATAGAGTTTGTTATAACTATTATGAATAATTATCGACATATTAGATATAATACAAATGTTTATACAAAAATATTTTTAATCATTAAAGAAACTTATACTCAACTTACTTATATATCACATATTGATCAGAGACAAATAAACATATTTCCACAGCAACATATAATAGTATTGATATAATGACAAGTATTATTAACACTTTAATATTTTGATTTTTACATTTACATTCAAACATTTGAGAAAGAAAGAAAGAAAGGAAGAGAGTAAAGTATCCTAACCCTTAAGTAAGAATAGATAAGTTTATTTTTCCTCTAAATTTTTCTCTTTTTTTCGTTGTTGTTGTTGTTGTTGATAGGATTAACGATATATATAATCACCATGTTCATTTTTTTAAAGTTTTATTATAATGTAGGTAACCAATCATGTGTGTAATATATTAAAAGCTAATTGTAATTTGTCATTCATTTATCAATAATTATGTATGTAATGATTTAACATCTAAACAATACAATCTGATTAAATAATTTAGTATCTATGGTATATATACATGTATATATATGTAATGTTTCTTTTTCAAATTGTTGTGTTAAACATTCTTCTATGAAAGTAGAAAACGATTTATTGATTAATTGGATCCTATGTTGTTTCCATTTACTTTATTAAATAGAGATTTACACACATTTTATTGACATGACTAATTTCAAGGATAATGTTTAGTTTGTTAGTAGCTTCTAATAATGTTGAAATATTAGTCATAAGCTTGGATCATATTGTTGTGAAGTTGCATTTGTGAGTCTTAGTAAAGATTCAGTATACTCAGAGTTTGTACTGACTACATTCCTATTTACAGTGACGATGATACTTGAAATATTCAATATGGTTTTATAATTGAGAAATAATGAAACAGTATCAATTTATTTACTTAGATAAATGTGTCACTAGTCGCTATTGATTTCCAAAGTAATTTTGATCAAAGTAATGTAAAATTAAACATGCTATTCTGATTCCTCTTTGAGCCTATCAACACCAGACATGTCGAAGCTATTGCTCATTCTACCCATTTATATCTGCACTCCATACCGTTCTTCCTCTCTTCTGGTAGATTTTGTAAGGCTTGAAACCTACTGCTGAATGTCATCTTTAATTCACTGAAAATGGGTTGTAATAAACCTTGGTAGTATTGTTTATTCAACTGTTCAAGGCTTATTTAGCTTTAGTTTTCTATTGACTACTTTTAAGTAATGATCTTGAGCTAGACCAGCTCCTGTTTTTTTATTACGTTTTGATAGATTTTCCGAACTTTTTAATTATGCATATGTGATCCATCTACTTTTCTATAGTGTGATCAGGTGAAACCCAAGAACTTTTGTGTATAAGTTCATGAAGTAGAGTATTGCCACCTCAGATCATTTTCTTGAAAATGTTTAAGTTTACTAATCTATAGGCAGATAGGTAGTATCATTGTGTCTAACGCGTCACCATCTTAACACTAAATCAATCCATTTTAGATATTTATCAAGCTTCAGAGCTACAACCCACGCTTGAAGTGTATCATCTTAGTAAATGAAAAATAACTCGAATATTTGTGAACTATCAAATTTACTAAGTAAAGGTAGTTAAAAAATAAGGAAAAACATATTTATAAGTAATTAACAATAATATAGCATTTGATTGTCTGTTCTCGATGTATGTGCATTGCATTTCGAATATGTGGGAATCCTCGCAGTAAATGAAAATTAAAATGATCTCTTATACACATTCATTATACGATAATTCAATATGAAAATTGATATCAGTTTAAAACAAAAAAATAAAGATAATTTACTAAACCAAATTACAAATAACAATCCTAGATCTATTATAGCACTACATATATTTTTATATCAATTACTTACGTACGCCTGTTATCACTCATGGAGGAGCATAGGTGGTTCACCATCATCCTCTATACAACTTTAAACCAAGCAATCCTTCCCAGTTGTTTTCATTTGCTATTGATCCTTTTCAAGTCTGCTTCCAATAAATTTTCATAGTGTAAATCATAAATGTCTTTGATAACAGATGAAATCATCTGATGATATCCGGAAAGGTAACAATTTATCGAATTCACCTGAGTGTTTTGTGGCGATCTATGTAGTTAACAAAAAGGATCAAAAGATCAAAAGGATGATCATAATGCACCTTATAGTTGTATGCTTTTAGGACCCTACAACACTGGTCATCTGTAATTCGTTAAGAAATGGAAACTAGAATATTAGGATCTATCATATACTTTTTTATGGAAAGAATGGACAAGATTATCTGTGTTTACATATATTCTATCTTTGAAATTTCCACTTAGAAGTTATAAATGAACGTTCAAACTAAACAGCTGTATATCAAGTTAATAGCTTAACTCTAATACTTAATAGGTGATTGAGATTACAATTTGTAATATTATGTAATATATGAATTAAGTAGAAATTTGTCCATCATAATTAATACAATGTGACAAATATGAGTTTATCATCTACTACCTTATCCTCAACGAACCCAACGGTTAATTTTGTATCATTACCAATGTTTGACTTGATAATTTCAAATACGTTATACATTGAGTATATTGTTATCAATAACACGATGATATATTCGTGTTTTCTAAGTGAATAGAAATTAGAATTCCTAGAGTTTCCGGACGTATTTTAAGCCGCTTCTTCTAAGAGTAAATCAATAACCGAGTTCGATTACCACCTTTTACCTATTTTTGTAATTAATATCTACAAGAAAAATAGTACAATAGTAAAACTGTTTTCTTTGTGGCACTTGTTTTGAGAATATGGAACTCAAATCCCAGAGGTTGAGCTTCAGTTTTTATTTGACCTAACTTCAGTTTTGATGAACATTTATCACAGATCTAGTATACAACACAAAATCGCCTGAGAATGATCAACGCTCTTTGCTTAAAAATGCAGTTTGAGATTTATGGTTGAGAGATTACTATCAGCGTTTTTCTCTAATAAGTACTGTTGTTTGACGAATTGATTTCACACTTCCTTTTTAATATGATAAGAATAATTGACCCACGATATCGATAACATTTATCCTGAAAAGTTTTTACTACTAACAGTAGTAAGACACTTTAAGGACAAACAATCTGTTCTTTTGATGTAAACTTCATATTTGCAAATGCATCTTTAAGAAAACTATCTGAAAAGATTATCTTATATGAATATGTATATTCTTTTAGAAATTCTTAAAGATTTATTACTATTATACACCAATAGAGTTGATTTTTTAATTCAGGATGAACATTTTTGACAGATTGGTAGGGCTTTTATGAGTAGTCTTTTAGGTCCATCATTAGCAGATAGGTTAGTCATAAGTATTTATTTATTTGAGGGTTTAATTGAAAAAGTATTCTTTTATAAGAAATAAGTGAATGGTACATTTGTGAAGAAACGGAAGCCGATAATTATTTTTTAATTAAACTTGACATTTTAGAACCATAATACATTAATTTAAAGAGAAGAGAAACAACTAGCTTCCCTTTTTAGATATGCTTATGAGTAGAAAACGAGATGGTTCAACCAAGAAAGTTTGTCGAGAGAAAGCCTACATGGACAGGACAATATCTTAGTTTCCACGGTTATTTTCTAGTTTATTTTGACCGGGACTTGGTCAAAATGCCACTCAATAAAGATGATTATATTTGTACAGAAACAGTGTTAGAGAAATGATATCCTGTAAGGTTTATAAATTAAAAAAGAGCACAGTACGTTAATACCTGGTATACTCTTGATATTGGAAAAGCTTGTTTACAGTACCCTACAGGAGAGAATTCAAATAGCCTTATGTTGAATAATAGGTTTAAATCAGCAACCAGTAGGACGCACTGTGCAGATAATGTCATTATTAATAAAAATCAAGTTCCTTATTTGATAGTAATTGTAAAATGAATGTAAACCATCATATCACGTCTCACTGTGTCTACCAATCTAAATGTATGCATGTGAACAGAAACATACGAAGAATTAATCGTTATTTCCAAACTATGTTGTCTGAACATCTATCAAAATTGTTATATACTAAGGAAAAAGTAAGTACGGTTGACTCACGAGATCTTATATTAGACTATTATTCTATTTATATTCCTATTGTATAACTATCCAGTAACTAGATTATCTATGTCTATATTCATCTTATTACGAGCTTCATTTTGACCTATTGATTATTATTGTATGATTTACTGTTCCCAAGTTATACTCAGTTTATTGATTGTTGTCTCCCACGCTTATAGCCTCATTTGGCTTGATTTTCTAAAAATATTATTTTCTATTTATGGTGTGGTGTGGTCTGCCTGTCTGGTATATAGACAAAGTATGTTTGAAATAAACGATTCATATTACAGCAGCTGCTATTGGTGTTTTGGACTCGAGTGAACGGGTTAGGTGGATAAGGACCAATAAGGACGCTAGGTTACTCATACTAATCGGACGTCATTGTCACAGTGTGAAGGTCGTAGAAGGCGTATTCTATTGGTGGATAATTAACGCGAAATTACGTCCTTGTTAAATTCTTAAGGTCATAACAAATCAGCGACGACCTTGGTCAAGTCATAACAATTGGCTACAGCCTAGGTCAAATACATTACAAAAATGGGTACACATACAAATAAAATCAAACAAAAAACACTCATTTTCAGTTGCCAAACACATAAATGGAGAATGCCATAAGATAGTTATTCACTCAGCCTCTGTGGTTTTATATAAAAGCTGTCTAATGAGAATAATGTTTGTCAAATTCCTTCCCATACAAATGTTCAAACACTCCCTTATGTGCTCAAATATACTTTGAACTTATACTCAACCTACCCCGATAATATTGATTTATTATCCAGAATGATATGATTCACATTGGGTTTTTTATTATCATTGTTCTCCTCGTACCTTTCGACTTGCCTATTTGACTTTTATTTTTCATATATAAATGCCTTGGCAAGTAGAAGCATGGTCAGATTGTTAAAATATATTTTGTTAACATATCAGATAGTTCTGATGAACGTCGTCTCCTTATTATTAAAATGTCCATTTATTTTAACACTAGTGGATACAATATAATTTGTCATTCACAGGACATATATTATATTATTTCATTCAGAAAATATCATTTAGTATATAAAGCTGAATAGAATTCATTGGGGGTTTTATTTTTCCTATCTCAAATGGTAATTATGATCCCCTTATTATTCATGTCAAATTATAGTGTACCATTTATGTATTTCTTTATTTATATAAACACTATAATGAGGACCTATATGTTTCTTAATATTAGCAGTACCTATAGAATGCATTTGCATTTAGCATTATGATTGATATGAATTTGTTTTATAACTTTTAGAATCCAATTCTGTTGATTTAATTTTATCTTACTAATTAAATCATTTAATTATAATGTGATAAGCCTAATGATGACACGTAAACCTTTCCCAAAAACTTCACACTGTTAACAACATTTGTTTTTATTGTTACTTAAACTTTAGGATAGTTATTTCCTACATTTCAGGATATCTTTAATTCGAAAAATTATTCAAAATCTTTTTTTTTCTCGAATGAGGAATTTTTAAAAGCATTATGATAGCTACTTCATGGCATGATATATTCGGTTTTCGTTGTATATTCTTTCACATATATGATCAACCAGAGATTGGAATATCTGCGACAAGTTGTGACCAGTGTTAAGTAATATTCCAGATTAAGATCATGTTCGATGTCTATGTTATCTACTTTGTCGGAAATATTATGATGTTTATTCGTTAGAATAAATCTTAAGTAGGTAAGGTGTCTTTTGGGCAAAGCTAGTAATTAGTTCCACACAACGTAGAACCTGATAAATATGTGCACCGGTCGAAAGTCTTACACCCTGATTGCCACAGGGAAGTGAAATCGTCAAGATAAAAGCCAGAGTAGTGGAGATTTCAGTGGTTGATCAAAAAAAGTACGGGTTTGAATGAGCATATGGATCGAGGAAACGAAGAGAAAAACACATAATACAAGTTCAAACCATCTCAGCCAATGATTTGCCTAATCAATAGATTTTCCATCATTAACTAACGCCCTGCGTTTAATATTAGGACCACTGACTCAATGGTCCTGAAACACGTAAACAATTCTTTGAAGGCACCCGTGATCAAGTACTAGAAACTTACGATTATCCTCTCTTTTAAAAGCGAAGTTTTGAAATACACAAAATAGAGCATAAAAAACCGTTACCCGATATACTCTTCCTCTGCTTAGCAGACGGACGGCTCCCGTAGGCCACAACGGACGCTGGTTGGCAAAGCTAAACTAGCGTTTGTGTGGAGATTTCGTTAGACACCAACCCACCAGAGCTGACGAGACATACAAGACAAGTAAGGTGGTCAACGAGTTTAACAACTTCATTGCCTATCACTAGCTTGGGCGTTGAAACAGTCCAGTTTTCAACCGACATTTTTCACCTGGAGGGATAAAATCGCATTCCAGACAAGCTTTGATTGTTGTTCAAGTCAATCACAAAACTTGCATTTTGCTAATGTCTTCACCGAACAAGACTATGTCACCTGTATATTTTAAGTCAATAAGTGAATCTATCGGTACGAGTTCGATTACTGAAAAGCAGGACAACGAGAGCTTTAGCTCTAAAAAGAATGACCATGATAAAGTTAAATAAAAATATCGAAAATGTACGACTCTGACAAGCGCGACATAAAGTTCTCAGTCCCAGTAGAAGTTCACCATAACCTCTGAGTCGGCTGGCAATCTTCGAGTAGTTTTTATGCAATTGATGCACTTCTTTTAATAAAAATAACTTATTAGTATACGGAATCGAACGACAACTTTAGGCCAAGAAACACAATCGTGGTTAGGAGTTAGTAAGTATAGAGCTCCTGGAACTTGAAGAATGAATATATAATCTAAACATCCACGTACAACAATAACAATAGACGGAATACACCGATTGAAACATATAAACAAGAAAATTGGTTCAGCGAATAAATACAAACTGACAGTCCTTTACTTTCACGAAGAAAGATATAACAAACAGTGCCTCAGAATATTCCCATACGATTTATTCAAGAATTTTATTGATTTATCCGGTCTTTTCTGAATTCACGGTGAAGAATAACAGTTTCCGAGAATATGCATTGTATTCCGCTGAGTAAAATCGAAATTTCAGGCCTAATACAACAGTGTTGTAAGCGGTTCCGCATAATCTTTTCAACTATTGTGAAGTCGTTTACATTTAAACAGAGTGCTTACATTCTTGGTGGTTGCCTATGATGCTCTGGATTCGATATAGGCCATCGTAGAAAATTTCGGGTAGATTGCTACAAAAACGCAGTTACCAGATATCATGTTATAACATTTAACCTATCAATGTTGTGGATGCAATTAATTTGTAATTCTGGATATTGTCAGTAAATTCTATTTCACTAAAAGAAAATTTGACCATCCCTATCAATTTCAACCGCATTTTATTTTATGTATATAAAAACAATAATATAAATTCTCAGCATAGATTAGTCTATGTACAAGTCCTAGCAGTGACAAAAAGCAAAATGTCTAGCTTCTCATCAAGGTGTTCCAAGCGTTTTACCAAGTAAAAATTAGTAAGACTAGTTTCTGTACAAATTAATTGTTTTTTATATACTTAATCCCACAATTCCAATTTCAGTACAATACATATAAACGAGTTTGCTTATACCAATGAATATATCACACTTTATTGTCGAAAGTATAGAGGGATTGTGTTTCATCACTGTTGTTAATGAGTATACCTATAAAACAAATTTGTGCCGATATTTTATTCTTAAATTATCCCTGGTAAATTTAATCAGTTTTAATAGAATTTATCTAAATCAGTACGTCACAAAATAGTAAGGTACATATATGACAACATACTTATTAAGGTAATTTTTCTGTTGAAACTGTACTTCATTACTGATGTGAACAGCGAAACAAGGTTTAGCAAGCTACGGAAGATATTTCTGGGGACGTTATTTCATTTAATTCAAAGCTTGTATAACAGTAACATTTACTTTTGCCCCTAGTCTATTCTACAGATCATAAGCTTTCGTTTGATTCACTGCTATAGCATTTTTCGTCCCAAAGCCATTGTAATTTAGACATAACCTTTTGTACTCTATTTTCTACTCTAACCCCCTACTTTTGGACATAATTGTATTTTCCTAATTATTGTACGTTGTAGTCAGGTTAGCTATCTATTTATTTATGTATCTTTTTACACTAATCGGAGTTTCGAATTCGGGCATCAGATAGGGATTGCAATAAAGCGATTAGTGTTCCAGTTGTTTTGTCTTCTCTCTCTCTCTCGTGCTTGTCAGCCAATCAGGGATAGAATAGTTTTCGTCTCTCTACCCCCGCTTCGAACTCACACATACTAGACTCAAGGTTAAGCTAGTCAGCCTGTCGCGTCAAGGTCTTAATCTACATTCGACAAGTCATACTCGGCACGAAAGTGGGTAGACAGATTCAAGGACGTAACAATTACATTTTTCATCCTTACACGCGATATCCCAATCATTTGACCTAGAAAATACTAGTTTTCGACTACCACTCTACATCATTATAAACTCCATGACAAATATTCATTCAAAACACTTTATGAACCACACCTTTTCAAAGAATCCACTCTTACATCTCTATGTTTTACATGTTATATTACCTTCATTTGTCCAACTTAATCATGAATGTAAATCAGAATGTCTTCTGAAATTATTTTTTAAATAAAAATTTATTTTATAGAGTTGAGATCATGAGTCAATTGAAGCTAGACTACCATGGAAAACCTGGAAGCACTGGACGGCCGTTTCGTCCTATTATGGGACTCCTCAGCAGTACGCGTCCACGAACCCACTCTCGCGGGATTCGAACCCAGGACCTACCAGTTTCGAGCCGAAGCCCTTAACCGATAGACCACTGAGCTGGCATCCAATGGTGTTAATTTCTAACTCTATAAAATACTAAAATCTCCACAAAACCCCTTCTGATAATAATCAGGTGCTCACTAGTGACTGACTCCTTGAGGTATTTCCTGGAGTTCTAGTGAGAAGCAGTAACCGGTGGAGTTCAATCAGGTCTGTTGTGAGATAGAAACTCACTGATGACATTGGTGAATGGTTGCTCAATTTCGTGAATCAGTTGAAGTTAGAAATTAACACCGTTGGATGCCAGCTCAGTGGTCTATCGGTTAAGGGCTTCGGCTCGAAACTGGTAGGTCCTGGGTTCGAATCCCGCGAGAGTGGGTTCGTGGACGCGCACTGCTGAGGAGTCCCATAATAGGACGAAACGGCCGTCCAGTGTTTCCAGGTTTTCCATGGTAGTCTAGCTTCAATTGACTCATGATCTCAACTCTATAAAATACTAAAATCTCCACAAAACCCCTTCTGATAAAAATTTATTTATTAAATTACAAAGCCAAATTTTAATGAAACCTTAAATTTTTTATTTAAAAAATAAAGTTAAAATAAGTCAACTTGAGATTCGTTTTGAAAAAGAGAAATAACTGTAAAAATCAATAACAAAAGAGAAACAATTATTTACATAAATGAACAGATATATAAAGAGAGATTCCATAGATAATCAATAATCATAATAATATTCATAGTTCAATGAATAAAATGGAATGTTTCTTCTTGTTTCTAACTATTAACAGGATTAACTATTTCGATAATATTCAATTGATTGAAATCAGTATTCTTTATTTCTTTTTTAGTATAACGTGAAATGTATCTGAATGATCGAAAGAAAAACAAACCCAGTATAAAAGGAGGCCAGTAGAGATAATTAATAGAAGTTTAACTATAACATAGATATATTCAATAAAATTAATGATTACATTACCTTGGTGAGAATTTATTACTGTAAGTACACCGTTTACTATACATATGGTATCCTGGAGTGCAATGAAATGTTTGTTAAACATACATATTTGTTGATATATATGTATATGTGGAGGATAGATCAATTCGATCAATTATTTTATTAGATTGTAAATTACATAAGAATATGTAAATGGAATAAAAATGTTAGTGCACTTTATAGATCTTTTGAAAAGTGAATTAATTGTTAGTCGAATTTAGGTATTAATATAGATGGGACCAAAACGTTGCGCTTAAATCAAACTACTGACCATCATCATTATTATTATGTGCATAAACAAATAGAGAATATTTTCACAGTTGAAATCATGAGTCAGATGAAGCTAGACCACCATCAAAAACCTGAAAGCACTGGACGGCCGTTTCGTCCTATTATGGGACTCCTCAGCAGTGCGCACCCACGACCTCGAACCCAGGACCTACCAGTCTCGAGCCAGAGCCCTTAAATGATAGACCACTGGTGTCAATGTCTAACTTCAACCGATCCACGACTTTGAGCGACCGTTCACCAATTGTCTTCAGTGAGTTGATATCTCTACAACAGACTTGGTAAAACTCCACTGGCCACTGCTTCCCACTAGAAAGAATAGAACAACATATATAAGCGAACAATATTGTTTTCGATCAGATCCTCACCAGGCTTTTAAAATTATTTATCGTATTCCTACTAGTTTTCCTTATGGGGTTCGATCTCGTCTCTTACACATAGCAAAAGCTATAGGAATTCGATCCAACAGTCCAAGCCTTTGCGTTCATAAGAAATTTGTAACACCCTAATCTCTCCCTTGGCCTTAATAAATAATTTTATTTTCCATACTCTTTCTTCGTTTATTCTTCTTCACCCCCTCCTACCAATTATTTATTGTTTCGCTTCACGGTCCAATTATCTGAACACTTCTTATTGCGTAATCTTATACTTTTTATGAATGTTATTTTAGTGTCTATATTTTCTAATCATTGACCTATTTCCCATTATCTAACATTGATTCCAGCATTTATTATTCTTATCACAACTAGTACACCTATCATAACGCTACCAATTTGTACTTTTCACTTATTATTTTTTTAGTTATGTAAACTATTCCACTGTTATCATTGACTTATAAACTGTCTTGATTGGTTTAATAATTTCGTATATGCATATAAATATTACTGTATATTAGAGTAAAGCCTGATGAGGATCTAATCGAAAACAATATTGTTTGAATCTTCCCATTGATGTCTAGGGCTGCAACTGGTCAGTCTCTTATTGGCATACGTGCATACTGTGCGTATTGCCACGATATCGCTTATAATGTTTGTATATTTATGCTATACCGAGGCAATACGCACAGTATGCAGATATGCCAATAAGAGACTGACCAGTTGCAGCCCTAAACATCAATGGGAAGATTCAACCAAACAATATCTAATGAATTTAAACTACACCCCATCGTACAAGCAAGTGGCTATCAGGACTCAGTAAATAAGTGGATAACATGATAGCGTTTGAAGCGAAAGGTACTGGGTTCGAGTCCCAGAGTGAACATCAAATCTGAGATGCAGGTACATTCAGTTAACGAGTCCCAAACAGGACGGAACGCGTGTCCTGGATTCCACTGCTGGTCACTATCCAACTTTGCTAAATATGTAATCATTTTAAGGAAACTTACAAGAATTAATTTACTTTCAATCTATTAACAACAGTTAAATGAAATCCGATTTTCTAGTGAATAGTGCTTTTAACACTCTTTCATATTACATAAGTTATCACACTGAACTGGAAAGTTAAGAAACATCATTTTTGGAGTGATAATAAAGAGGAAAAAGGAAGAAAAAATAGAAACAGCTCAGTGGTCTAGAGGTTAAGTGCTCGCACGCAAGACCGAGAGTCCCGCAAGCGGGATCGTGGATGAGCACGGCTGCGGATTCCTATACTATAACGAAACGGCAGTCCAGTGCTTTCAATTTTCTCATGGTGGTCTAGCTTTAATTAACTCATGAACTCAACTATCAAACAATAAATTTATTTGATTTTAATTAAATTAGTTCATTGTTAAATGAAAAGAAACTAATACTATTTTTTCGGTAATAACATTTTGCAAACTTACAAAAGTAGAATAAAAGCAATGAAAGATAATCCTGATGAGACAAAAAATACTGCACCAGAACAAAATGTTACCGTCGCTGCATAAATATACGGTAAACTACCAATACCAATAAGAAGACTCAAGTATTCACATAGTGCAATCACAGAAAATAAACTACCTAAAAGAGAGAAAATATATAAACCACAACAACAAAAAGACATATGATATCTCTATCAAATCAGAAAATAAACAATAATAATTTTCCAGTCATGTATATATGGAAATTGATATTATACTGCTCATTGGAGAAATACAATAGCTGCGCTGTGACGAACCATTATCCTAAACATTATTGCACATCTCTTCCTCAATACAAATTCAAATCCATTGGCTAAGTAGCTGAAACGATATTCTTTACGGCAAATTGAACCACTTTAAACGTATATCATTAACTTAGAAGAAAATCTTACATAGAGGTATATGGTATTGAGAAACTTCCTTAAAATCTAAACAACCCATTTATGAAATATACTTTAGGAGTATAACGAATAAGTGCAAACACGAAAAGAATAAATATAATCAAGGGGCTAAACCGCCAAAATATATGAATCTAAATTTCCTGAAAATCCATACGGATTTTAATTTCCTTTTGATATTCTAGATAGGACTTGAATAGAAGTCTTATAACTAGGTCAGAAGTTTTGTGATAGGCGTGGATATGTGGGTCAATTGAAGACAGATGTACAGTTTGAGATAGTATTAATCCGCATATAAGACTAGGTAGATGCAAAAACTGTCGAACTATAAATATTTCAGATGAAACCGACCAACTGCTCTAGTCATATATATATATATATATATATATATATATATATATGACTTTATCAAGGTTACAAAACATCGGAAGGTAAGTTAACATAAATATTCAGCTCCAATGAAGTAGAAAGAAATGAATAAATGTGAACTGAACAATATTAGATTGTATAAATTAATGAATGAATGAGTGGACGAAATAGATATATATACATATATATTTAAAAACGAAGAGAATATTAATTAATCAATGATTGTTCAGATCAATTCATCCTCCACGTACTTGGATACGGGCCACACTTCAAGTGTGATGATTCATGATACTACCTGGCTGCTAAACCCGAAGTAGGTGGGACAGGGCTTGAACGTAAAACTTATTAGCTTATACCTGAACGCCTTAAACAGTACGCCACTATTTCATTCCTTCGTTTTCCTAATTGTAACATTCTACTGTAAAACATTATTGTTGTTAATATTTCCTGGTTTTTATCTTACTACGAGACATGTATATGAGATCTTATTAGGAAAAAAATTTGATCCATAGTATAGTAGATTAATGGTGATTACTAAATCATCATGCACCAATTTTTCTGTAAAGATCCTAATGGTACCCGTTATTCAAAACTAGTATACATATTAAAATCTGAGTCTCATTTGTTAAAACAAAATTAATTCTCCGCAGCTCAAATTAAAATCACGAGAATAAAAGTTGAAAGATCACTGAGACAGTAAACAATTTTAATGTACTGTTATAATTTTTTTAAAATTAGTAATTAAACAGCCAAACGTAAAATGGCCAAAACACTACAATCATTCGGTACTTCAGTGTAAATAATTTAAGCAAAAAAGAAACACTTACTTTGAAGTTTAGAAGTATACAGAGATGATATGAATGATTTGAGAACCGGTACAACAGCTGATCGAAAGACACATACAAATAGACCTGTAGAACAAAAATATAGCTTTATAGAGTTACAGCTATAAATTAAAAAAATAATTAAATTAGTGCATGATAAACTACTTGTTTTAATGCTATTTAGAAGATTAGTTTATATTTAACTTTGTTATGTTACATTAACCTGGAGGACTAAGATATTCATAATTCCAGATTGATTGTTAGGATTCAATAAGCACTGAAGGACTAGACAAATATGACATCGGTAACTACTCACTGACGAATCAATTATAAATAAATAAAAAAAAGATATAGTAGATAGATAGATATCTGACCTAATTTATATAATTCTACACATTACGTAATTTCCGATTTGTAATCCCATTTTTGTATCTCTCACCACCATGTCAACTATATTTATTCTGATCAATTATCTTACGATTTTATGTCACTTATAAACTGATTCAAGTTAACACTTCATATTAGTCATCCCAAAAACATTAACGATTCGATCTTATTTTATATGACAAACAATCCTTGATTCACATATTACAGTTTCTTAAATTGATGTACTCTGCCTTCAACTTGGCCAATCTTCTTTTATGGATTATTAATTTATAATTGTAGAACCTGATGACAAAATTCAGTCTGCTGTACAGGACTAGACGAATATGACACTCATCACTACTCAGTGATCAGTCATTTGACTATATTAGTTTGAGCAAAGAATGGCTAACCACTGTGTCATAGGTTCTAAGTTCATAATTCGTATTTCAGCTAGAGCAAGTCTTACTATTCTTAATTCCAATATAATAATCGTGACTAACAATATAAACTGAAGTATGGTCATTTGGTGTTTGAAACACATATGAAACAAAACACTTCACTACAATTAATGAATACATGAAATTAATCTGTAAAGTAATTCCTGGATAGAATAAATATCTTCAATATGTTCAGTACTACTACTAAGTAATGAAAAAAACAAAGTATTATCATATAGAAAAATAAATTAAACTATCTATCCGACATATACATTCAAAAACAAACCCTGAAATAGTTATTAAATCGCTATAAGTTGATAAAAAAATAATAATAAATTTCAGGTAAATATACTTTTGAAATACCGAGAAAATTATTACGATGTTATCAATCACAAAAAACTGCGTCTAAAAATTAGGCTGTGTCGATTGTGATGCCTTCTATACTGGAGAGTCATCTCGCGAAATCTTGACTCACACCAAAGAACATATTAGGTACACAAAGAAACCTCCTAATAATCCTGTAGAACTGGATAGACAATAGTAGTTCAAGCCATTTTCAACAATCACCAAATTGATTTCAAAAATATCAAAATACTACAAAAAGGCTTTTCCAATTACAAAGAAAGGAGAGTAGCTGAAGTGTTCCATATAATGCTTAATCCTACTGCTCTCAATAGAAAGGAAGGTCTTACCAAACACCCTACTTGGACTATCTATCCTAGTCACCTAGTCTGATATTATTTACAATTCATATATTACATTACAAATTAAACTCTATCCTTCGTCATTATAAAGGTCACATATTTGAGATGGTGGACTTCTACCCGAAGTTTGTGCTGATGATGTCGTTCAGAAGGACGATGAAAGCTCCACAACCAAACCATCCAGCTCAGAGAACAAACCAACATCAAAGGTCACACATTTTTCATCATTATTAGTGCACACATACACACACACAAATTTACATACATGTCGCTTATGAATCACCTTGGCCGAAATGATTTATTCAGACCTTTTTTTGATTGATCGCACCTAATATTCGTGTTGTTTCGTTGTACTATTTAAACTTGGATTAATGTTAATTCGGTTATTTATTATCTGAAGAAGTGGCTTATGCTGAGTCACGAAACGTCAGAAAATCTAATTTTTCTACTCATTGGGATATTACAAATATATTATTTATTTATGACACAAAATATTCATATGATATAAATGAGTCTTTCACAATTCACTATACAGAGTAGATTAAACAATTAATTACTCCATTAACATCGAATTATGGATACTAATAAATGAGCACAAACACTGAAGAATTATTTGACATTATAAATAACCCTAACAAAAGAAATACATTCAATCTGTCAAACCAAACAACTAGTAATCAATAAAGATGGTTTTCTCATTTTGACAATTACGTGAATAAATTGATGCCTTTTATTGCCTGCTTCTGAGAAGAATCAACCAACTACAAGTACTTTCTATCATGGACTGATTTCATTAGGGATTCAACTAAAAAACAAGGAATACTTGACAGCTATTTTATCTTAGTATAGGATTTCTCAGTAGTCCATACCCATTACCCTACTGGGATATGTAGGTCCTAACCCAAGGTCCAATAATACGGTTTCCATTTCAACCAATTTGTGACTATTTACTGTTAAACAAACCAAATAACCATCATTTAATGTATTTTACACTAAACAACTACTCATTGCTATATAAAAAAACTTTGCAGATAATTTGAGCTAGTGTCAAAACTTAGAAATTTTACATTTCAGTCCACTGTACTATTTGAAGCCTACACAACACAACTATGGTGTAGAAAAAATATTCATAAATTATCTTATGATTGGGTAAATTCGAAAATTCACTTATTTCAAGGTAATAAAACTTCTAACATTTTAGTTGTTAAGACATAATTCATTTCTGTGATCTTCGCGTTATCCTTCAAGTACTCATTGAGTGCCCTCAACGCAATGGGTTGATCACAAGATTTTAATCGCTGGAAAATTCCCATCATATAAAACACAATTCGTTTCTAAATAAATTAAGTTACGTATTATGGCAAATATTACAAAACAATACAATAATTTTAAACAGAAATCACAGACATAAAAGAAAACAACTTACTAACAAATACGAAAATATTATGACCAGGTGAAGGAAACAAAAATGCTAATCCCATAAGTAATTTACTAATTACAATTGCTAACATTCCACATATTACATACTTTATCATACGTCGACGTGCTCGTAATACTTCATTTTGAATAATTAAATTCGATGGACTACTAATATTACTGTTATTATTATAATCAATTGAATCAACTTCATGAATAGAATTGTAGCTCGAAACTGATTGATTAGTGAGTAAAGGTTCTGATGCTTCAGACATCCGACGACGTTTAACAACTTTCATCCAACGAGTAGTAACCCAAGTTAATCCAAATGAAAATAAACCCAGAAGAGTAGAATTTAACCCACTAATAAAAGAAATAAATACTTTGTATGTTATTTTATATATTACAATTAGACATATAAATATTAATTATCAGAAGGGGTTTTGTGGAGATTTAGTATTTATCATAGTTGAAAGCGTGAGTCAATTGAAGCTAGACCACCATGGAAAACCTGGAAACACTGGACGGCCGTTTCGTCCTATTATGGGACTCCTGAGCATTGACTCACGCTTTCAAATATGATAAATACTAAGTCTCCACAAAACCCCTTCTGATAATTAATATAATCATATGCTCATTAGTGACTTCGAGAAGTATATCTAGGAGCTCTAGTGAGAAGCAGTGATCAGTGGAGTTCAAAACCACGTCTGTTGTGAGATAGGAACTCACTGAAGACAATTGGTGAATGGTTGCTCAACTTCGTGGATCAGTTGAAGTTAGACATTAACACCGTTGGATGCCAGCTCAGTGGTCTATCGGTTAAAGGCTTCGGCTCGAGACTAGTAGGTCCTGGGTTCGAATCTCGCGAGAGCGGGTTCGTGGATGCGCACTGCTGAGGAGTCCCATAATAGGACGAAACGGCCTTCCAGTGTTTCCAGGTTTTCCATGGTGGTCTAGCTTCAATTGACTCACGCTTTCAACTATCATATAAATATTGTTTATGTACACTATTATAATGTAACTTACCTATAATAGCCATATTGATCAACAGACCAATTGAATGGAGGTCCCATTAAATATAAAAATGTATACTGACCTTCATTGTATGTAGTCAATGTTGTCAAGATCAAAACTGTTAAGACTAAAACTGTGATAACATTGGCACTTCGAACTAGCTAAAATAAATAAGAATAATACTGTGATATTTGAGTAGTTTGAAAATTTTAAAGTAAAACTTTAATCAGAATTAAATTTTATCACTATGATTACATAACCTTTATTTACTCTGAAGAAGTGACGCACATTAAGTCACGAAATATAAGAAATACAATTTTTCTACTCATCGGGATACAACGAAAAATATGTTTATTATTAATGCGTTTATTGTACATTTATTTGCATTATTATTATTAATGGCTTTATTCAATATATGTTTGGTACAATATAGAATTTTTAGCACAAAGTCATTGGCTAGGCGAACTCTAAAGACCTGTTTATCACATAATAAATTTGCTAGATAAGGTATTGTAGAGCTTTTATGTCTTTGTTTGGGTGCGTGGATTGAAATGTATTGGCGCCTCGTCTTACTAGGTGATATAAAAGGAGAAAGATATGAATAAAGTGGATGGTTAGTATCTGATAAAACTTGTTAGAGGTTTCCAAGATTTTAAATATCTATCCACGACTCACCACACACACTGCCTTCAGCACTATCCACAATACAGCGAAATCTTATCGCAAAAATGTGTAATGGGGTGCAGTAAAGAAATATTATGCAAGAATAAACAAATTGTAAAGATAAGTGTAGTCTTTTTATATAGTAAGTCAGACGGAAAACTTTCTTCGATAACACTAAAACATAAGAAGGCCAAAAGTGTTTTCTGTGGAAGATGGCAGGTCATGCAGAAAAACAGAAAGCAAGAGGGTAAAGAAATGCTCCTTGTGGCACACTTTCATGAGCACTTTTCTCCAAATACAGTGCACTGTTCTCTTCCAGAGAGATAGGAACACAGCCAGTTGGTTATCCAGCTCTCAGTGTTGACACTGATGAACTTGTTAAGTAGTAGTTATCTTGGAATAAAGTCAAGGGAAGAAGTATGGTTTAGAAATGCTCATCGGGTATACTTGTAACTCTTTTCCAAGCTGAACACTTTATTGTTACACAGAAAACAGCAGCATCTTTCGTGCTTCATTTGTATTTGTAAGCAAACTGTTTAGTTTCAAAACAGATTATTTGGTAGATAAAGTTAGGGGATTAATTAAATAACGGGAGGATGTAAGGGCGTTTACGATCTTGTTACGCAACCATAACAGTCAAATAGTGAATGAAAAAATAAAAAAAAATGTAAATGATTTGAACTTTAATATAAAGTTTTAACTGGTTCTAACCTATTATTTTTCATCCAGCGAAAATCCTTAAAGCTTACGATGAGCAACCTTCAGCTTTTTACCATCAGCCTAACTTTAACATTATTTTCGCTTTGAGAAAGTTGTGACTTACAGGTGATAATTAGCGCAACATTGAAAATTAGAGGTTTACTGAAAATAACAATACTGGTTACTAAAAAAATGGGTCATAGACCAATATATATGTAATTTAACCGAGTTTTTCATGTTGCATTCATGCTACGTAATACATCAGGCGAAAAATGTAGATCATGCAAACCGAAGTGCATAAATGTATCTTCAGGGAATAGGAACAACCAATAAAGTTTAATTGGTAATTTAATATCTTTTCAACTAATCAAAATACGAAATAGTTCACTATTCTCAGTGTATTTACTGGTTGGCAACATGAATATAACAAAGAATGAAAATATTAGATTTGTAGTGAATTCTAATATGTTTAGATTGTTTTGTTTCATGACGAAATATTTTATTATATATTAAGAAATTAGCGGCAATTAACCCATGATACTGTTCTTTTTTTTCGTTGAAACGTTCAATAAACAAAAATCCTACCGAATCATAATGAATAACTCAACGTGAATATAACGAGATTGAACTACAAAAGTATTCATCTTTTGTTTAGCATTCACAAAAGATAACAGTATAATGAAGTTAAAACGTTATTTGTTATGTTTCTGTCATTTTTAAATTTGGCGATTTCAGTTTGTACTTTAATTTATCAACATTAAATAACTACCTGGATTTGTGTACGATCTTAAGGCTAGAATTTAGACAAAATACTACCAAAATGAAACCTGAGTAGCATATGACTAAAACATACGGTGAAAAAACATGACAGAGAAAAAAATCGATTTATATTTAATCAATTTGTGTATGCATATAAATGTACATTATCAATAGAATAAGTCATAATAATTATGTGAAAGTGTCGAGGAAGAAACTATTATCAAAAATTAAGCATTACATTGATAAATCTGAGTTCGGTTTTTGAACCAGTAAACTTAACAAACAGTAGTCTTTCCAAACTGACGGACTGGATGATAATACGGTAATCTGAACTGATTTATACTGATGATGATACAATCAATCAATAACAAATAAGATTATTATCCTTTTTTCTCAATCATAACCTCATATTTCATGGTGAAACTGAATAAAAGAAAAAACAGCTTAGTTCACGAATGGAAAGAATTAATATTCAGGAAAAATACCACTCTTTACATAGATTATGATGAAAACAAAACCACAACAAAGAAATTGACTCGATAATTGGTCTTGACTGATTCAACAATAGAATAGTTTGTGCATTAGGATGTTGGTGACTATTATATAGCAGCATAAAACGAAACGGACAATACAAAAATTTTAACATTATTGACTAATCACCCTACTTCATCGAATTCCTACAGAATTTAGAAACATAATCCTTAATCAAATGATACATTACATAAGTGAAAACTCTTAAAAACTTCGTATATAATCGATAGTTATTTTAAAAAGAAGGTTTGACTCTTTTGAAGATAAAATGTGATACTAAACAGAAAATCTGGATCATTTTAAGTTAACACATTTAGAGAAAATAAAACAGGAGGAAATAAACTATATAAGCAACAAAAAGTTTACAAAAAATATTACATTTCTGTAACTTTTGAACAAAGCAGGAATATCTTTAAGCCAATGGATATTGAAGAGAAGATATAATACTAGATAATTCTCATTTCAAACATCCACCCACAAGAAATAGACAATAAGAATATTTAAACGTTATTGTAGGCTAAATGCCACTGAATCTCTTGGTTAGAATTATATGGTATACGTCCCATAATTTCAAAAAAATATTGCAATAAACTGTGATCTTTAGTCAGTGTTATGGTTTTTCATAACAAACCAACATAATTTCTTGACCAGTGAAAATTAACTGGAATTAAAAATGTACTTCCCCATAGAAATGTAACCTTATGATTCGAAAATATTGTGCAAATTACAAAACCTGGTGGTTCATGGACTTCAGTCTCGTGTAAAGTCTTGAGTGCTTGCTACTAATAACTTCGGAACCAGAAAATATATTTATGATAACTTACATTAATCATCTCAGTTGACTTCAAAAGCCAGTTTTTCTTATGTGGTTCTGACTGATTAGACGAATAAAATCCCATGTTACACGCACTGACACCATTATTGAAATTATTATCAAAAGATGAGATATCAGCTGTTTGTACATTGAAAGATTGTGTTTCTGGTAAACACCATAACATTCCCAGCGATATTAAACAAAGAAACAACATTATCAAACAAGTTGTGATGAAACCATAGTGATCAATAAGAACACCTAAAAAACAATACATACAATTAAAGGTTAAAAACAATTTTCATTTACAATTACTGATTAAGATCATAAAGATTAGTTTAGAAAAGAAATATTTGAAAATAAACATTCTCTAAATAATGTTAAACTCCCCCTGTAGCTCTTCTAGAGTTACTGCGGCTCCCAAGCCCGGTTAAAGAAGGAGGGTTGGACATGGGGTTAGCGACCCCATCCCGTAGAAAAATAAGTCGCTAAAAAGAAAAAATAATTCAAACAATTTAAACTCTGTCCTGGAAATTGAAGGAAGAATTATGACGCCTCAAGATGAAAGCCGAGATTATTCGGAAGTCACGAGACCGATGCCACTTCTAACAACCAGAGCGATACTCTCTATAGGTAAATGGAGCGTCCGAACAATGGGAGAGACCGGGAAGACCAGTTGAATAACAACACAAATGAGGAGATATAATTTGACAGTACTTGAAGTCAGCGTAACTCATTGGACACAAGTTGGACAACAAAGGTTCGGTACGGGAGAAATGCTGCTATATTCCGGTCACGAAGGGGAAAGTGCTCCACACACTCAGGGAGTTGCTCTAATGCTGTCCAGAGAAGCACGAAATGCAATTGTTGGGTGAGAATCTAACGGATCCAGAATCCTCAAAGCATCCTTCAACACAAAGAAAGAGGGGATCACAATTAATGTTAATCAATGTTATGCACCCACCAATGATAGATCAGTTCTATGAAAGGCTGCAATCAATTATAGAGAAGAGCACAAGAAATGAACTCACCATCCTGATGGGAGATCTAGACGCTAAAGTCGGAATGGACAACACAGGATATGAATATATAATAGGACGACATGGACTGGGAGAGAGAAATGAAGAGGAGGAGAGATTTGCAAATCTAAGTGCATTCAACAAATTGGTTATAGACGGCACAATATTTCCACACAAACGCATACATAAAGCTACATGGATCTCACCAGACACCAACACAGAGAACCAAATAGATCATGTTTGTATCAACAGAAAATTCCGAAGGATAATGGAAGATGTGAGAACCCGGAGAGGAGCTGACATAGCTTCTCATCACCGCCTACTTGTGGCCAAGATGAAACTGAAGCTAAAGAAACACTGGACAATTGGACAAACAGCACTACAAAGGTTCAATACAGCCTTCCTTCGAGATACTAACAAACTCAACCAATTCAAGATAACTCTCAACAAACAGGTTCCAAGCTTTACAGGATCTACTGAAAGAAGAAACTGCGATGGAGGACAACTGGAATGGGATCAAAGAACCACTAACTTCAACGTCTCAGGAGGTTCTGGGTCACAAGAAGCATCATTATAAGGTATGGATCTCTATAGGAACTCTCAACAAGATTCAAGAAAGGAAGAACAAGAAAATAGCAATTAACAACAGTCAAACAAGAGCAGAGATGGTCAAGGTACAAGCAGAGTATGCAGAAGCAAACAGGGAAGTGAAGAAAAGCATTAAAGCCGACAAGCAGAAATACATGGGAGAACTAGCAACGACGGCGGAAAAAGCTGCAAGAGAAGGGAATATGAGACAACTATATGATACAACGAAGAAATTGACAGGGAGATATAGCAAACCAGAGAGACCAGTCAAGGATAAAGAAGGAAAGACAATCACTGAGATTCAAGAACAGAGAAAAAGATGGGCAGACTACTTCGAGGAACTGTTGAATAGACCAGCCCCATTGAATCCACCGAACATCGAAGCAGCACACACAAACCTTCCTAAAGATGTCACTCCACCAACGATCAAAGAAATCAAGATGGCCATCAGAAAAATCAAGAATGAGAAAGCAACAGGACCTGACAATATACCAGCTGAAGCACTGAAGTCAGACATTGAAATAACTGCAAACATGCTTCACCTTCTATTCAAGAAGATTTGGGAAGAGGAACAAGTGCCAATGGACTGGAAAGAAGAATATCTCATCAAGATACCAAAGAAAGGAGATCTGAGCAAATGTGAGAACTACAGAGGCATCAGTTTGCTGTCAGTGCATGGAAAAGTTTGCTGAACCGGATGAAAGAGGCAGTTGACGCCCGAACTCGAGATCAACAGGCTGAATTCCGAAAGGATCGATCGTGCACAGACCAAATTGCGACACTATGGATCACTGTGGAACAACCAGTTGAGTAGAATTCGTCACTATACATCAAATTTATTGACTATGAGAAGGCGTTTGACAATGTGGACAGGAGAACATTATGGAAATTTCTTCGACACTATGGAGTTCCTGAAAAGATTGTCAACATTATCCAGAACTCATACGACGGACTACAGTGCAGAATCGTGCATGGAGGACAGCTGACAGATGAATTTCCAGTAAGGATCGGAGTCAGACAAGGCTGTCTACTCTCCCCATTCCTCTTTCTTCTGGTGGTTGACTGGATTATGGAGACTTCGACATCAGACGGGAAGCACAGAATATAATGCACATCTCACAATCAATTAGCGATTCGGACTTCGCAGATCATCTAGCCCTCCTATTCCATACACACGAACAAATACAGACAAAGACAACAAATGTAGCAGTAGCCTCTGCATCAATAGGCCTCAACATACACAAAGGAAAGAGCAAGATTCTCAAATACAACACGGAGAACACCAACCCAATCACACTTGATGGCGAAACTCTGGAAGAGGTGGAAACAATCACGTACCTGGGGAGCATCATTGATGAACAAGGAGGATCGGATGCAGATGTAAAGACGAGAATTAGCAAAGCAAGGACTGCATTCCTAGAATTGAAGAACACTGGAGCTCAAAACAACTGTCAACTAATTTCAAAGTGAGAATCTTCAATACGAACTTTAAGACAGTTAGTTCTATTGTACGAAGCTGAAACGTGCAGAACTACTAAAACCATCGTCAAGAAGGTACAAGTATTTATAAATAGTTGTCTACGCAAAATACTCAACATTCACTGGCCGGTTACCATCAGCAACAGCCTTCTGTGGGAGAGAACAAACCAGCCTTTAGATGAAGAGGAAATTAGGAAAAGACGTTGGAAGTGGATCGGAAAAACATTAAGGAAATCACCAAACTGCATCACGAGGCAAGCCCTAACTTGGAATCTTGAAGAGATGCGAAAAAGAGAAAGACCAAAGAACACATTACGTCGGGAAATAGAAGTAGATATGAAAAGGATGAATGTTTACTGGAAAGAACTTGAAAGGAATGCTTGGGACAAAGTTGGATGGAGAATGCTGGTTTGCGGCCTACGCTCCTCCAGGAGGGGTAACAGGCGTAAGTAAATCATATTAAATTGATATTTATACGGAATGTGTTTGAGAAATTATTCTAATAAAAACCAACAGATAATATAAAATATCCTGGGTAAACAATTTAACACTAAAACCAAAATGGAGATTCATCTACCCAACTCAGTCATATTATTTCATGTAAAGATGAGTGTTACTAAAAACATTTTGAAGTACGACTAAATGAAGCAGTTCAAACTCACAAAATAATAATTCGGAATTGAGTTTTAGTGGTCCTTTATTTTGACGCCAATTTCGTCGGACGGTGCTATCGACAGGATCATCACTTTAGTGGCCCTATATCTGACTCCAGTTAGATCGTATAAATGGTTGTTATCGAAATATACACATGTCGCCAATCCTGGCATGTAATTACCGACTTAACTCGCGTTAGCTAATAACGGAATCAAATAGCTCAAATGTGAGAGTGGATTGTGAATACGTATATTCTGTACACTCGTTGATCTGGACAGATAATCAGAGGGACGAAGAGAAGAGAGTGAAGCGGAACGACGCGTGGTGGATAAGGCATGTGAGCCAACTCAATTTATTCAAGCATTAATCGATATTTATAGTCGGATAAAAATAGGTTACAGACATGTGAGAGTAAAAGAAGAAATGTACACACATATGCTTACATAAAAAGTCAAGGTTAATAAGCGGATAAGTAACAACGTCAAAACATGACTCAAGAAGAATGAAAAGACTGGCTTGTCCGGAATCTAGAATAAGCTATGTGAGCTTAACACAACACTACAGTGTCTTCTAACTAGTTAGGTTATTCGACATAATTGAACACCCAATATTACTCAGGTTTTTTGTCTTAGTTAAATTAAAGTCCAACCAATATAAGTTAAACGCAACTTCATACAATACAGTTCACTTGACAACTGCGATCAAAGTAAGGAAAAAAAGATTTGCAGCAAAACAAAAAATCCATACAGTTTTAAGGTTCCACATTAGCTGCAAACATTAAAATCACAGTACACAATAATCAAGTTTTAAATGATTGTTTGATATACTTTACTTAATGAGCTCATGATAGATGTTCGAAACGAAACAGAATATTAGGAAAGTGAAGCAAAAGACGACAGTGAAAACTGTACGTAATATGATCAATTTTACACGTGATGAATTCAGTCAGATGAAGGAGAAGAGGTGAAAGTTACAAATGATAATCGGTAGTTGTATAATTATGGGTCATATTTAGACTATAAATTAACTGAGTGAGTAAAAGTCAGATTACACAACAGGTGGAATGGTTTGACATTTATTTTTGCCAGAGTAAAGTAAATTTCACCACTCTTCCTTTCTATATTCATAAATCAGGTTTTTCCCTACACAGCGAAGTAAACGCAATATTCGTTGCTTGTTAAATATTTTGAAATGCCTAAAAGTATCAAGTTAGTATCCATTACCTCTTTGGTGTTTGAGACTCGCATTTGTAATAATAAAAATGTTCAGAAAATATGCAGACATATTTAACTCAGTCCTTTTTATTAAAAAGCTTCCACGAGAGTATTTACAATTAGAGGTGACCTCAGAAGAGTATTTTTTTTCTTTTTGTATTGGTGTTATATGTTGAAACCAGATGAGCTGCAGAAAAGTATAATTTCAGCCTTATTCCAATTCATTTCTTCAAATATTCAAAGGAACTAACAAGGATATAATCAATTTCATTTAAAATTTCCGACCATATCCAAAATTCAAAGTATGATCATATACAATCTATTATCAATAAATGAAAGTTTACCAACTAAGAATAAACGATTACTAGTCAAAATTATTTTTAAAATGATGTCATCATATTCTGAAATTATGAACATTAGACTCCATCACAGTGTACGCTAAATTTTAGTAAAATGGAACACAAAATATTACAATTGTTATAGGTGAACCTGTTTAATTTAAGAGATTAACTAGATTCTAGTGATATTACCATTATTCATACTGTTTTATTGGTAATATAGATAGATGTCGATGAGGTTTTACAATTTCCAAAGAACGTAGGATACAACACATAAATACTTCTGTTATATATTATCAAATAAGTTATATTATTAGCTTCCTCAGAAGCCTACTGGAATTTCGAATTATATATAAGTTAGATAATAATATATAAATAACTGCAAACAACAAGTTTCATGGATCACAAAACGGTAACTCCAATAAAACAATAAAAAAATAATATTAAGGCAAAACTAAATTAATAGAACTGATCTGCAGTGAGGATTTACTTTGTTTAATAACTAAATGGTAAACAGTTGCTTATTTCGCTAGTGACAAACAGAACTTTTGAATCTCAGTTAAAAATGGTTGATACACATCAATAAAAATATTATTAACGTTTTTTTTGATGAGATACAAAAAATTAAGCAACTGAAAAGTGATCGTATGAATAGATAAGTTACTGATAATTTTCACTCTTTTGGATAAACTGAAATGGGCAAGGACATATGTTACGGAAATTTTACTCACCAAAATAATGACTAAATCACATAATTGAAGTGTAAAGCGAAATGTCTATAGAAAGTTTCTATATTGACCTCCCTTACATTTTGCACTTATGGATTTTGAAAGTGATTGTAAGCGTTTAATAGATTTAGGCTTACGTCTATTCACCGATAGGCATCAAAGTATTTGAGAAACAGCTGTAAACTTCATGTACCAGTCAGAAATACATGACTTTAATCAAAATGATTACGAGTTACTGATAGCAGGAATAAGTACATTTGGAAAAATTAGATGGAAATTTAGATTCAACATCTTACGTTCATAACTAAACAATCTGGCCAATCAGGTAGTTTTTATAAATAATGATCGCCTTGACCTTGTAACCGTAATTCAAAATATTCATTATCGATCTATAGGACATCGTTGTTTACCTATAAATATTTAGTTTAGGAGGTTGATCTATTCGAAATTCATAACTGAAGTTTTAAGACAATATAACTTACTTATTAATAAATCTCATGAGTCACAATTAAAGCATAGAAAAGATCAACATTTCAAAAATGATTTCAACCACATAAGGTTATATTTCAATCATTACCTGTAACTGATGCCACTGCGGCACTTGCTAAGACACATACGCCATCATAAATCCCCATATATGAAAGACGCCGACGTTCCAGTGAAGCTTGTTGACATTTAGAGTTATCCAATAATGGCGCTTGTTCATCAGGAATCTTAGTAATATCAGCGAAGCAAACTGAAATTTGACCTGAAAATGTAAGCAGTCCTCCACCAAGAAAACCACACGTTAAATTTCCCAGAATTAACAAGTATAAATTCAGTTCAAGTAAAATCACAAGCGCTGAAAAACATTACAACAAAGGAAGTAACCATTATTTTCAATTATAGTATTATTATTAAGAAAACAAAATTCATTTATTTAAATATATAAATATTGGTACAAAGGGGCATCAGATACATATGCGCCACACTAATCTCATTCGATTTGTGTGAGGGCTGTGATACTGCCCGGATGCCCAAACTGAAGCAGGTAGTTTTCTAAAGGGGCCACACCCGGAGCCTTTGACCTAAAGATCTGATCCACAAGGCAGTGGAGCATCGTAAGGAGATGCAGTCCCATGGTAGCCGGTGACCAAAGATTGATTCATACGCCATTTGTTTTCACAGGATACTGGAGCCCATGTGCATTATTGGTTTGGAATCAGGGTTCTCCAACTACTCTAGGTTGACTTTCCGTGTCCACTACCCCGCTCAAAGCGCCGGACACTCGCTTCTCGCCCTCTTAATTTCGTAAACAACACCCCCGCCACGAAAAGGCGGTGAGTAGGACTTCCCTGGTAGAGGCTATATACGCGTGACCATGTGAGAGAACTTCGAGAGGGTGTGATGGACCTCAGCGAGTGGAGAGTGGACTCTCCCCACTCTCGGCCTCTAAATAAACTTGTGTCGGTTAGGCTACTTATAATGCAATTACAGGCAAAGAAACTCTGCAGTATCAGACAAGCTAGTAAATATAACTGAGGTTTTATAATTTGTAGTTAAAATAATCGACAAGACTAACATTTAAATAACCCTATTGCAAGTTAGGACAATTAGTCGCTAAATACTTATAAATTATGTTCTGTTCAGTTAAGAATTATGACTTTTACCGGGGATAAGGGATGGAATCTTATAGATTAGTTCATTCCGGACCTGATTAAGAGCTGATAATATTCCCTTGCATCGTAATATGATGTTCATTAATGACCAGAATATAAAGGATGATGCTATTCATAGATCATCCCATTTATAAACAATGCAGGGACATGGTCATAAACACTCAGTGACAAGGTTTTATGAGTGAGACTTGTGTAATTGAATTCACATTAGTAATTGAACTGAAGAGCACATACGGATGACGATATATACAAACTTCCAGTCCTAACTTTCTTTAATGTATATATAATCCCACAATTTCACCATCTTTATAGTTTACTAATGAGGAGACAAATGTTTAGGTCCTTTAATGGAGCGACTTATGGATACATTCATAGAATGTAATAAAAAACACAAATTATTACAAAGTAATACATTTAAACAATGAATACTTCTGCATGAACTGAACAACCGATAAGAAATAACAGACTATGTTACACAATAATATGCAATATTCTGTGTTGAAATAATTTAAAACAAACGATAACTTTACATGAAACGATTATGTTTGAAGTTAAACCACCAAATAAAACTCCCATCGCTACACGTCGACCATAATGATCAGAAAGTGAACTGATCATAAACGACGACAAAAGTCCAGGAATTAATAACGCAGCACTCAATAAGGGGAGTAAATGTGCAGTTCTCTTTTGAACTTCATCTTTCGATTCTTTATCCTGATCAGGAATGGATCTATTAGTGAAAAAAGTTACCCCAATTGTAACTCAATATTTTGTTTGTAAGTAAAATTTTAAAAAAATATAGTCCTGTTAACAGCTGTTTCCCTTCAGATCACACAATTTTTGTCCAGTCTTAGACTTTGCATGAAATGTTTCCCAAACTATAGCCTACTATACAGTAAACATATAAGTGATGTAACGTGACACATTGATCGCTTAAAAAGGCATCCGTTCTCCCTTACAGAATTACCAACACATTTCTACGTTTTTAAGCAGTACTTATGAATCTTTATTCTTAGTTTGAAACAGCAAGACCAAATTTGTAAAATATTGTATCATGAAGCTTCCAGACTTCTATACCGATTAACTTGGCTATATTTACGTACTTTGAAATAGAATACATAGACAGTAACTATGTAGAGATCTTAAACACAGAACTCAATAGCTGTGGAGCGAAAAACTAAAAAAATGCCAAGAATAACCAAACACTCGTTATGAAACACCTTAACAGTTCCAGGTTATGAGTGATGCTGGGTGCAGTAGGTGTAAACAGCTTGATCAAAATTGTCATTACCATTCTATTATTATTACTGCATTCCCCTTTACCTATGTCTTATATTCTCATCAATTTATTCATGAATATCCATCATATCACCTTATTTATTTCTACACCTCTATGACCTTTAATTATTGTATCAAAAATATTTCATTTTAATCATCTTATTATAATTACTAAATCTATTGTTATTACTCGTATTACGTAATCTAGTATTATAATCTTTCTACTACGTCGTTATTTCTACTACGTTGTTATTCGTGTTCACATTTCCTCGCGGAATTAGTACTTTAACAAAATATTTTCATATAGATGCGATTGTACAACCTAATGTAAATTCGTTGAAAAGAGATCCCTTCGCTGAACTTCATGTTTTCAAAATGGTAAAGACATATTAGATGAGGTTGGTGAACGAAAAACTTAACATCATTAAGCTGGATAAATAACATTCTGTTTGTAGGAAAAATATTTATTAGATCACTCGAACATAAAAATATGGAAAACAAGAAATAAATACTTGTTATCGATTTCAGAGTAAACTGAAAATGTTTTTATATAGCTGAAATCATGAGTTAATTGAAGCTAGACCATGGAAAACCTGGACGGCCGTTTCGTTCTATTATGGGACTCCTCAGCAGTGCGCATCCACGATTCCGCCTTGCGAGATTCGAACCCAGGACCTACCAGTTTCGCGCGCGAGCGCTTAACCACTAGACTATTGAGCCGGCATCCAATTGTGTTAATGTCTAACTTCGAGGTTTTCCATGGTAGTCTAGCTTCATTTGACTCATGATTTTAACTATATAAAATTACTAAAATCTCCACATAAACCCCTTCTAATAAACTGAAAATGATCAGTAATTGCAGTAGGTCTTTCTTAATAGGTTGAACTGATATGTTCCTGTCCATTCGATACTATGATTCACTTCGTAAATCGCTAACTTGTTGCTGGGTCATGGAAATTAATCAATTCAAAATGTAAAATATAGCCCATTAGTCAATTTTCATATCGCCTTATCACTAACAGATATCACATTGGCTTTCGAAAACTGATACTTTTTAGACACCTAATAAAAACAGTATATTTTTAATGACTACTTAATTAGATATTAAGTCAACTTCCAACTTGAAATCAAAGTTCAAAAGAAAATTCTTCACAAAAAAGAATAATATAACAAAGCTTCATTGATACTTGACTGACTGATTCATGTATAGTCATGAAAAAAATGGTGTTAATAGTAGGATATGTTGGTGAAGACATGTCAATTATATTCTGACATACAGCTAATACGAGTCAATGACGAATTGAAGTACCTCACCGGACACTGACTATTGTGGACAAAAACGGAATAATTTCCTTCTACTTTGAATAAGCTCTAAATTATCAACAGAAAAATAAGCCTTGTTTGAAATAATAACATCCCATAGTGATCAAACAATCTAATCACTTATAATAACCTTCAACATACTTGTTTTGTGGAGAAGGTTCGTAGGGTAAACCTGCGTCCTTTAGAAACCTAGAACCGTACAAAAACAAGACAATGAGGAGATAAATAAAGAAGAATTTGACTAAAAAGTCTGAAAATATCCAATACGTCTTATTAGTTAGTTTATATAAATAAAATCCGTTATAAAAGTCGAATACGTGATTCTATTAAATTATTTTCTTACTGTTCAGAAGAGCAACTAAATTTCATGTTGGATTCTTTCAGGATACTCAATCCTATCCGTCTAAAAGCAGAAGTGTCAAGAAGGGGTAAACTATATACAATTAATTAGAGCAGTCCAGTTTTGCAATATTGTAAATTATGTTCCTACACTAACTTACTGACCAATTGGAATCGATTCGTTCAGATCAGACTTGTTTATTGTATATGAAACAAAAATCAGCATATTCAGATATAATTTTCATATATGTTCAGTTTAATAAATCTTCTGTAGTTTTTCTCCTCTTTGCTACATTAAGGCTCAGCAATTTTTGTCCAGTTCTGACGCTTGGCAGGAATTTCTATGCGAACAATATTTTAAGAACAACCCTACAGAGTTATTATGTATATCAAACATAGTCATTTTATCGAGTCTCGTGAATTCTTAACAATTTTTTATAGAACTATTTCGGATATCTAAGAGCATTCCAGATCACACACTACGATTCGACTTCGGAATAGGAGTTTTTAATGATTAGTTACTAAATTCATCAGTCTGAAATGTTAACATAAGCACTTTTACTTAGAAGTGCTGAAACAGGAATTAAAACAACAGTCGGCTTAAAGTAAACAGAAAAAAATAGAAAGTAGTCCTAATGTTCAATAAGTTTACTTTCTAATAAAGAATTTACGTATCGAAATCACGGACGATAGTTATAAAAGCAGAAAGCCGACACTAACTTTTTTAGTTCTATCTTGAGATTAATTCCAAGAACCAACATGCATATTTTAAATAAATGAAAACATAAATAATAGATGTTCATCGTAATGATGTATAATACGTGGTTTACTTAAAGATATTATCTGCTTACTTCCTCTTTTCCTTTTAGGTGAGAAATGGAATAAAACAGATGCCCTAAGCAAACCTGTTTCTTTTGTTGACTAAATCAGAAAAAAATTAGACAAGATTAAAAAGCGTGAAATGTTTAAGCACTGATTATATTTGAATGTAAAAACTCCCAAAAAACATGAGTTTGAATTATTATGAGCAAAACGTAACCTATAATATATAAACTGGTTTGTGAGAAATTGAAATCCAGACCAAAATGATTGGGTAAACATGGTAAGAATAACCAGCTTGATAGCAATTTTTCTTTCAGAACTCCACATAGTTGAGTTGTACAACTTCAGATATGGTTTTGTTCAACTAAACCTATGGTAATATTGACAAACACATTAGATATCTTAAATTTCGTACGATTGCAAAGTTTCAGAATGTAATTGGTTGACAACATACTAAAAAAACTAGTGTTATCCAACGTAAAATAGGCCTTTCAAGTGAGAATATAAATTCAAATCATTCGTACAAAATCTACTATTCATATGGAGTACTACATAAACCAAACATTCAAGACTTTTTAACCGAAAAAAGCAAAATAAGTCTCAGAGCGACATTTAGCAATAGGTAGTTTAGTATAGGAACGATATTTTGAAACGGGGAATTCATATAGTTTTATAAGGATAGGAAATGCAACTAATTGCAGGTACTCAGAAATATAACTTAGTATGACAAGTAGACATATGGTTAAATTTTTGAGTGTCAATTTTAGATTATCAACATGTCTCACAATTCGCGACAAATTGATGAAGACATGATCCAAAAATATAAGCGGTTTATGAAAAACCACAAAACTAGTTTTCCTTATACTGTTCTCGATTTATTATCCATATTTTTAATGCTGACGACTGACGATTTTAGCCCCTGGATGCTCACACATATGGCAGAAATGTGGTTTAAACAGAGACATGTTGAGAAGAGCATTGACATGTCATTGAGCTAAAGTAACAATTGTAGATACAGAACTGATGAGACCTCGTTAAAAACAAATATGACTGAAATTCTAAATCTTATATATTTAAAGTGTAACCAGACGCTACAATAAAAAATTAAATGGAACATATGAACCGAAACGTTCAGAGTAATTTGCTGAGAAGGCAACGTAGCAGCCTACTTTAAGACTTTGCTGTCAACGGCATCAGGATAATACTCCTTACTTGATTTCTTAGAAGAGCGACTCAAACGTGATTTGTGCATGTAGACATAAGTATAGTCCCCATTCCGAATACTGTTACGGATAGATTACGTCAAATACTTTACAAATAACTCAAGCGAAATGGTTTTTAATCAAACACGTTCTAATTGCTTCATTATAGTTAGTCTGGCGATATCACTTACCAGCAAGAAGTATTCTACACAGCCGAACAGGAAAAGTTACAATTACTTAATAAGACTCAACTAACTACGTTTAATTATAAAAAACACCAGATCTATCATTATTACGTTTAGTTAGTGAAGTCAAACAATAATCCATCACCACAATGCACATAAATTAGTTGTAGTATGCCGCGCTTGAGTAACAGCTGGCAATACTGAGACGGACTATATCACTGAGAAATATATCAACACTTAACGGAGCAAATGTTTCCGAGGGTAATCACCTAAATTTGGCAGAGATATAGTTATAATCTATGTTTGAAATAACTAAATATTGAGTCCAGCCTATATTCAGCAGCAAAAATTATTGCTGATATTTTCACTCTTTGGATATATACCAAACCATATAATCAAATGTTCTCCGTAGACGTACAGAGATCACTTCCGTTGTTGGTGAATTTCGAATGCTCTCGGACGAGAATAACAGATGGAAAAGAAATCTACTCACTCATTCGAGAAATCGTGCAGTCTTAAACTTTTATAGCTTGAGTTCATATTAATTGGTCATATTTCACCACACACTATTTTACTATCATTTAATGTTGCGATATTCCTTGAAACCAGATAAGTTAGCGAGACCATTATTTGTGAAAGAACCACTGAAATTAAGGACAGCATGTCTTGGGTTTCAGCGCGAAATTCATTCATACATTTAGTTAAATAGCATTTTGGCATTATAACTGGTGTGAGTTGTTCCACAGAACCTTAATATCACGGAAATGTCGTCCATAAATAATAGTCACCGAAAAGCTTTTAGCTGGTACTTCGAGAAACATAGGTATAGCTAACTCCAAAAGTTTTCATCCGCATTATGAATGAGGATGTAAAATATGCGAAAATGTTGAGTTTTAGAATTATATCGACCACTGATTATGCTGATTTTATCAGAAGCATGTTAAGACAGTAAAATAAAACTACTACAACCGCAACGCACCATTTGAAATTGTGACACAACAATCAAATAGTTCAAATGATTTTGGACGCAGTAGAAGAAGCTTTCTCTTAACTGCCTTTCGTATCTAGTAGCACTGAATCGCCGATACACCCAGGCAGGAACCAAGGTATATTATTGATAAGAGAAAAAAAGGCAAATCATGGTAAGATACTATCCTTAGTCCTCAAGGACATGTTAAGTTTTCTCCTAAAGGACCACTGGGAAGTCTCTTGGACTAGCCCAGCCTACAGTAAATTCCGGAATTTCACTACTCTTAAGGAGTAAAAGGTATGTCTACAGTCCGTTCTGCAGTGTTGTGTCTCCAGTTTCTGGGTGTTATCCCTAAGATTTGTGTTGCGGCTAAGCTTAGATAGTGTTTATGCGGATGTTCAGAAGTATTAAGGATGCTGTAGGCCACCAGAAAGTCATGTCTAAGACACCTGTACTGCAGTGAGTAAAGACTCAGTGATTGGAAGTGCTCTTCACAAGGCTTGAATTTGAGTTCATGAACTTATTTCATGGCTCGCCAATTGATACGTTCCAGAGTGTCCTAATCCTTTTGGAGTCGGGAGGGAAATACTATGTCTCTGTACTCTAAATGGAGAAGAATAAAACCGTTGAAGATTATTCGAAACGTTCTGTCGAATTGGCCAAATATGCACTTCAATGTCACCAGTGCAAATTTTGCTCGAAAGGCATTTTTCTTGCAGTTAGAGTAAGACTTTAAATACTAGCGTACCAACAATCCTAGATCTTTTTCAACTTGGGAGACCTCTAGAGGGTAGTTGCCTAAGTTGTAGCTGTAGTCTGCAACATGTTTCAGGTGAACTATTTTACACTTTGAAGTGTCAAAGGTAAGTCCGTTGCCATCTGCCCAACTTTCAAGTCCACTCCGATCCTTGTGAAGTGCCAGTATATCCTGATGGTTGCGTATCTCTCTCCGAAGTTTCACATCATCAGCGAAAAGTACTAAGTCATACAATATCTGTTGTGAAAGTTCGTTTGTACAAGTCAAGAAAAGAAAGAGGTCCTAGTAATGAACCCATCGGGGACCCTACTAGGACATTCCATAGCCTTAGAGAAAGCGAAGTTAATCCTGACCTTAAAATGTCGATATTTTAGATATGAAGTGAGCCAATGAATTAAAAGTGATTCGATATTTAATTTTTTGATCTTAGTGATAAGACACATGTAGTTGACCTTATCGAAAGCTTTTGGGAAGTCAAGGTAAATGACATCAACCTTCCTATTGCGACCAAGGATGATTGTTCATCTGTCCACCAGAGTCAGCAAGTTGGTGACACAAGAGTGACGTTTTCTAAAACCATGCTGTTGGGGTCAAAAGAAGATCAAGGATACGAAATAGTCATGTAAACCATCGCATATCAGGGACTCCATAATTTTTGAGGGTGTAGAGATAAGTACTACCGGTTGGTAGCTTGGAGGTTCGCTGTGTCGACATCCTTCGAAAATTAGTGTGATGTGAGTCAGCTTCCAAAGTTATGGTACTGTGCCCGGGCTTGGTGAGTGTAAGAACATCACGATAAGTGGTGTTGCCATTATTGTAGCTGCTTCCCTCAGTATAGCAGAATGCGCCATATCCGAACTAGGAGAAGTATCTCTTTTAAGTACCGCAGTTTTCTTTAAATCAAGTTTGAGCTCAAGTTTACTTCGGAAAGTCCTGTGCAGTTGCAAATGATTTCATCAGTATAGTTAGTGTGGGTTCATTGAAATGTTTGAGAGTACTGTTCAGCCAGAAAGGTAGAGCGTCACCGTCGTTGTTGGTCGAGCCATAAGGCTTAGCAGTTGGGAACCTCCAGTGTTGCCGTGTCGAAGAGAGGCTGTATGACGTAATAAACTTTACGGACTGGAAACAAATTTATCGTTAAGCTTTGTATGGTACTGTTAGTGGGACATAGATTGGATGTTTCATGTATGCATGTTTCATACATGATGGTGTTGCTGCGCGCTGATTGGCTAATTCTAAACCGATCAGCCCCGGCATATTATTGGAGAAAAATCTAGAAGCTTCTTATGTATAAAATATAAATATATGAGCGTTATTCAAACTAGTGATTGCTGTTCACTTATCATTATTATTTTGAATACAATTTCATTCCTGTTCAACGTGTTCTGATTTTGGGGTCTTGTCGAGTGTCATCGTATAAGAATACTAAGCAATAGGAATCGCTGGGTCGTTTATATAGCAAAACACAATTATAACAGGTACTGAAGCCTATAATCTCTTATTGCCTTTATGCACATGTGCCTTGTTTGTTTGTATTGTCTGTATGCGACGTTGATTCGGTTTGATGATTTCTCTGATGAATATCCTATCAACCTCTAACATCGTTTCCTCTTCAGATGGAAGTCGGTTTGTATGCTCCCATAGTGGGCTGTTATTTACAGTATCCGGTCAACAAACATTCAGAATGTTGCGTAGACAACTGTTTATAAATACTTGTACGTTTTTGATGATGGTTATGGTAATTTCCGTGCTTTAGTTCTGTATATTAGGACTGCCTTGATGGTCATATTGAAAATTTTCACCTTGATATTGGTTGACAGATAGTTGTTTTGAGTTCCATGTTCTACAATTGTGAAAACACGGCCCTTGCTTTGTAAATACTCGCCTTTACGTCTGCATCAGATCCCCTTTGTTAACCGATAATGTGTGCGGGTGTAAAACTTTCCACTTCTTTCAGAGTTTCTCCATGAAGTGTGATTAGGTTGGTGTTCTTTGGGTTATATTTAGGGATCCTGCACTTTCTCTTGCATATGATGAGGTCCACTGACGAAGAGGCTTCCGCTACACTGGCTGTCTTGATCTCCATTTGTTGATGTGTATGGGATAGAAGGGTTCAAATCGTCTTGTTGCATCCAAACTGTTAGTTGTATTCTGTTCATCCCGCCGGATATGGAGGTCTTTATAATCCCATCAACCACAAGAAGAATGAGAAG